CAAACCGCTGTGCTCATTATTTTCCCGACAGACAGATAACCATGTAATATCAGTATTATCAGTCTGTCGGGAAAATAATGAAGCACAGAGAATTCGTCGTGCCTTGGAATTGCCCGTCATCGTTTTGCGACGGCTAGGCTGCAGGGGTCATTAAAATGTACGGTGTTTCTATAGAAAATCAAGGTTTTCCAAGGCTAATTCAAAGAGTTATGGCAAAAAAAAATTTTTTTCTCTGACCGTTTCTCATTTTACGTGCACTCTCGCAAAAAGATCGCTGAATATCTCGGCTGCGACTACAAAGTTCATGCCAAAATTTTTCAGTGATCGATCTATGAGGCATTTAGAGCCTATGTACCAAATTTTAAAAAATTTCAAGTTTTTCAAATCTCAAAAAAAATTTTTTTGAAAAATCAATGTTTTCGACCAAAAAACAAATTTCTGGCTCCTATTTTTTCAAATCATTTTTTTTTCATCCATTTTTCCACAATTTTTTTCAACAAAATCCCAACCAAAAAATTTTTTTCAACCCGCAAAACCCGCCATTTCAACGACCTTACACATTTAAAAAAAACAATTACGATTATTGGGTAACTCTTACGTTTTCGCCAATCCCACCCTCATCCTCTTGTTTGGTCACTCTCACGCACTTCACGCAGCCCAAAACCCCTTCCTTCCACCAAAAAAATGTGTGAAAATTGGAATTTTCCCTTTTATAAAATATTTATTCACCCCGAAAATGCCCTCAGGGCCTGGAGGTGCCAAAGCGGGGATTTTCGGCCAAATTAACCTGCAGAGGGAAAAATCGAGAGACCATAGAGGACGAGAGGGAGGGTTATCAGTCTGTCGGAAAAATAATAAGGACTCTGTCGCATCGAAAATGGCATCGTGGGTGAGAAAATGAATTGTGTCGCGGCAAAATCAAATTGCTTTCCATTTCAGCAACGAGAATTTTTTGGCCGACCTATCGGTCTGTTGGCCTCGTCGCAGTCGCGTACCAAATATCCGGCCTAGCCATCGCAAAGCGCTGATGGGCGATTCCAAGGCGACGAACTCACATTATTTTCTCGACAGAGTGATAGGTGGGCCAGAAAGTCCTCGTCGCTGAAGTGAAAAAGCAATTTGATTTTGCCGCGACACAATTCATTTTCTCGCCGGCGATGTGATTTTCGATGCGAAGCGAACACATTTTCTCCCGAGAATTATTTCTATTTTTGAAAATCCGCGTTATGCAGAAATAATAAAAATTTTTTTGCAAAATTCAGAATTAAAAAATCGGAATGCTGAGTAGTACATTTGGAAAAGTACATTATTTTCCCGACAGAGTGATACTTTTATTTTTGAAAATCCGCGTTAAGGAGAAATATCAAAATTTTTTTGAAAAATTTGAAATTCAAAAATCGCAGTTTTGAGTAGTAATTTGTTTCCTTGATGTAATAATACCAAATAAATGTCTGCAAAAAATTTTACATCCCTTTAAAAATGGAAGAAAATTTCAAAAAAATGCATTTTTCTTTTGATTTTCAAATGATCACACTAATACTCCAAAGACAAAAAAAAAACAATGTTGTTTTACGAGATTTGTATGTGATAACAAATGAGAACACAAATTTCGGGTCAAATGATTCATTTCGAACAAGGGGGAATATATAATTTATTCCCGAAGATGTGTCATTATCATAACGAAAGGATGACTTCTGCTTCCGAAAATTGAGAAAAATAACAGTGTTGAATTTAAATGGTTTGAAAATGTGATTTTTACAATCAAAATTCAAAATAAAACCCGATAAAATGAATTGTATCGCGGCAAAATCGAGCTGCTTTTCACTTCAGCGACGAGGATCGGCGCAGCCACATTTTGCTCATTATTTTCTCGACATATTGATAAAAATAAATCTCTGTATTGTCAGTGAGACTGAGACAGTGCAAATTTCAAAATTAAAAAAAAAAAATTTTTTAGAGTCTCAAAAAAAAATTTGCGAATTTTTGGCACTTCCCAGCCAATTTGTCCCCCAAATTTCACGCTATAACGCTAATCTGGTCCGTTCGCCAACAAGGAATCCCTTATCGGCAAATTAAAATCTCCCTTTCGCCCCGACCTTTTCTTCCCGTCGCAGCGCATTAGCATGTTCGGTACGGGCTCAAACGAATTTTTTTGGCGCTATATCAAAAAAAAATGGCGCCTAGCGGACGAAAAACATTAAGAAATTTTTATGCATGAGGAGGAAAATGGTCGTAAAATTGGCTGTAAGGTATCTTATATTGTAAAGTTTTGAGGGGTTTCGTTCGGCGGACGGACCATTGAGCATGAACAGTTGATATATAGTATATATCAGTTTTTTACCAGAGAGTCGCTGCATCCTTTGCGGCTGAAGATTATGAACACAATGTCGCTGCACCAGTCGCTAAAGTAAACACCAATTTGATTTTGTCGTGACAGTATTCTTTTTCTCGGAGGCGATACGACTTTTGATGCGACAGAGTGCTCATTATTTTCCCGACAGACTCTTAATTTTCCAAAAAAATCCCAAAAAGGTGGATCAGCGCCATTTAAGATCGTGTGCGTTGCGGCGTTTCTAGAAGAGCCGGCGTCCAGCCAGGTTCACGTAAAACACGTGAAATCGACCAATGACAACCGACTCGACTCCGTTCCGAAGAGCAGTTCGAACCAAACCGCGGTGCATCAGAGAATGGATTAAAGTTTTCGTCACATCCAAATTTTTTCGTTCCATTTTTCTCTTTTTATTCGGCTCTCAAAGTCTTTCTCCGAAATGAAATGGGGAGAAAAAGGGAAGAGAGGGCGAAAAAAGAGCGCTCTTTTCGCTGCTCTCTCGGTGTCTCGGATCTCTTGATTTCACGCGGTTTTTTCAAAAGGAATGAAAGTCGGGGTTTTGAAGGGAAATAATGGGAAAATGAGAGTAAAATTGATGGAAACAGTAAGTTTACAGAAAAAACTTTGTATAATAAACTAACATAGATCCTGATGAAGTAAAAAAATACTTTTTTTTTACTTTTTACTTTGTTTTAGAGCAATTTTATGGTAAATTAAGAGAAAATTAACGGAAAGTTGAAGAAAAATCATGCTCAATTACAAAAACAGGGTGTAAGCAGTCTATTAAAATCTTGATACCCCCAAAACCTCTCTATAACAATCAATTTTAACAATTGAAAACAATTTTTTTGGCTAAGTTTTCAGTTATTCAACAAAAACCACAGCTAGAGTTTTTTTTTACATTTTGCTGTTCAAAAAGTCAGCTCAATATCTCTAATTCGCTTTTGCTATATAGAAAAGTATATAAAAAGCGGTTTCCGACTCAAAACCTCTTCAAAAAAATGACCGAGGATAAGAGAACGGCGAGTTTTTTTTTTGACTGATAACAACTCCCGTTTCGTTTTACGAGTCAAAACAGCTGAAAGGAGGCTCTGATAAGAAATGAGGAACGAATGCGCTTCGACCACAATTTTAAAAGCAAGTATAAGCAAATTTCGAAAAAAGTCCTGCAATTTGCATTGTGGAAATTTCAAAGGATTGCAGAAAACGTCGCACCTAGAAACTAGTTGAAAATTTGAGTCATAAAAAACCCCTCTAATAAAACTACAATGTATAAGGCTGAAGCTCCAGAATTATTTTTGCCCTATCTCGCGAACTGTACAGTGTGAATCACAGTTGATTGTGACGAACACGAAAATTGAAAAGACAACTATTAGATTTTTTTCAATTTTCGACAGAGACGTAGCTAAGGGGGACAGAGGAGTAAAGTAGGGGTCGTAGGAGAAAATGGTAAGGGTACCAAGGTAAATAGTTCAAAAAAAGTTTTACATCGTGGCCCACTTTTTCCGCGTACCGGCTTTTCGGGTTGTCGACAGTTCGGGTCAACACAAAATTGTTCAATACGGTGTGTGGGGCAAGAGGATAACCGAAACAGGTTGTAGGAAATGCCTACGAGGCCTGGAAAAGCCGTTGGATGGTCGGCGGACGCTCGGCGAAGGCTCAAATGTATTTCAAAAGCGCATTTATATAAAAAATGTACATGTATCAATTGATGTGATATATGTAAAATACCTCAAAATAGGTCATATACAGAGGGATAAGACTTGGAAAATGATCACCTCTCCTAATTTTAGCTCTTACTAACGTAGTTTCCTTTAGCTATCCTACGACTGTCGCTAAGCCACAAAGTCGGGACGCGGATGTTAGTATATGTAAAACACCTCAAAATATATAGGTGATCAGCTATCCTAGGACCCGATCAATCTTATTATCTACTAACTAAGACTTCACCTATCCTAGCTTCCTCCAATGACGCAACGGCGCGATCCATAATATTGATGACCCAAACTGTTTCTGACCCAAAAAGTCGTCCAAATCCCCTCTTCAACTAGCCAAAAATTTTCAAGATTTCCCGAAAAGCACACAAAAAAGTTTCAGGCTCCCACGTAGATACGAATGTTTGACAAAGGACGTGTTTTTCCAACCCTCCTCCGAGTTAATGTGTGAGCCGTTAAAACGCAAATTTCAGCCCCATTATCGGGCATTCAAATTCGTCGAGGAGGGTGGGCAAATAATCGCGAAAATACAGCCAAAAGCAAACAGTGTTCATGAGATTTGCGGACAAAAAAATTAGCGTCCTAACGTATGCAAATCGCTGGAGAAAAGGAAGCCCGAGAAGTGGTCAAAAAATTAGTGTCAAGTCAGTGGATGGCAGTGTGTTTTTGGAATTTTTAAACAGCATTTGAGAGACTTTAAGTGACCATTAGTTACACTTGTTCAAAAAAAAGTCTGAAATTGTAAATTCACAAGGGAAATAGTCCAAGTGCGACGCTCAGAGAAACGTGACATAAATTTACAAGAAAAACACTTTTTGGCCATAGCTTTGTTACGTTTCTTGAGAAAAAAATAGATTTTGTTTGAAAATGTAAAAAAATTAGATCAAGATTAAATTCATGTTTATTTCCAATGTAAATAAAAAGCACCACATATTTGTAGTAAATTCCATGCATCTTCAATATGGGCGTTCCACTCCCCATCTAACTCTCTCACGTTTCTTGGTCTGATCGACGCTGACCGAGTGGACTGCATCGCCGCGTTTGGGACGGAAGCCAGTTTTGGATGGCTCTGAAAAATTTTATCACTAGAAACAAAAAATTTGGAAAAAATTAGGAAAAAGTTCCGCAGATTAGCCATCACCTCAAAAAATGCGAGTTGCGGCCAGGAAAAAATAAAGGCCTGAGCCTAAGCCCTAATCTAAGCTTTGGCTACAGTGAAAAAACTCCAATTTCAAAAGTGCGCCCGCTCTTCTTATGAGAGTAAGCTCTCTTCAAAGCGGAGTTTTTTTAGTTGGAGAGGGAGGTATTTTGCTGCATTTTTGATACTTTCCGGAAGCAAAATAGCACGTGTTTCGTCACTGCATCAGGTCCGCCGCTGTAAGCCTAAACTAAGCTGAGCCTAGTCAACTTTTCATCGTATAAATGTCCTCTGCAGATCTCGCCCCTTTCATTTTCCCAAGGCCTTTGCTTTTTGGGTGTAGCCAAAGCTAGATAAGGGCTGGACCCAGTCTTTTATTCTTTCTTTGGCGCAGCTCGCATTGACTTTTTATTTTTTGGGGTGATGGCCAATCTACGCAACTTTTACTCAAAATTAAAAACAAATGGCTCACCAAACTTTCGCACACTCAACTCCACGTCGACCCGTTCGTTTCCATTCATGACCAGGCCCTCTTTTCGCTGCCAATACTCCATGGTGCACTTGGCATAGTTGATCACGCTGTTCACATCTAAAGGTCCCTTCATTTGATAACTTTTTTGGACAGTTTTTCTGGGCTGAAACGAAAATAAATCCAGAAAAAATTTAAACTTAATTTTTCAGAAAAAAATAAGAGATTACCTGAAAATTCCGATTTTCCAAATTTCCAATAAAACTCTCGTTTTCTGACACTGCTGATGATCTAATGCTCTCCAGGCTCTCGATGCCTTGCAGGGTTCGCTCAGACGAATTTTTGTTCGCTTCTCGGATCACTTTTATATCGTTGTCACGGGATTTCTAACAAGGAAAGTACTTCTATGGGGTGTGGAGTTACCGGTCGAGATATATATCAAAAAAATCGCAAAAATTTTCTGATTCAGAATATATAAAAATTAGCTGCCTAATTTTGGTCTGATGACATGTTTTTGTCCTCCGAAGTTTTCTCGCGACACCATGCAAGTGTCTTTTTGACCGTGTTTTTACCAATAAAAAATTTTTATTTTGTGGTAAAATAAATTCTGAGGCCTTGACAAGCCTTGAAATATCAAATTAGATTACAACTACACCTTAGAAGTAGTTCCAATGTAAAAAATGGGTTCTAGTGTGGCAAAACGAATCGAACCCGTTCCCTTCGGATTCCCAATCTAGCGCTCTAACCACTCGGCCACACCGCTCTCTTCCGAAGGAAGAGACCGAGCGCGCTTTTGTTGCCGCAGATTTTTTTCCTCGAGAAATACATTTATTGATAAAACTCGTTGATAGACCAAAATTAGGCAGCTAATTTTTATACATTCCGAATCAGAAAATTTTTGCGAATTTTTTGATATATATCTCGACCTGTAACTCCACACCCCATAGAAGTACTTTCCTTGTAAAAAAAATCATAAAAATTTTGGAAAATCTGAAAATTTTTTTGAAATTCTTTAATTAAAAAAAGTTCAAAAATCTAAAAAAAATCAAACAATTTTTTTTTAGATTTAAAAAAAGCGACCATCAGTCTGTCGGGAAAATCATAATCACATAATTTTATTCCCCAACAGCCTGGTATAAACCAACTTGCCTTGATAGATCTACTCTTGGTACGTCCATTCCGGCCACTTTTCTCCTTCTTCTGCATGTTTTTTGATCCTTTCTTGTGCCTGCGACTGCTCGGGGTGATCTCCATCGACTTCGAAACAGTGTCCTGAGCCGGGCCTCCCATTCGGTTGCGTGGTTCGCTGAAGGTCGTAAGAACAGTGGAGGGGTTCGCAGTTTCTTCGGCCTTTCGCTGAAGAACTCCGATTAAAAATTTTTGCAAAAAAAATACAATTCAGCCAAAAAACAGGCCTCAAATTCTCAACCTTTCATTTGGGAGAGATTTCATAAGCGACAGATCGGATATTGGCCCAATATGTACAACCAACGTTACAAAACGGCTTGATCAGCCAGCCAATCAGTTGAAATGACAGTCAAATTTTTTAAATGGCTAGCCAAAAACCTGGATCGACTAGCCAAAGTGTCATGATGACTTTGAAGCCTCAAAAAAAACTGGCGAAAAGAAAATTTGGCTGTCATTCCTACCCTTGACACCCATTTCACCTCTTCGCTAGCTTTTTCGAGGCCTCAAAGCCATTCTGACACCTTGGTTAGCCGATCCAGAGTTTTGGTTAGCCATTTAAAAAAATTGACTGCCATTTCAACTCATTGGCCGGTTGGTCAAACAATTTTGCAACATTGGTTATACATATTGGGCCAATACCGGATCTGCCCCATATGAAATCTCTTCCCAAATAAAAAGCGCAAATTCCCCAAAAAACTCCGAAATAACCTCCAAATTCTCTTCATAAATCCGCCAAATTGGCAAGCTCAAAATTCCGTACCTCTCTTCGGAGGACTCTCCTCACAATCTTCCGCATTTCATTTTCGGTGTGTTCTTGGAGGTCCTTCTTCAGATCCTCAAAATTTCGAACTTCTTCGCATCTCTAAAAACCAACAGATAAAAAAATTGATGACAAACCCTCACCACAGTCTTGGATTTCAATTTCTCTCCGCCGGAGAATTCGTTGAGCACATTTTGCTGCGAATCCTTGAGGAGTTGGCATACATTTCGATGAACATTATCCAAATTTTGACGCTCACGACGTTCGGCGGCCCTCTCGCTCTTCTGACGGGCCTTAAAACATCCATTTATTAATAAAAAAGAGTCTGTTACTGTATTAATTAGAAGTAAAATTTTTGGTTTCAATTTTTTTCGTCACCTCTTACCACACCCAAAAAACAACAACATTTTCTGCCTAAATCAATGACAAACAATCTCTTACTTCATTGAACACACGATTGATTGACTCTCCAAGTGCTTGGCCGTTCAATCCCTAAAAAATTATATTGTACTAGGCAAAAGTTAAAAAAGTCCCCGCAAAATGGGTAAATTTTGTCAAAAAAATATTTACCTCTCCTTTATCCGTGTCATCCTTGTTCTGAGCGGTGCGAACGCTCTTAATGGCCTGGAATCGGCATTCCTCCTGGTATTTCTCCATCAATTTACAGTAGTCTTCTTCATGCAAGCCGGGACGCAAGACGTTCAACGCTGTGACAAAATCCATTTGATTGGTCAGCTTAAATAATAAATACGACATTAAAAACGGAAAACGCGAAAAAAATGAAAAATCAAAGAAAACCCCTACTTCGCTGACGAGGGGAAAGTCCTCCCATTTGAACAGGCCGGTCTTCGGTTTTTCGACAAGTTCAGAGCTGATATGGCAACATACAATCCGACGGGCTTCGTTCTGAAATAAAGTCATCAAAAAAATTTTAAATAATCGCGCAATGCAGCCGATGAGAACCCAAAACACCTCCGCACCGTGCAAAACTTGTCGCTGAAAGCTCGAGACTGCGGAGAACGAAGAGAATGGGCAGAGAAAAGCCGCGATAATGAATAAATGAACGTACAGTGCAGTCAATGAGAACCCAAAAAAATCCCCCGTGCAAAATTAGGATTGGGCCCGTTTTTGTCCCCACCCCGGGTTTGTCCCCACTTTTTTGGGCCTTTTTGTCCCCCGACCGGTTTTGTCTCCAGGCCGTTTTTGTCCCCAATATTTTTATTTTTGAAAATTCCTTGACCACCTAGCCAATCAGTTGAAATCACAACCAAATTTTTCAATGGCCGGCCAAAAACCTAGATCGGATTGTCAAACTGTCAGAATGGCGTTGAAGCCTCGCAAAAGCAAGCTTAAATGTTGGAATGGGTGTCAAAAAGTTTCAAATGACATCCAAATTATTAAAATGGCGAGTAAAAACCTGGATCCAATCTTTCGCTAGCTTTTTTTTGAGGCTTCACAGCTATCCTGACACTTTGGCTATCTGATCCAGGTTTTTACAAGCTATTTTAATAATTTCGCTGTGATTTGCAACTTTTTGACACTCATTCCAACTTTTAAGCTAGCTTTTTAGAGGCTTTAACGCCATTCTGACAGTTTGGCAAGCCGACCTAGGCCTTCGGCTAGCCATTAAGAAATTTGGCTGTGATTTCAACTCATTGGCTAGCTGGTCAAAGAATTTTCAAAAATAAAAATATGGGGGACAAAAACGGCCTGGAAACAAAACCGGTCGGGGGACAAAAAGGCCCAAAAAAGTGGGGGAACGTCTTCGGGACAAAAACAGGCCCAATCCTTGTTTTTTCACGTTGCGGGATTTTTTTTGGTTCTCATTCATTTTAGCGGCATTTCTGTCTCCACTCTCTTCGTTCTCCACAGTCTCGAGCCGGTGACAAAAACGACCAAAAAAGTGGAGACAACCCCGTCTCGGGGACAACGATTTCATTACGCAAAATTACCCAATTTCAACACTTGCACGGTAAATTCGATAACATCAAAAAAAACTTACAGTGAGAACCTCCAGATTGCTAACTTTCTTTGGAGAGACCGTGGTTTCATGGGCATTTTTTGGAGTCTCTGCGATATTACTAGCGCTGCTGGAGACCACCGTCGCATCATCCGCCGGATCATAGGCAGTTGAGGATGAGAAGCACTGAAATTTCAATGTTTTTAATCTAAATTACGCACAAAATTCAAGGTTTCACAAAGAAAACTTACCGGAACGCTCTCCGCGTCGGCTTTCGTACGTCGCTTCTTCTTTTTCTTGTCGCCTGGAGCTCTTTTCTTCTCTTTTTTCTCAAATTTTGAGAGGTTCTCTCCAAATCCGTAGATTCCTTCTTCGGCGGTCGATTCATCGACCATAACCAAGGCCACTGGTAGCTTTGGAGGATTGATTTTAGCGGGACTTATAGTTGAGAGAGGCTGAAAACATCATGTATAATATAATTTTTTGATAATAGTCCTCTCTTCTGGGCCTTCAAACTCATTATATTAACACTACAACACATTTCGTTACCTAAAAACCAAGCAAATTTGGAAAAATCTCAAAGTTATCTTCAAAACTACCTAAAACAATATAGCTCCAAAATATACCTGGCTATCCTTCGATTTCGTTTCCGTCGAGTCTTTAGACCTCTCCGATTTGCTTTTATCTCGCTTTTCTGAAAACTCTACGGCAGTTGAGACTCCTTTCGTCGGGCCGTCCGAGATCGAGGAGGCCGACCTGATTCTGCGGCCATTTTCCGGAAAAATCTGACAAATGGAATTCTCCAAAGCCGTGAGGACCGCAGGACTTTTGGCTACCGGCTTGTCACTTTTTCTGGGAATTATATCTGGAAGATCGGGCAAGGATTCATTGAGTTTTTCGTCGCTTCCATGACGCCGAAAATTCTCCTTCCATGATAATTCGAGACCGGTCAGGAGGCTGTTATCCTTGGCTGTGCTCAAGATTTTCTCCTGAAAATACCACATCCAGTCATTTAGACGTAATTTGATTGGGCAAAACCTCCCAAAATACTGGATTTTATATTACACAAGACATCAAAAGCAGCCTAAATGAAAAGGCTGAGATTTCATAAAATTTTCAACTAAAATACGAACAGCCAATAAAAATGAGAGAGAAAGTGACTCCATCTTGCTAATGCAACAACAATCCGCCGTATTTCCAACCATCTTCACAAAGAAAAAACCGACTTTTGTGGTCGGGCAACAACAATATTTTTCGGCGAAACAGTTGACCCAAAACTGAGAGAAAGTCGACTCAACCCGACTTTACCTCGGTTTTGGCCCGTTCCTTCGCTGCATTGCTCTCAGGATCACTGTCGCCTCTCGCCACTTCCAATTCGTATTCAAAATCGCTGTCGAATTCGGGTTCCTCAACTTCTTCCACCTGTCTCGGCTGAAACTGCGGCTCCTCGCCCATGGAGAAGAAGGGCTCCGACTCCGGCGCGGAGAACGACAGATCGGTGGTGGAGATGTCGAACAACGACAGGTCCGACTGTCGGATCTCGGAGGAATTTGAGTTCTACAAAAAATCGCGGAGATTTTACGATGAAAAAAAAAAATTTTATGTTATACATTGATAAGGTACCTGAACATTGCTTTTTGTTTCTCCGGATGGACCCATTTTGTCGCGTGGAGCTTGTTGAACACCACTCACCGCACAGAATTGAGAGGAGGCTCAAAATGAGAAAAATTTATGAAATTTTCTGGATTTTATTATCTAAATTTGCATAAGATTGGAAATTTTTGATTTTTTTGTAAAAATTTCGTATTGATGCAACTGGAACCAGTCTCAAATTTCAAATAAAACTTTTTAACAGATACTGGAGATTTTTTTAGCTCGTTTTTGTCATAATCCCATGCCCGAGGGGCGTGCACTGTGCAAAATTAATCCATTTCTCATTGGCTTAAACTAGAAATTACATCTTGTACGTATCTTCGGGCACCGAAAGCGGGGGTTTCGCACATTTCCACTTCCATTTCGAAACAAGAACTCTCTTTTTTCGGCCCAAAAAAGGTTTGTAAAAGGATTTTTTGGCCGCTTTTGCTTGTATTATCCCAACGCTGAAGGATGGGAAGGTCTTCTTTATCCCGAGAGCTTGCTCTTTTTTACTATACATAGTTTTTCCAATCACTTGGTTTTGTATTCAAATTTTTTGGCCGAGAGATCACGAGAAACGCGGAGAGTGGTCAGAGAAAAAGACTGTTTTTTGCCGTATTTTTTCCAGTTTCGCGCGGAAAAAAATTGATTTTTTGTTTAAAACGCGTTTTGCCACACTTTGGAGTTTAGCCTAACAGAGGGCGGACATTGTTAAAATCGGTATCTCAGAATTTAACCAAAATCGGTCAACTTGATCATCATGGCAGGTAAAACATTCGCTTTCTTTCTTTTTGCCCAAAATTACCGTATGACGGCATACTGTAACATTTTTTTTAAAAAAAGATATGGCCTAATCAAGAAAACGAAGCTCTATTTTAGCACAAATCGAGTTCAGGTGTGTGCTTTCGACCACGCAGAATATTTTTGTAATTATGGCCAAAAGCTCAAAATTACATCTAAGCAATGTTTCGCCTGCGGTAACATACCATTTCGGGCATAAAATTGGCTACTGTAACCAGATGCACTTTTAAGTACGGCAAAAAGAAACTCCAACCTTCATCCAATAACCCATAAAAATTTCAAAAAAATCAAATATACAACTTTTGAGAAAATGGGCATTCAATATCTCATGTACAAGGTCATCTGGGCCCGAAAAAATCTGGCATTCTTGGGATTCCAACGGGATGCACTTTTTCAAAGTTTCTAATACATTCTGAGGCTGATTAAAGATGATATGGCAAGTTTCAGGAGAAAAAAATATACAACTTTCGAGAAATTGACCAAAATACCTTATTTTAGGTCATCAGAACGCCGAAAAAGTCTGGCATTCTTAGGTTTCCAACGGGATGCACTTTTTCAGAGTTTCTAGTACATTCTGAGGCTGATTAAAGATTAGAGGCTGTCAAAAAGTGCTACAACCTCAAATCCCAAGAATGCCAGTTTTTTCGGGGTTCTGATGACCTAAAATAAGGTCTTTTGGTCAATTTCTCGAAAGTTGTATATTTTTTTCTCCTGAAACTTGCCATACCATCTTTATTCAGCCTCAGAATGTATTAGAAACTCTGAAAAAGTGCATCCCGTTGGAAACCTAAGAATGCCAGACTTTTTCGGCGTTCTGATGACCTAAAATAAGTTGTTTTGGTCAATTTCTCGAAAGTTGTATATTTTTTCTCCTGAAACTTGCCATATCATCTTTATTCAGCCTCAGAATGTATTAGAAACTCTGAAAAAGTGCATCCCGTTGGAAACCTAAGAATGCCAGACTTTTTCGGGGTTCTGATGACCTAAAATAAGGTCTTTTGGTCAATTTCTCGAAAGTTGTATATTTTTTCTCCTGAAACTTGCCATATCATCTTTATTCAGCCTCAGAATGTATTAGAAACTCTGAAAAAGTGCATCCCGTTGGAAACCTAAGAATGCCAGACTTTTTCGGGGTTCTGATGACCTAAAATAAGGTCTTTTGGTCAATTTCTCGAAAGTTGTATATTTTTTTCTCCTGAAACTTGCCATATCATCTTTATTCAGCCTCAGAATGTATTAGAAACTCTGAAAAAGTGCATCCCGTTGGAAACCTAAGAATGCCAGACTTTTTCGGGGTTCTGATGACCTAAAATAAGGTATTTTGGTCAATTTCTCGAAAGTTGTATATTTTTTTCTCCTGAAACTTGCCATATCATCTTTAATCAGCCTCAGAATGTATTAGAAACTTTGAAAAAGTGCATCCCGTTGGAATCCCAAGAATGCCAGATTTTTTCGGGCCCAGATGACCTTGTACATGAGATATTGAATGCCCATTTTCTCAAAAGTTGTATATTTGATTTTCTTGAAATTTTTATGGGTTATTGGATGAAGGTTGAAGTTTCTTTTTGCCGTATTTAAAAGTGCATCTGGTTACAGTAGCCAATTTTATGCCCGAAATGGTATGTTACCGCAGGCGAAACATTGCTTAGATGTAATTCTGAGCTTTTGGCCATAATTACAAAAATGTTCTACATGGTCGAAAACATAAAGTGGTGGTTCGGTCTCACTAAAATACCGCACCATATCTGCAGAAAAGGCAACTCTTTTCTCAGAAAGAAAGTTACAGTAATCCACCATATAACGACTATGGGCAAAAAAAATCAAGCGATCGCTCCATACCGATTGGTGATTCGGTTAACCAATTTTGGTTGAATTCTGAGACATCGACTCAACAATGTCCGGGCCAATCTACGATTTGTAGTAAAACGCGTTTTAAAACACGATTTCTGACTCGGTGAATTAGCCGTGGACATAGGAAATTTTCGATTTTGAGATTTACAGCTGAATATGTCCGCACCCATCATATAAGTGTGTTCCTGAAGCCTTTTGCCTTAATTCTCCCGTTAACCTAGTTTTATTTACAATTTAAGCAATTTACAGTAACGTCGAATATCTCAAAATTCAGAAAACGCAGAGCCGTAAAACCGCTGTCGTATATGTTTTTGGGCATTGGGAATTCAATGGAGGCAGTTTTGGGTCGAACGGATTACTGTAACATAGCAAACTTTCGCTTCGACCGCACAAAATCGGTCGTAAAAAAGTTGTTTCTAAAAACCCACAGCTGAATTTTTGATATGTTGATCAGCATAAAATTCTGCCCTAGAAACATTCAAAAAAAGTCCAAAAATCCGTGTTGCTATTTTCGTGGTATAGTGGATTTTGACAAAATCTACTAATCCGACGTCGCGGGTTCGAGTCCGGGTGGACGCAAATCACTGAGAATTGGTCGGGAATGACTTTAATGGAGGGAATATACAAGTTTGAGTTTATTTTAGGTGATTTTGATAAGATTCTGACAGTTTTCAGATTTTTTGGTGGAAAAAAGCCGAAAATAAAACTTTTTGACAAATCGTATTTTACACTATTTTTTTGTGTTTATGACATAATAAGAACTTATATGTAGTGTTTGTAAGGGGTCTCCAACATGTAGAAACCATTTCCTGAGTATTTGGACATTATACTTGGTATCTGTTAATCTTGCCTCATGCAGGCATCTGTAGGAACCATAATTTTGGCTAGTGACAACGTAATTCACTGTTTTGTGACCATACTTCACATTTTTTTCAGAAAACGGTTCATCATCGAAGCGATTTGCCTCTATAGAACAATTGATGAAATGCGGAGAAATTTTCATTTTCACACTAGATTTCTTGTGGTTACCCGCCAAATAATTGAAATTTTATGCTAGTTATACCCTCTACGGACAATTTGGCAAGTCAGAGCAAAAGAAAGTGCAATCTGGAAGATCTATCCACTTCCTTCTTATCAGGTGTCAAGTACAACATTAAAAAATTTTTTTAAGGGTTGGATTGTCGAAGAACCCCTTAAAATTATTAAATTTACGTTCTTATTGTGTCATGAACACAAAAAAACAGTGTAAAATACGATTTGTCAAAAAGTTTTATTTTCGGCTTTTTTCCACCAAAAAATCTGAAAACTGTCAGAATCTTATCAAAATCACCTAAAATAAACTCAAACTTGTATATTCCCTCCATTAAAGTCATTCCCGACCAATTCTCAGTGATTTGCGTCCACCCGGACTCGAACCCGCGACGTCGGATTAGTAGATTTTGTCAAAATCCACTATACCACGAAAATAGCAACACGGATTTTTGGACTTTTTTTGAATGTTTCTAGGGCAGAATTTTATGCTGATCAACATATCAAAAATTCAGCTGTGGGTTTTTAGAAACAACTTTTTTACGACCGATTTTGTGCGGTCGAAGCGAAAGTTTGCTATGTTACAGTAATCCGTTCGACCCAAAACTGCCTCCATTGAATTCCCAATGCCCAAAAACATATACGACAGCAGTTTTACGGCTCTGCGTCTTTTGAATTTTGAGATATTCGACGTTACTGTAAATTGCTTAAATTGTAAATAAAACTAGGTTAACGGGAGAATTAAGGCAAAAGGCTTCAGGAACACACTTATATGATGGGTGCGGACATATTCAGCTGTAAATCTCAAAATCGAAAATTTCCTATGTCCCGGCCTTGCACACGGCTGATTCAGTGAGTCAGAAATCGTGTTTTAAAGATTATCCTTTGTGTGGTAGAAATAGGCATGAAATTTTTCATGACAAAATTCGCAAAAAAACTTTGCGTTTTAGCCGACTTTCGATCTAAAGATCTCGGTAATTTCTGCAAAGCGCGAGTTAAGGGTTTCGCATGTGTCTTCGAAAAAAAATTAAACTTGCGCCATGTTTTCATCAAAATCTGAGCGTCGCACTTGAAGTACCACCCCTGTGAAAAGCGAGAGCCTTGCATATTACCAGTCTCTCTTGGAAAGGTGTATCATGCAGTCGATTGGTCATTTCTGCTCTCATTTATCAAGATTCAGCCTCACAAAAGCTATCGTTGCAGTTCTAGTCACAGCGCGGAAGAATGCTAAAAATCTCGTTCCTTATAAAAGTTGTTCATTGTACGATCCTTCTTTATCAGTCTGTCGGGAAAATAACGAGCACAATGTGGAAAACGTAACTTCTCGTCGCAATCGCGCCAATTCACCAGCCTAGCGGTCGCAAAGCGATGATGGGAAATTCTAAGACACGACGAATCCACATTATTTTCCCGACGGACTGATAGTACAGTTAAATGAGGACAATGTGGTTTCCCAAGGCTTTCCTTACCTTAATAAACTCACAAAAAGTTAATCAACAAGGTTCATTTAGGGTACCCCTGCAGAAAAATCAAAATCAATTTTTTTTTTGCTTTTCAACTCCATTAGCATTTTTCATTGGCATTTCGGACGCTGTTTTGTTATTTGCTATTCAGTGTGGTCATAAACAAATCCAAGAGGTGAGGCATTTATTTGCACAGTCCAATGCGCTTTATTCGAAAAGGCTTTTCCGCGTCTTCTCGACCCTGTTTCCCCACAAAAATGTCCTCTTTTCCTATTATCATATTGATAAAGAGTCCTCGTTTTCTCTCCTTTATTACAGGGCTTCTTGAAGGGGCTTTTGAAATAACGTGGTCGGAGTTGAGGTTGCTACAATTGGAGGGTTTTTTTTGTATATAGTATATCCATATGTATTTACAGGGGGACTACTCCAAGTGCGACGCTTTAATTTTGATGAAACTTGGCGCAAGTTTACATTATTTTTTTCTAACAAGTAAGACATATCCGAGACTCCTAGCTTTTTCACAAAAAATACCGAGATTTTTGGAACGAAATTAGGCAAAAATGTGAAGTTTTTTGTTTGCGATTTTTGGCATGAAACTGATTTCTACTGTTGAGGGTAATGTTTCCACAAAAAATCAATTTGTTGCGCGCAAAACTGGCAAAGAAACGGCCAAACAGTGTTTTTCTCTCTGAACGCTCTCCGCATTTCGCGTACTCTCTCGCTCTCTCTCTCTCTCTCTCTCTCTCTCTCTCTCTCTCTCTCTCTCTCTCGCTCTCTCTCTCTTTCTCTCGGCGGCAAAAATCGTTGTATATAAAAAATATCCGGTAATCCGGGTTTCTTATGTAACAAGAAATTTTTTTGTCACACAAGGCAGGGCCGGAAATTTTTGGGAAGCCTTGCCCAGAGCCACTCCTAGGTTAGGTCAAAAAAGTATCTTGTCGAAATTGCGACGCTCAGGTTTTCTTTAAATTTTGCCTAATTTTGTGCATAGGCTTCGTACCAATTCCTAAAAATTAAGCTCACTCTTTACAAGACCCACCGAGATATTCAACGATCTTTGTGGCCTAGAGAGTACGCGGAATGCGGAGAGCGGACAGAGAAAAACAGTATTTGGCCGTATAAAAAAAATATTTTTTGTGTAGATGTTGGCCATCTCCGGTAGAATTAAGACAGAAATTTGTTATGCTGAAATTAGAAAAAAGTAATTTTTCATCCACTTGCAATGTTGCATTTTGTCCTGTTTTGCCCATCTGATCTCATTGAATATCGGATTTCAATCTAAAGTTTCAATTTCTTCAAATTTCTTGCACTTTAAAACACGATTTCTGACTCGGTGAATTGGCCGTGGACATAAGAAATTTTTGATTTTGAGATTTACAGCCGCATATTACCGCACCCATCATATAAGTGTTTGCTATGTTACAGTAATCCTTTCGACCCAAAAACACTTACTTTGGATTCCCAGTACCCAAAAAATACATGATAACAATTTTACCGCTCTGCGTTTTCTCAGTTTCGAGCTATTTGACGTTACTGTAGATTGCTTAAATTGTAAATAAAACTAGGTTAACGGGAGAATTAGGCCAAAAGGTTTCAGGAACACACTTATATGATGGATGTGGCCATATGCAGCTGCAAATCTCAAAACCGAAAATTTCTTATGTCAAGCCTTACACGCGGCTTCAGTCATGTTTAATCGTGTTTTTAATAACGTTTATGGCCTTTTCTTCGATTGGGATGTTTTCAAATTTTCAGTAGTGTTTTGCAACCACATTTTTTTTACATTCTCCATGACAATTCGTCCGGCCAATGTTCTTTATGATGTGTGGAAGTCGGAGTAGAAGGCCAAGATGGCAATTTTTGCTGTGCATTGGGCTGGGCTTGTTGTTTATTTATTGGTGCTCAAGGGTCGGTTATGACTCCTATTATTCGGTAAGCCTTTGGATTTATTACTGTAGCTTTCGAAATTCCGCTTACTCTCTAGAATTTTTTTTGAATATCTCGATGGCACCTGTTGAGCTCGAGCTAAAATTTTTAGAAATTTGTACCTGGCATATTTAGGGCAAGTGTGCCAAGTTTCAAGGCATTCGAGTAAATTTTTTTTTATTTTTTCCAGCGATCTCTAATTAAGCCGTCCAATTCCAAAATCATCCTCGCTTACACCCTCTTCTTCGACAACGAGCGGGTCTATGAGCCCGCCGAGGAGTGTGAATTCAAATGTCTTGTCACATATGACAAGGGCTATCTTCCACATGCGGATTTGCTGATTTTCCATCAATGGGATATCAAGTTTTGGGACCTGCCCGATTCAGCGGCACCCAAAATTTTTTTCACCGAGGAATCTCCAATGTTCAAAAAGTTCAAATATTTATTTCCCCCGAGAAAAGACGCCTTCAACTACATTATGTCGTATATGGCGAATAGCGATGTGGTCTGGCCGTACGACCACAAAGCAATGTATGCGGGAAAGAAGAGGACAAGGGAGGAGGTGAGAAAGGTGTCTCTGTTTTAAAAATTGGTGCGACAAATTTAATTTGTCATATAGGAGTTTGACTTTATTGTTTCGTTATATAGGAGTTTGACACATAAAAAGTGTATTAGTATTTTTCCTAGATCCGCGCCATTATTGCCAAGAAGTCCAAAATGGCGCTTTCCGCGCGTTCCAACTGCGCAACCAACTCCAAACGAGAGGTGTTGATCGGTGCGATGGCCAAGCATGTGGAAGTCACCACAATTGGCAAATGTGGCCGAGAAGATTGTAATTGGGAATGCTTGGAGAGGGAGATGGGTAAGTAAAAAAATATTAAAAAAAAAATAAAAAATCAAAAAAAAATAATAAAAAAAATCAAAAAAAAAAAAATATAAAAAAGTCAAAAAAAATTATAAAAAAATCAAAAAAATATTTTTGCAGAATCGCACCATTTCTATTTGGCGTTTGAGAACGCGGTTTGCGAAGACTACGTGACCGAAAAATTCTATCGATTCACCAGTTATATCGTCCCAATTGTCTTACGACGACACATCATTCCCAAGAGGATTCCCTCGGACGTTTTTATCGCTGTCGATGACTTCCAAAATGTCAAGGAACTCACTGATTATCTCACGTATTTGACCAAGAATACCACTGCATACGAACGGTAGGGGAAACAGAGTTACCACTTTTCGGGTTAGCGACAGTTCGGGTTGATGATACTATGGATCGTGTCGGTTTGTCGTTGTGCGGGTGTGGCTACAGTGACGGACCTGATCCAATGGCAAAAAACGTACAATTTTGTACCCGGGAAGTATCGTAAAAAGTAGCAAAATGTCTCCGTCTCCAACTAAAAAACTCCGTTTTGAACGGTGTGCACTTTTCTCACAAAAAGAGCGGACGCGCGTTTGAAACCGGAGTTTTTTCATTTGGAGAGGGAGACATTTTGCTACATTTTTGGATACTTCCCGGATGCAAAATGGTACGTTTTTTGCCAATGAATCAGGTCCGCCACTGTAGGAGTAGGCTTAGAAGTAATAAGATTGGTCGGGCCTAGGGTAGCTTAACTACATATATATTTTGATACTATAGTTTACATGTACTCACATCAAGAATGTCAAGATAAAAGTTACGGATCTTCGTTGTTTGCCCCAAATTTTGGTCTTTTATATATTGCAGTAGCTCAGGGTAAAGAAAACTAACGTTAGCAATAGCTAAAATTAGAAAAAATGGACATATTTCAAGTCTCTGCGAAGTCTCCGCCGAGCCTTTGCCGAGCGTCCGCCGACCATCCAATGGCTTTTCCAGGCCCCGTAGGCACTTCCTACAACCCTTTTTAGAGGGGTGTCCACCCTCCCTACGCCCCGTATCGATCGATTTTGTGGTGACCCGAACTGTCTTTGACCCGAAAAGTCAGAAATTACTCCCGCTAGCAAGATTATTATGTCAAAAATATTTTGTGATGACTATTATTTCCGATTAATTCAAAAAATCCCGTTTCAGATACTTTGACTGGGCGATTCGAGGAGATATGGCCGAGAGGTACGACAAAAAAGATCCTGGCTGTCGATTGTGCGAACTCGCCTATAAGCGACCGCAAAAATCGATTGCGGACTTCAACAGCATCATAAATGATACGAAATATTGTGATAATACATTTGTAGAGAAATTTATAGGCATTTAGAGTGATGGACACTTTGCGGTCATGCATCGCGAAGCGGCAAGCGTAATTTCTTTACCTGAGGGCTTTTTGTTATATCCTATGCAAAAAATTAAAGGTAGTATGCAATGTAGTAATTTATCCATAAAGTCCGTAGAATTTTTTTCGGCGATATCGCGAGGTTTGCTCTTTGAAAAGTGCATGGTACTAGTGCAAATATAGTCTATAAAATGCAATTTTTTTACAGGAATACAAGGCTGTTGATGATATTTTCAAGGATTCCAGGAATCTGCCTATGATATTTAGATCATTGCCGCGAAGTGTCCTTTACCTCATTTTTATTGGCATTTACGGGTTCTCTTTGTTTCTGTGATATTTTAATAAAGGCTATTATACCTCAAGAAACTTTGCATAAGAAAATTCCTAAGAAACCGTCATTTTCGCCTTTAAAATCAGCATTCTGCGGTAGAAAAAGGCACGACTTTCGTGCCGAAATTTTGACCAAAAATCTCGGTGCTTTTTTCAAACCACCGTTCATAGTTTGACAAAATTTTCGAGCTATGACGTTGCAAGAAGACTTGAACACCTCCCTTGCAATTTGACTGCTCTCTCGCTGCAAAACGGGTAAAAAAGCAGGCCAGACACTTCACACGGGGTTTTTGCCGATATCATCGTATCAGGTGTTCTGTTAGCTCAGGGAAAAAAGAACACTCGAATACCGCTTATCCTTTTGAACTGGACTTGATCCAGGCTTTTTATCCAAACTCACGTCGAATGGAAGGGCAAAATTTTTGAAAAACTTTGAAATTATTGAATTTTTTAATATTGATCTTGATTTGAAAGCGCTGAAAAGGTATAAAAACATGTAAAAATACGGATAACACTCCGTACCACGCACATTTCGGATGCGTTGTATGCCTTTTCCTAAATTTATGACTTACCCCTTTCTCTAGTTTCATAAAATCACGTTTGTTTTTCGAAACGCCTTGAGAGCAATTCTCTTGGGGTTCGAAAATTAATCCCCGCTTGAACAGTTTTCCCCATAGGAAACGGTATTGAACCCTTCGGTTTTTGCTCAACTTGGCATGTGTCATGTCAAAGTGAATGGGTCAGAGATCCAAGCCCAGAAAACAGTCTAATCCCTGTAGGGAACAGGAAATTTATACAATAAAAGAAGGGTGCCATATTTGGGGCTTGATTTGGCGTGCCCTACATTTTAGTATTTTCAAAAAATTCATTGAGTTTTGTTCTTTTTAACAATGAATTTTTGAATGAAAACAGTTTTTTTGGCTATCCATCTGTCGGGAATATAATGAACACAATGTGCCTATCCTACAGAAGTGAAAAGCAGTTTGATTTTGCCGCAAGACAATTCATTTTTTTAGATAATATTTGTCCATGCACTTTATGAAAAAGCTAACTAAAGGAATTGTCTCTTGGGACATGTGAAAGACCAAAAAGAATGTTTTTTGGCAATGTATTTTTTTCCATTCCTAAAATCTTCAAGCCGAAGGCTGGAGAAGTTTAGCGATAGCTCAGAAATAGGATGTAAACTATCCTCATAGGCTTTAAAATCATTTAATCCTGGTTTTTACGCCTGGTAATCGCCCATCACCGCTTTGCGACGGCTGGCCTGGGATTTAGTGCGCGACTGCGGCGAGGCGATACAAGTCCACATTATTTTCCCGACTGACTGAAGACAGGTCTAAAAATGGAATTAGACTGCTTCAGTATGTCGGGAAAATAATGAACACAATGCCGCTGTCCCAATCGCCCAACTGAAACGCAGTTTGCTTTTGCCGCGACGAAATTCATTTTCTCCTCGCGGCGATACAATTTTCGTTGCGATTGAGTGCTCAATATTTTCCCGACAGACTGATAAAAAAGAAAATATTTTTTTGCAAACACCTTTTTATCTTTTGTTATTTATGTGCACAACATCCGCCGTCTGATCCTAATTCTCCAATGTAAAGTGCAATAAGAAAAAAGAAAATTTTACATTCGTACAAATCCGGTTGTTTTTGACAAACACGGGCCAAGCCGCGACTTCTATTTGTATTTTCGTAAAGTGCGTGGACATTTTGTCGCGCCTCGCAAAGTGCACAAAAAACCGAATTTTTTGCACCGTGCATTTCACTTTTTTTGGTTTCGCACCGTGCATCGAAATATCGCCGCTTTTCCCAACCGAAAAATGTTGAAAAATGCAATGTGCGAAGGAAAGCAAATGCACATGCACTTTTTCGAAATAATAATACGCATTTGCTTGTCATTGTAGCTTATTTATTTCTCTTTTTTTTGATGACTAAACCGAAGATCTCCCAACAAATGCAATAAAGAAGTTTTTTGGAAACTGCGGATTTAAATTCTAAATCACCCATTTGAAACAACATTAATGAGCCCCTTTTCTCATCGCTTTCATAAATATTTAATATTTTCTGCATTTTTAAATTTTACATTAACATTTTGATTTATTAAAACAAGCGTTCTCTCATTAAAAACAATTTTTTATGGGGTGCCAAGTAGACACTTTATGCAGCGCCGGGCCGGACCGAAGCAAGTTTTACCATGGGCTGCGATTTTTGGCAAGTCAGCTCCCAAGTGCGACACAGTCAAGCTTGAACGCAATACGTAGACATTTGCCCATTTTAAAATTGGGACTGGGATTTTATCGAGTTCTAGCTGTTGATATATATGATATATGTATAATACATAAATTTACCAGGAAAGTATCAAAACTGCGACACTCGGATTTTCTTTAAATTTTGCACACACTTTTAACATAGACCACATATCAATTGCTGGAAATTTTAGCTCACGCTTTGCAGGTACAGACGAGATAATCAACAATCTTTTTGGCCGAGAGTATGGGAAATGCGGGGAGCGGTCAGGGAGACACTATTTGACCATACCCATGACAGTTTCGTGCACAACAAAATTGGTTTTTCGTGGAAATTTTTTCCCCACGGAATTGGCGAAGATTTTGTCAAAATGTGTTTTTTTCTCTGACCGCACTCCCCATTTCGCCTACTCTCTCGGCCACAAATGTCGTTGAATATCACGGCTGTACCTGCAAAGCGTGAGCTAAAATTTCCAGCAATTGATATGTGATCTATGTTAAAAATGGGTGCAAAATTTAAAGAAAATCTGAACGTTGCAAAATTTAAAGAAAATCCGCTTGGGATACTTCCCAAGTGGTGTAAATTTTTGTATTACAAATATCAACAGCTAAAACTCCATAAAATCCTAGTCCCGAGTTCACATTGGGTAAATGTTTACGTATTGCGTTCAAGTTTGACTCTTACAAAATCACGATTTCCCATCGGTTTTTATAAAGTCCGAGACAAATAAGCGAACATAACAGGTGACCGTTTTTGGGAGAGAATTGTAAGGTTTTTAACAAGAAAAACGATTGGTTTTCTTGTTTACTGTGGGGAATTTGGGGAACGTGGTGTTTGCAATTTGTCCTTGGAAGGTATAAAATTACTGTATTTTTGTTTTGCGGGTATTTTTCTTTGTTTTTTTTTATCGGGGAGGGTGACTTTTTTGGCCTAAGTTGGTAAGAAAAGCGATGCTCAGATTTTGATGAAAATTGGCAAAAATTTAGCATTGTTTTTACTGAGACATATCTGACAAGGAAAGTACTTTTATGGGGGCTCCTACTTTTTGACGGGACATATCTCAAAAAATCAGAAAAAATGCGCTGATCAAGGATATATAAATCTTAGCTGCCCATTTTGAGTTTTTAGGGGTGAAAATGCCCAAAAACTGGTTTAATTTCCCTACAAAAGGCAGACATTCGAAACGATAAAAAAAGCACTCGATCTCTTCCTTCGGAAGAGAGCGGTGTGGCCGAGTGGTTAGTGCCGTAGTCTGGGAATCAAGAGGGGGGACGCCGCACAGGTTCGATTTCCTTTTTGGGCTGAATCAACTTTTTTGAAGTTGAAGGTCGGAAAAATAAATTTTTGGGCCAAGACTGTCTTATTACGTCTTAGAAACTCAGTAAACACCATTTTAAGCCAAAATAAAAATCGTAAACCTTTGAAAAAATTATGCGAAAAGGGGTCATATAGGACTTTAAGTAAAGTTCCGACTGAGTTTTCACCCCTAAAAACCTAAAATGGGCAGCTAAGATCTATATATTCTTGATCAGCACATTTTTTCTGATTTTTTGAGATATGTCCCGTCAAAAAGTAGGAGCCCCCATAAAAGTACTTTCCTTGTGAGATTAACAGCTCGCGCTTTGCAAAAACAACCGAGATTTTTGGACAGAAACTCGGAAAAATGTTTTTGCTTTTTTTGACCTGAAAAGTTGTATACCAATTTTTACCGAAAAGGGCAATTTTTTCAAAAAAAAATTTTGAACTTTGCAAAATTTCTCTTATTATCAGTATGTCGGGAAAATAATGAGCACTCTGTCGCATCGAAAATCGCATCACCGCCGAGAAAATGAATTGTGTCAAATCAAATTGCTTTTCACTTCAGCACCTCACAATAAAGATAATATTTTTGGGAATTGACTTTTTGGAAAGTTCTTTAACGAAGTGTTCTTTTTACAAATCTCCTATATATTTTTAACCTTGTACGATGACTAAAATAGAATCGATCTGAAAGATCTCTTAAGAAGAAAGCACTTTTGATGTTTTACACTTTTTGATTACTCTGTTTTCCTTACTCTGCTTACAAACATCACAAAGCACTTTTTTTAAATCTTCAAAACGTGTTTTCGTCAACTTCCAAACTCTCGTCCACAGACTGAAATTTTTTTGAAATGAATGCAAAATCTCGTGACTTTTTGTTCTTCTGGATTTACATAGACATTTCCAGTGTTACCCCTTCTGTTTCATCACTCCGAATGTATAAATTGAGCGAGTGCTGTGAGAACAATCACTGGTTTGGTCTTTGTTATGTTATAGTATGTATTACTCGGTTAGGTGACGAGGGTTGTAGTTTGGGAGTCTAAAAGGAAAAATAAGTTCGTTTTATGTCTATTGAGGTATCATAATACAATATATAGTATTTTTATAAAGTGCATGGACCGTTTTTCTCTTTTGCACAGTGCGTTCTAAACTTTTTCCTGCGCTTGTCGCCAACGCACAGCGCATTTTTATTTTTCTCTTTTCGCACAGTGCAGCTCTCAAAAAAGCCTTTTTGCACTGTGCAATTTCCTGGCGCAAGCACAATGTTACTGTACCAATCGCGGAAGTGAAAATCAATAAAGCTCTCGCTCCGCACTTACAAGGGAAGTACTTGAAGTGTGACGCTCAGATTTTGATGAAACTTGGCACAAATTTAGAATAATTTTTTCTAAGATATATGCGAGAATCCTAGCTCGCGCTTTGCAGAAACAACCGAGATTTTTAGATCGAAAGTCGGCGAAAATTTGGGACTTTTTGCCGAATTTCGGCACGAAAAGTTTCATGCCTATTTCAACCGTAAAGAATAATGTTTCTACAAAAAATAAAATTTTTCCGCACGAAACTGCCAAAGTTATGGCCAAAAAGCGGTTTTCTCTCTGACCGCTCTCCACGTTGAGCGTGCTCTCTCGGCGGCAAAAATCGTTCAATATCTCGGCGGCGCCCGCAAAGCGCGAGCTAAAACTTTCAGGAATTGATATTTAGTCCATACCCGATGTGTGTGCAAAATTTAAAGAAAATCTGAGCGTCACACTTGAAGTACTTCCCCTGTTAGCCGAGTTTCGTCGCGCGACACCTTGTCGCAATTCCGACCGCAATGTGCAAAAACAGGTCAAGGCGCTTTGGCCCACCTAATAGAGAGGCTTCGTTGTACGGAGGTTTGTTTTGGCCTACCTGTCGGGAAATTAATGAACACAATGTCGCTTTGCCGATTTCCCTTTTATGGACATAACCGTTCATTTTTCGCAGCCGAAATGAGGTCAAAGAGCCGCAGCTCGTCTTCAGCGCGCAATTTCAGCTCTTTTCGCCGGCGTAAACGAGATTCAGCGTCTCAATTACTTTCACTTGATTTTTCATCATGTTTCACGTGATCTCCGCGAGGGAAATGGCGAACATACCTGATATCATAGATCTTTCGACGCGCTGAAACCGCGGAGATCACTTTTCTGCCTTGATAACATTCCTTTCGGCAAATAAAGCGCTGCACTTGTAGTGGGACTTTTTTCCCAACGAAATTGAAGGGATCATAGGCGATTTGTCATATATGTAGTTTACCGAGGGTCAAAATTTCCTGTGGTTTGTTTGCACTGTGCAGTTATTATTTACCTTCAATATAGGATATGTTTGACGTCAATTTACAGGTTTTCGGGAAAATAATGTGGGATTGTGGCAACAAAATGTCTCGCCTTGTCGCAGTCGCAAATTTCCAGCCGCGGAAAGCCGTCCCAAAGCGATGATGGGCTATTCCAAAGCGCACATTATTTTCCCGACACACTGATAAATGATGATAAAAGCATCCACGACGAATCAAATATTAGAAAAAATCGTAAATAAAACAAGCACTCCTTCACATCGAAAATCGCGTGAGAATGAATTATTTTGCGACAAAATCGAATTGCGTTTCACTTCGACCTTGTGCTCATTATACCCGACAGACAAATATGTAGAGCCTGCCGCAAATTAAACATCATTTCCTGAAGCTCTTCGATAGCGCGTTGCGGCGGCAGCCGAGCAAAAAATTTTCTTCGCCGCCGATTGATACATGCTCTGCGCGCTGCAGGCACCTGTGGTGCGGAACCTCTGTACAAGAAATTTTTTTTATTAGTTTGTTGTACAGAGGTTTCTTCAACCAGTCTGTCGGGAAAATAATGAGCACAATGCCGTCGCTGAAGTGAAACGCAATTTCATTTTGCCGCGTCACAATTAATTTTCTCGGCGGCCATGCAATTTTCGATGCGACATTGCGCTCATTATTTTCCCGACAGACCGATGCTCAATTTATCCCAGCCTTCACTATTTCGAGACAAAACGCTCTCATCTAACCGCCAACTTCATCTTACTTTGTGCACTTTCACACAAACAAATGTTTAGGTTATGTGAGTGGGTGAGTGCAAGAAAAAGATAGCAGCACGCGAATGTCGGGTAATTCCATGGTTACGAAATCCCGAACCCAGATTATTTATATGAGTTTTACATCATTTCAGGAAGTGAGTTTTGGTCAGTCTAGGGAAATATAGATTGTTATGAAATTTTTTTTGACATCTTTCCTGCTTCCTCATGTGAATAGCCTAAGGCATGGCTAATGAGATTTTTTTAAAACTTGGGGAAATTTGAGATTAAGATTTTTAAAAGGCATGCGAAATTTTTACATTACGCTTTTCAAAAATTATCGACATTTTTTGGGCGAAAATCGAAAAATTTATATTTTTTTTGATTGTCAGCTTGAAAATTTATTTTCCCAACAAACTGATATGGCCGAAAAGTGAAGAAATCCAAAGTTTTGTATTGTTTTCCCTATTTTTCGGTGAAAAAATTGTTTTTATCGTCGCAAAAATCGGCCGCAAGAAGCGTATCTTACCATTCAATTTTTATAATACTTTTAACTTCATTTTCTTATATTTTATCCCGTAAACCCTCGCCAAAAGATGATTATAAAACGTCCCGACATTTTCCCCAGAAAAAAAGATGCTTTTTATATTATTGAACGCGACATGAGAACTATTTCCGGGCCGCTTAAACGTCCCCGTCCCTTGGGGCATTTTCCGGCGAATTTGGTCCAAAATATTTTCTTGCGCCTCGGAGTGTTGGAAGCGACGCCTACTTACAATTAGGGCGGTTTTTGGGAAGTGTTGAGAACAGGAGGGACGAATTGAATTAATTTCTTGGGTCCGTGAGAATGGGTAATATGTAATTCAAGGTGTTCTTTGGACGTCTACCTTGTCTGGGGTTCACTACAATTTTTTTTGTTTAAAACAAGGAAGTGTGACACTCAGATTTTGATGAAAATTGGGACAAATTAGAGCAATTTTTTCTAACAGTTGTAAGGAATATACAAGACTTCTAGCTCGCGTTTTGCAGAAACGACAGAGATTTTTAGACCCTAATTTTGCAAAAAAAGTAAAAAATTTTTCGAAAATTTTGGCTTGAAAAAAGTCTTATCCCTATTTCGACTGTAGAAGGGAGTGTTTCCTCAAAAAATCAATTTTTTCCGTGCAATATTAGCAAAGATATGGCCAAAAATAGTTTTTTTTTGTCTGACCACTCTCCCTGTTCTGCGAACTCTCTCAACGTCGCAGGTTGTCGAATATCTCGGACGGCTCTGTAAAGTAAGCATGGCTGCAATCTGGCCCGGCCTGTGGCATGAGCCCGGGCTCAAATTTCCAGGCCCGACCTGAACCCGGGTAAAATTCCTGGTGTACCTTATCAAGTTTTAAGAATTTTTCATTCTTTGAAAAACGTCTTAGCCGGATTTTTTGGACGCCAAGAAACTCTTGGAATTCTATTTTTCCTTTTCCGTGGAGAAGACCAGACATTTTTTGTTTTCTTAATGTAGTTCTTACACATTTTCAAGTGATTTTTTTTTTCAAATTTTGCCATTCTACACATTGAGAGCTGTTTCATCGAAAATCGTATCTCCGTTGCCGAAAAAATGAATTGTCTCGCGGAAAAAACAAATTTCTTTTTACTTCAGCGACACAACCGACATTGTGCTCATTATTTTCCCGACACGCTGATATTTTATTTTCTTTTATTTCAGTATGTTGTGCCTTTATACGTACATTTCCCGTCTTTGTTGTCCCCATTTTTTACGACAAAAATAATCCTTTTATGTGAATTTATTGCCCTTTTTGCGCAAGGACACAAACAACCCTCCTAATACGGAATGATAAGAAAGTGACCAGTGCAATTTCTAAAACGTTTTTGTTTTTTCTAGACGCCCAACGGGGTGGTTCGGTTTTGGAATTGATCTTGCATGAGCCATTCGACTTTTTGTAGTGTTTGGAAAGTTTTTTAGTTGGGTTTTGCATAATTTGGGGGGATAAAAGGCTTCAAAGTTTAGTGTACTTGCGGTCCCGTAAATGACAGGGAGGTTTCGTGATCTTTTTTTGGAGTCTATTTCCTTCTGTATCTCGAAAATATAATGTGGAATTGTCGCAGCAAAATATCTCACCTCGTCGCAGACGCGAAAGGTTCCAGACGCGGCAAGTCGTCACAAAACGATGAACACCGATTTAAAGGCGAATCCGCGAATCCTCATTATTTTCCCGACAGACTGATAGTACAGAGACTTATTTGTTGTCGGTCTGTCGGGAAAATAATGTGGCTTTACACTGTTGAATAATGATAAAGAAAAGTATCAATGATGGTGCGACAGAATGCTAATATTTTCACGACGGACTGATAGTAAAAAGAGCGAATTTTTTGGTCCCTTGCGATTCGTTGTACAGAGGTTTCACACTACACACTCCCACAGGGCACAGCGCATGCAGTTTGCTTCTGTCACCCTCCCCGCTCTATTATGACCACCACTTACCTCCAAACCTTCCCTCAAAAGTCGTGCACGACCTTTTTACACACTTAAGTTACATTCTCAACCCTCAACTCGATTTGCATTTCGTATCGCGTGTGTAAACTTATTATGTGGGTGCATGAGTCCCCGCTTGAAGCGCACAATCTAATGTTTACCCGTTCAGCGCAACCCCTTAACCCCACCGTTGCACGGGCCTCAACCACCTTCCGAGCTGGCAGCGGGACGCGAACGCGGTGGTCAGAAAAGCACGTCTGGCCGAAACTCCGGCCTCCAAAAACACCGGGTCGCCGCAACGTTGCAACGACCGCGCCGTCGTCGCAAACTCGCCCAACAAATCTTCTGCACGACGTTGATGTTTCAGCTGCTGATTTACTAATTCGCCGACGAATAATTCGGCTAACTGAGGCGCTAATTTTATTGGAATTGTAGTTACTTTACATTGTAATTACAATAGAGGAAGGGATGTTACAGCCAAATGGAGAGAAATGGAGGATCCTGGTGCTGTTCGGAGCAGTGTCGTCGTTTACGAATTTCCTGGTGAGTCAAGTTACAAACCTCTTGGTTCACTTACGGGAGAGGTGAAGTACCCCAAGTGTACTTCTCAGATTTTGACGAAACTTGGCACAAATTTAGAATAATTTTCTCCTTTTTCAGGAAGGATATTCAAGTTCGTCCCCGAACACTGCCGGCAATAGTTTTCAACACTTTATAAACGACTCGTACATCAGTCGAGGAATGCAGGGAGGCTTGACAGAATGGCAATTCACTTGGTTTTGGTCATTCTTTTTGAATATTTGGTTTGTCGGATACATTATTGGAACGTTTATGACCCCTTTTTTTGCTGACACCTTTGGCAGGAAGAGTAAGTGACAGATGAAAAACAGTTTTTTGGCTATCAGTCTGTCGGGAAAATAATGACAATGTCGTTGCGGCGATCCTCGTCGCTGATGTGAAAAGCAATTTGACTTTTGCGCGATACAATTCATTTTAGCGATGCGATTTTCGACGCGAAAGAGTGCTCATTATTTTCCCGACAGACTGATAGACATGATTTCGTTGCATGGTAGTTCGTTGTACAGGTCTCATTGTATTTTTTCCAGAAAGTCTGCTCTATGCTAACACCGTTTCCCTAATCTCAACGCTCATTTCGACCAGCTCGATTGCGGTCGCAATGCCGGAAGTTCTGTTCATCGGCCGAATAATCGCAGCAGCGGCATCGGGCGTCTCGTTTGGTGCGCTGATTTTGTTCCTACAAGAGACAACACCTACGAATTTGCGAGGAATGGCCAGCTTCTTGAGCGAAACCTCCTATCTGGCGATGAACGTGGTTGGAATGGGGATGGGAATGGAGTCAGTGCTGGGGAAGCACTTGGTATTACTACTGGGTAAGTGGAATACGGAAAAGGATATGCATTTTCTTCAAACTTTGCGAGTTTCCTCTAGTAAGACTACAGTGGCGGACCTGATCCAGTGGCAAAAAACGTACTGTTTTGCATCCTCCGTTTTGAAGAGAGTCTTTTCACTTGGAGAGGGAGGTATTTTGCTATATTTTTGATACTTCCCGGATGCAAAATGGCACGTTTTTTGCCACTGCATCAGGTCCGCCACCTCAAAAATCGCGGTTCAAAATTGGCCTACTGGCCCTTAAATTAAAGAAGATTCCGTAAAAATCAGTTCCTCATCCCTACTTTTTCAGGTTTCGGAGTAATCCCCGGGATTCTCGGGATTTTAATCATGATCCCCCTGAAAGAAACCCCCAAATATCTGCTGATTCATCGACACGACCAAGACGCAGCAATCTCTGCTATAAAGTACTACCAAGGCAGCTACGTCAACTACAAGCTGATGTTCAACGACATGCTTAAAGAGAGCGCCAAAGGCTCGGTCGACATGACATTGCGGCAGGCTGCGGCCGAGGTTTTCCGACAATCCGCGCTGCGAAAAGCCACTTGTATTGGGATTGTGGCGCTACAACTGTGTGTCGGGATCTGGCCCATCGACTACATCTCGACGGACCTGCTGGAAGCGCATTTCAGCGGCGCTACAGCGCAGATCGTCTCGTTTATTTTTATATGCGCGAATTTCGTGGCAAGTCTAGTTGGGATGTGCTTGATTGAAAGGTTCGGCCGACGACCGCTGCTTCTCTGGTGTGGCGTTGCAAACACGTTGTGTTTGGCAGCTTACGTTATGTTTGACAGGTTGGCGTTCTACGTGAGCAAGGAGTACAGCTATGGATGTGTTGCGGCGTTGATTACCTATGGAATTACTTATGGGTAAGTGGGAATTCTAGAGTTATACAATTTTGTGGAGGAAAGGGCGCGCTCTTAAAAACGGTTTTTTTAGTTGGAGAGGGACACATTTTGCTATATTTTTTGATACTTCCCGATGCAACATGGTACGTTTTTCGCTACTGGACCAGGTCCGTCACTGTAGGCATCTGTTACAACCCTTTTTTTCCACCTTTCCTGTGCCTGGGGTCGTTAGATTTTGTGTTGACCCGAACTGTCCGCGACCCGAAAAGTCAAGACGCAAAATTTTTGGCTCGCATTTTGCAGAGATCATTGAGATTTTTAACACAAAATCTCGATGATATCTGCAAAATTCAGGTTAAAATTTTCCTAATTAGCCAGTTATAGCCTAGTACAAGTTTTGCCAATTTTTCGTCCATCGCAAATCACAACCTTTCAACCACTTTCCCCAGTAAAACACGTTCTTTTTTCAGCGCCGCACTAGGCCCAATTGCCTTCTTCATAACCGGAGAACTGGTCCCTCAACAGTTCCGATCGCTCGTCCAGTCCCTCGTGTTCGCCGTGAACACCACCACCAACTTTGCTTTCTCCTTTGTTACCCTCCCAATGTACCGCTGGATCGACGTTTGGTCCTTCATCCCACTTTTCATCATCCCCTCGACCTTCTCCTTGATCTACCTGTACTTCCGGATGCCGGAGACGAGAGGTCGCGAAATTCACGACATTGTCAAGTCATTTGGGGCTGAAAAGCCCAAACTGGTGGTCACAATGCAAGCGCCAATCGTTCAGAAGCCATTTGCAACGTCAATTTCAGCGGCGGACCTAACACAAAAAGGTGGATTTTTGGAAAAATGTAAGGAGATTTGTCGCAAAATTTTGTAAGATATTCGTGGTAAAGTCTACCATATGCACTGTAAAAGTTTTGTTTATCGACCTAGCAATTTAGTTGAAAAGACATCAAAAAACATGTCAGTTATACCTAAAGTAATATAATTAGTTTCGAATTTTTGATTCATCCACGCCCAAAAAGGTGAAACAATATCCCAACTGCCAAAAAAACTGATTAATCATGTTTTCAGAAATTTTACTACGTCATGATGACGGATTTCTTGGAATATCTCAGAATTTCGAGACTTCCAATTTTTTCACATTTTTCTCAACCTTTTTGGTAGTCATATACAATAATACCCTCCAATTTTAGCCACACACCATCACAAAGACGTCACCGACATCAATGTTCAACTAGACGATGTTAGACTTGAGATCAAGCCACTCAGTCGAATGGTGAACTCCCAACGAATGAGCATCGGCTCAGTTGGCTCGGCATCGGGCCGAAAGTTCATGGCCGACATGCGACTGGTCGCCATGCTCGACTCGGACAGCGATCCCTCAATTACGGACAGCACGACAAACGGGTGAAACGACAAATCTTTGAAAAAAACTTGTATGATATGTGATTAGAAAAACTGGTAATAATAGTATTGAATAAAATCGAATTACATACGACTAATTGGCAAGCGATATTACCGGTTTTCCCCGATTTTCAACGGATTTCGACAGTTTTCTTCTCAGCGGAACACTTGACCCAAAAAGCCTGATGTGTCAAGTTTCTCACTTTTATTCTTCTTTCCAGAAAAAATAATTTTTGCTCGTCTTTGACCGCAGAATCCCGCGTGTTTTTCATATCAGTGGTAAGTGGGTCAATTCCCCTTCGATATTCTTTGGTTTTAGTGTATTTGGTCAGCAGATAATATCGAAAAATTGGGGAAATACCTGAATGTTGAAGGGAGATTTGATAAGAAGTTCATTTCAGTGTTATCATGAGTGAATGGGACCGATTGTCCGAGAAACTTCGACATCCCGAGAACCCAGTTGTCTTCTTTCAAATGGCGGCAGGTGGTGGACCGATTGGGACGATAAAAATGGAGCTCTTTGCTGATGTGGTACCTAAAACCGCGGAGAATTTCCGACAACTTTGTACGGGCGAAATGAAACGAGATGGAGTGCCTGTCGGCTACAAAAATGCCCAGTTTCACAGGATTGTCAAGGATTTTATGATTCAAGGAGGAGATTTTGTAAATGTAAGCTTTTCCGATATTGTTCTTTGGTCTTTAGACGAAAATTGATGGGGTGAATGTTTCATTGGTCGAATCACTGAGAAACCCGGAATAGACGTTCGCTTCACGACGAAGTGGCTATTTAGCAGCTTTTTTCGACGAAAAGATGTCGAAAATGAATTGTTTTGGCAAAAGGTTTTTGTAGTATGTGGCTAATCTAACCCATTACCAATTTTTTTTCTAATGAGCCGCATTTGCAGGGAGATGGCACTGGAATGACGAGTATCTACGGTCCTAAGTTTGCCGATGAGAATTTCGACCTGAAACACGACGAACCCGGGATATTATCCATGGCAAACGCCGGTCCCGACACAAACGGATGCCAGTTCTTCATTACCTGCGCGCCTTGCGCCTTTTTGGATGGAAAACACGTTGTTTTTGGTCGAGTTCTTGATGGATTGTTGACAGTTCGGAAGATTGAGAACGTTCCCACTGGGCAGAATGGAAAACCGAAGATTCCAGTTGTTATAGAGCAGTGCGGGGAGCTCTAAATGCTCTTTAAATATTGGTAATTCAACTATGATACTCATAATGACCTCGGATTTGTAAAAGTTGTTGAGTTGTTGTGCAAATTTTGAGGATTTTCAATTTATTTATTGGAATAAACATGGATAATATAAATTTGTCCGATTTTCCGAGGTTAAACTCCTTTCACTATCGGGAAATGTGTTTTATAGATTGAGAATTGTGTGATGATATTTTTTTTCGAAGGTGCAGATGACAGAAGGTAGCACAACTCCAGAATCTTATAAGATTGTCTTGTTAGGAGATGGGGCTGTTGGCAAGTCCTCGATACTCCTAAGATACACCGAGGACAAGTTTAACGACAATCATCAATCTACAATTCAGGTGAGTTGTTGTAAACTTCCTTTTTCCACGAAGAATTTGTCTTTTTTGTCAATTTTTTATATTACACTAGACAAATTTTCAAAAATTTTAATTTTTAGGCCGCTTTTGCCACGAAAGTGATATGGGTGGACAACAAACAAGTGGAATTGAATGTCTGGGACACTGCGGGTCAAGAGAAGTTCCACGCGTTGGGTCCGATTTACTATCGGCATTCACAAGGCGCCCTGCTGGTCTATGATATTTCTGATGAGAAGTCGTTTCAAAGGGTAAGATCTTGAAGTTTTTTTGTTTTCTTGGCTTTTAGATAGACCTGAGTGAATTTTTACATTAGAAAATAAGGATAAAATGTAGAACTAGATGATCAATTTTGGAAAAGTAATCAAAAAAATCAACTCAAGTATAAGGTCAATTTCTCGACCTTTGATATATTTTCTTAGTTAGCCAGACCGCATAGGTCGGTAGTGTAGCTATGAAATTGATTTTGTTATTGATTTCGCCCAAAAATCGCTGAAAATAGTTAAAAATTATATTATCCTTCAGGTCCAAAAATGGGTCCTAGAATTAAACCGAATGCTTGGCCAAAACTGCGTGCTGCGCATCGTAGGCAACAAACTGGACCTGGAAGCGCAACGACAAGTCCAACAACAGGACGCCAAAGCGTACGCCGACTCTGTCGGAGCTTCATGGAGCGAAGTTTCAGCCAAAAACAACATAAATATCGAAGAGACCTTCCATGACCTCACAAAAGAGATCATGGCAAGGTCCATCGAGCTGCAGCTCTCTCGACTGGACCGTCAGCCCAGCCTGCGAAGCAGTCGGAGGACAATCCGAGTCGAGGACGACGCGAATTTCCAACCAACCTCCAAAAAGTGTTGTTGATCAACAAGATTCACTTTTTTGTTATCAAAATCAACAACTCAACTGCTGAGTTTGTAAATTTCATAACCTTTGAGAAGTTTTCTCTCACTTTCAACCTTCATTCCAGTCAAAAAGCCGGTGCATTCATCAATTTTAACGTTAATAAACGCGAAAATGCAAAATCAAAAATTTTTGAATTTTTTTTTGTAAATTTTTGTTTTTATGCCGTGTGAATGTTCAATTTTCCTTATTATTTCCAACCAACAACCCGCAGAACTTCGTTGACAAACCTGCGAAAACATTGTTTACACTCGATCCATCAAGTGGTGGCTGTAATAAACGCCGTCTTGTATAAAAGCGAAAGGAATTTGGGTATTTTTACTTCCATCAAAAAATGATGGGCCCTTTGTTAGGTGTTTTTGTGCTGTTTGTTGCGGTGGAATGCTATCCATTGGAGGTTTTTGGACGTGCGAAACGATCGGAGATTATCCCGGGAAATCGAATTGTCCGCTATGAAATTCAGCCGATGCCGCATGTGCCGAGCAGTGGTAAGTTAAATAGGATTTGGAAATTTCAGTTGTATCGCGAGATAATAGACCATACGGGATTCGAGTCGAAATTTTCAGGTCGTGATGACAATTCCGACCGGTCATGACGGTCGTATCAGTCTGTCGGGAAAATAATGAGCGATCTGTCGCAACGAAAATAGCATCACCGCCGAGAAAATAAATTGTACCGCGACAGAATTGGCCCAGAGACACTGCGCTCAGTATTTTCCCGACAGACTGATAATCACCTATCTAACCGGTCACATTAAAAACCGTGGACAAGTAAATCGGATGACCGGCCCGAATAGTCAACTTACCGGTCCGATCTGGCCATTTAACCGATTAGCCCTCTTCGAGTCGCTATTTTTCATTTTTTCCAGACAAATCTCAATGCCTCGACCGCACCGGAAAGCATCGCAAAGACGGCGAAGAATATGAATGCACCTTGGGGATATTCAAACTCAAATGTAATAAAGGACAAGAAGAAGTCACTGGTATGTTGTTTTTGTATCCTTTTTTTCTATGCTTCCCGTTTAGCATGCCTTGGATCGGATCGAACAGACAAGAAGTGGATTAAGGTTGGAGAAACTTTGAATGTCAACGGATTCTGGCACAAATGCGAAAGGTTTGACAACAGCAGTGTGGTTTATCATCAAGGTATGAAGACTGTTTACAAAATAGCCATTTTATACGATGAAACATGCCCAACGATTACTTGGACATGTTACATCATATAAAATGGATTTAAATTCGTTGCACCTCATTGAAGTTGCTGAAAACGATGTTCTCAGTTATTTTTCAACAATCTCATGAAGGTTTTATAGTCATGAAGTTATTTGACCATTTTATACGATGAAACATGTCCAAAGCTTAATTTGACATGTTTCATCGTATAAAATGGTAGTCTACAGTCGAAAAAATGAAAAATTTCTAGAGCTCTCGTGTCGCGACGAAAACCGCAAAGAAGTTCATGTGGGTGACGAAGTCATTGTAGCGTCGCTGCGTCTAAAATGCGTTGAAGGAGGCTACCTTCCAATTGGATGTTACATCCCGCACAAAGATGGAGGAATAAAGCTGAAAGAGGGCGAAGAAAAAACTATTGATGGATTCCCATTTACCTGTAAAACCGCGTCGTTGCATCGAAAGAAACGGGACGAAGTCAGCGCGTTGGGAGCGGGCGTTGCAGCGCATGGCGCGACGTCCTGGTCGCAAGTGCCATTCCCTTCAGCCGAAGAGTTGGGCAAAAGTGGATCCGAAATCAAAGCGGACCCAGAAACTTCACCGGGAGCAACACAAACCGAACAAGTTGTGAATGCCAAGCCTGTAACTTTGGTTGCAGCGAAGGACAAGCCGAAAACATCAAGATAATTAGGGTATAATTGATTCGCATATTTGTCAATACCACACAGTTCATTTTATTGTACGCTTGGACTGCCATAAACGTGTCGTATAAATGGATAGTTGAAATAAGAGTCCAAAGAGTAAACATAATCGTCCAATTTGCGTTTCGTTTGCTTACGGTAATAGCTTTGCTTATACTGTTATTATTCCACAACACCAAAACAATCGAAAGGCTAGAAAAGGTACGTAGCTCTATTCTTGAGTAACCGTACTGCACTAACAGGGGAACTACTCCAAGTGCGACGCTCAGATTTTGATGAAACTTGGCACAAATTTAGAATAATTTTTTTCTAAGATATATGCGAGAATCCTAGCTCGCGTTTTACAGAAAGAGCCGAGATTTTTAGATCGAAAGTCGGGGAAATTTTAGGACTTTTTGTCGAATTTCGGCACGAAAAGTTTCATGCCTATTTCTGCCGTAAAGGATAATGTTTCTACAAAAAATCAAAATTTTCCGCACGAAACTGCCAAAGTTATGGCCAAAAAGCGCTTTTATCTCTGACCGCTCTCCACGTTTAGCGTGCTCTCTCGGCGGAAAAAATCGTTTGGTATCTCGGCGGCGCCCGAAAAGCGCGAGCTAAAACTTTCAGGAATTGATATTTAGTCCATATCCGATGTGTGGGCAAAATTTAAAGAAAATCTGACCGTCGCACTTGGAGTGCTTCCCGTGCAAGGTATTTTGCGGAAAGGAACGAGATTTTTAGAGCTAAGGAATAGTGCGACCTCTGTGCCGGAGCTTCCAACATTGTTTCAAATATTTCTCCGCCAATAATGCACCGATCTCTATAAAATTTGTATCAAATTGAAGCGGAGGCATCCCATTTTTTGTTCACCAAATATAACAGGCCGAAGTTTACGGAGGCCCCCGTGCTGCCCTTCGATACTTTCGTTACAAGCCCAAAGGCGATGAAACATAAAAAAATTTGCAATGGTTCCTTGGACTGCACTGTATCTTCAAAATTCGCCAAAGGTGTCGTTTTTTTGAAGGCTTTTGATCTAAATATCCCGGCCGTTTCTGCAAAGCGCGAACTAGGAGTCTCGCATATTTTTTGCGCCCAGTTTCGTCAAAGCGCTTTGAGTACTTTCCCTGTTAATTAAACGAAATGTTTAAAAATGCTAGCAAATAGGAGAGACGCGTGACGACATCTACTCTGAACGTGCATAACAAGTTTCCAGCCTAGATTGTCCGAGAACACAGGGTTTGTTCTCATTCGTTCGTCGTAGTAGCTTGCCTAGACTAAAATACGCTCTTTGGACACTTGTTATTTCCATGAACTTTACATTAAAAAATTACGCATCTAAACCTTTTCCAAGTCCGGGAAACCTAATTGAAAATCATTGCGAAAATTTTTTAGGCTTCACCGATTTCGGGCTTCAAAATTTGGAACCAGAAATTAGGGGGTCCCTTCGGGCCCCCCAATTTCTGGACTTCTACTTGTACTTTTAACTGATGATTTTGATTTTTTTAAAGTTTACCAAAAGCTCGGGGGCCTGCGGCCCCCTCGTATGTGGAAAACTTCCAAAAATTTCCAGAAATTAGGAGATCCCTTCGGGCCCCCCAATTTCTGGAACTTTTACTTGAACTTTTTACTCTTGCTTTTGAACTTTATCTAAACCTTTTGATTTTTTTGAAAGTGTTCCAAAGGCTCGGGGCCTGCGGCCCCTCGCATGCGGTGCCACGTATAATACTGAATGCTGTGAAGACTTGACCGGAAGGCTCGGGGGCCTGCGGCCCCCTCGCATGCGGAAAAGTTCCAAGCTCCTAACTTCCTGTCAAATCCTATCCCAAATCCATCACTTTCCCCACAAAACAAAATTCCAAAAATTCCTATCACAGTACTTTCCTATACAAAAGTACCACACTGTGCACCACTCAATTGCACTCGAAACAGACCGCACCCCGCACTTGCATTTTACCCTTCGGGCCCCCTTTTTCTGGAACTTTTACTTGATCTTTTAACTCTTGTTTTTTATTTTGTTTTGTAATTTTACAAAAGGCTCGGGGCCTGCGGCCCCTCGCATGCGGTGCCATGTCTCATATTGAATACTAAAAAAGACATGAAAGAAGATTACCTATTACCTCAAAGGCTCGGGGGCCTGCGGCCACCTCGCATGCGAAAAAGTTCCTAAAATTCCTGTTTTCATCAAAGCCCTAACCTAAAACCCTTCACTACCCCTAAAAAACAAATTTCCCACAATTTCTATCACAGCACCACGTACTCAACCCAAACTATGCAAAGGTACCACACTTTGCATCACTCACCTGCACTCGTACCCGACCGCACCCCGCAATCACACTTTTCTGACTGACTGCCAAACCGAGCAAAAATTTTGAAAATGATTTTTGAATTTTTCAAAAATTCCCATTTTCCCACGAAATCGACCGCGATTTTTCGACCAATCAGCGCACGAATAGATTGGCTTCATTCCGACCGGACAGACAGACAATGAGTCCATTCTTTTACTTTAAAGAAAGGGGACCAGAATGTCGGGGGTCCCTGCGGGACCCCTCCATTCTGGCAGATTCAGCAAACCTTTATTCAGCACTTTTTTGAAAATTTTCGACATATTTTGAAGGTCGGGCGCCTTCGGCACCCTCTCATGAGCACAAACTGTCTCTGATTTTACACTAAGACGCTCGGGGGCCCTACGGACCCCCTCGCTTATGGTTTACTTCCACTTCGCACAGTCAGAGACAGAATTCGCAGAGATAAAAAAATGCACACTGCACATGCAGAGAATTGCAATTTGAGGGTCGGGCGCCTTCGGCACCCTCCCATGAGTAGAAACTGTCACTGATTTTACCTTGAGACACTCGGAGTCCTACGGACCCCCTCGCGTATGGTTTACCTCCATTTCGAACAGTCAGAGATGGAAATTGCAAAACCTTTGCATATCTCACACGCAGAGAAACGAACTGACCGCACACCACGCTCACTTTCTCACCGACTGATTTTTGATTCCGAAATTTAGCGCGTGCCATTCTCCAGTTTGCACAGTCAGAGGCAGAATTCGCAGAGATTAAAAAAATTGCACACTGCACATGCAGAGAACTGCAATTTGAGTAAAAACTGTAGTTGGTGTTACCTTGTGACGCTCCGGTATCCCGCGGACCACTCACTCCATTTATGGTTTGCCCTCAGTCCGCACCATCAGAAACATATTTTGCACAAAATTGTACATTGCACACGCAGCGAACGGGGCCGACCGCACACCACACTCACTTTTTCACAGACTGATTTTTGATTCCGAAATTGAGAAATGAATTTGAATTTTCCCACAAATTTCCGAAATTGACCGATTTTTGAGCCCGAATTTTTTCAAAATGAGAATCATTTGGCTTCACTCAGAGCGGACAGACAAAAATAAGCGGACAGACAGATAATGAGACATTCTTTTGCATTCAGAAGGGGAACCAGAAATTAGGGGGTCCCTTCGGGCCCCCCTATTTCTGGCAGATTCAGCAAACCTTTATTCAGAACTTTTTTGAAATTTTAAAATATCTTGAGGGTCGGGCGCCTTCGGCACCCTCCCATGAGTACTAACTGTCTCTGATTTTACACTAAGACGCTCGGGGGCCCTACGGACACCCTCGCTTATGGTTTGCTTCCAGTTCGCACACTCAGAGACAGAATTCGCAGAGATTACAAAAAAATGCATACTGCACATGCAAAGAATTGCAATTTGAGGGTCGGGCGCCTTCGGCACCCTCCCATGACTAAAAACTGTCGTTGGTCTTACCTTGCGACACTCGGGGGCCCTACGGACCCCCTCGCGTATGGTTTACCTCCATTTCGAACAGTCAGAGATGGAAATTGCAAAACCTTTGCATATTGCACACGCAGAGAAACGAACTGACCGCAAACCACACTCACTTTCTCACCGACTGATTTTTGATGGCGAAATTTAGCGCGTGCCATTCTCCAGTTCGCAGTCAGAGACAGAATTCGCAGAGATTAAAAAAATTGCACACTGCACATGCAGAGAATTGCAATTTGAGTAAAAACTCGTTGATCTTACCTTGAGACGCTCGGGAATCCCACGGGCCACCCCGTTTATGGTTTGCCTTCAGTTCGCACAATCAAGGACAGATATTGCAAAAAAATTGCACATTGCACACGGAGATAAAGAAGCCGACCGCACACCACACTCACATTTTCACAGACTGATTTTTGATTCCGAAATTAAGAAATGAATTTAAATTTTCTCACGAATTTCCGAATTTGACCGATTTTTGAGCTCGAATTTTTCAAAATGAGAATCATTTGGCTTCGGACAGACAGATAATGACACATTCTTCTGCATTCAGAAGGGGAACCAGAAATTAGGGGGTCCCTTCGGGCCCCCCTATTTCTGGTACTTTTACTTGAACTTTTACTCTTGCTTTTGAATTTTCTCTAAAGATTATGATACATTTTGAGATTTTTTGAAAAGGCTCGGGGCCTGCGGCCCCTCGCATGCGGTGCCACGTCTCATAATGCTGTGAAAACTTGACTGGAAGGCTCGGGGGCCTGCGGCCCCCTCGCATGCAAGAAATTTTCTGAAATTCCTAACTTTTCATCAAAACCCTAACCAAAATTCATCACTATCCCTAAAAAACAAAATTCCTAAAATTTCTATCACAGTTCCACGTACTCTACCCAAAATATCCGAAGGTACCCCACACGTCAAACTGAGATAAGCTAAAACAGTCCGGTGAATGGATTGGCAATTTGCCAAAAAAAGACGCTAAAAACCTTTTGTCGGGGAAGAAATGGGGAGTTTTTGGGGCGAGAGAGTACGTTTTTGCGTGCATTTTTTCTCTCTTTCTCTGCGAAATCATGACGAAGTGTAAAAAATCGATAGCGAAGAGTCTATTCCGGTCACCGGACTCCTCAGTTTGACGTGCCCCACTCTGCACTCAAGTTCAAGTGACTACACTCACAATGAATCCATACAGTTTCAATTGAAACCCCCTCGCATGCGAAAAAGTCCCTGAAATTCCTAACTTTTCATCAAAACCCTAACCCAAATTCATCACTTTCCCTAAAAAACAAAATTCCTAAAGTTTCTATCACATAACTACATACCAAACCCAAAATATGCAAAAGTACCCCTCTCTGCACCACCCACCTGCACTGGAAACCGACCGCACCCCGCACTCACATTTTTGCGACTGACTGCTCCGCAAACCAAAACTTTGAAAATGATTTTGAATTATTCCCATTTTCCCACGACCGAGACCGATTTTTTGCCTCGAATTTTTGAAAATGAGAATTGTTTGGCTTCGGAATGACAGACAGAAAAAGATTCATTCTTTTGCATTAAGAAAGGGGATGAAAATAATAAAGGTCAGTACGGTGTTCTCCGTGAACTTTGGCCCATCATATTTGGTGGACAAAAAGTTGGGTGCCTCAGCTTCAATCTGATGTAAATTTTATTGAAATCGGGGCACTGTTGGCGGAGAAATACTCGAAATAAGGTTAGAAGCTCCGGCTGAGCTACCCTGCGGCTCAGCGGTCCATTTGGCCTAAAGTTGGCTAAAGGTGACTCTTGGGCCCTCTAGGGACCAGAGGGCTCTGCAATTGTTCTTTAGAAATAATTTTCCTTGTACGGGAGCTCGTTATGCATAGGTTCTACTGTACTTTCAATGCGCTTACATGATTTTCGAATGTTGAGCAAAGAACATGTTCCGTAGGAAAGTTTGTTGTATACATATCTGTTGAGTATGAAACACGAACCTGCGGATAGTACAAGTTGTTATATCTATCGTTTGTGTGCGAAAAATACTGTGCACTCGTTTGTTCGAAGAGGAAATTTGACAGTACTTGTCCTATTTTCACTTGTTGTCCTTCTAAGAGTTTGTTCTGTGCATTGAAAACAAGAGCGGGTTCGGTGCATAATTTATTATGGTCACAGTAATATAGCGCGAATCTTAACTGCCGTTTTGTCGACAAGGTTAAGAGGTTTGTTGTCAGTTGGTTGTTTATTGCGGCATCTGGGCATAAAGGGATGATACGCGTAACGATACAGGTTATTGTTCCTTTGCATAGAAGTGTTGACCTGCTTCATTGACTTTTTGTCTTTTCGCAAGTCTTGAACCGGTATTTTTAGGCTTCACTAGTGGAATGCGGCTCCAATGACGTCGCGACGCACCTTTCAGTTCACCGCCAACGTTCTGCAGGCTACCTCGATTTTTACGTGCCTGTTGGTAATTTGTAGTGCAAGAGTGCTGGACAGAAGGAAAATCCATCCGGACTATCAGTTCATAGTGACGTTTAACGCCACCATCGACCTAATGTTTGCTTGTTTTTTGTGTGCGTTTTCGTTCGTAAGTTGCTTCAGGAGTTGGTTTGATGTGCAGAGGTTCCTCTGTACGCAGGTTGCGAAGAATCGACATCAAGCGATTTTTTCAGACACCAATCCTAGTGGATCATGTACTGATCATCACGGTGGAACAACCCCTTTTCCAAAATATGTCCGGTAGATCTACAGCTATCGTCGTGCAGGCTATGGTGTCCCTCGTCGAGGCGACAATTCTCTGTGTTGCCGTCCATTTTTACTACCGCTACAAAGTGGTTTGTAAATCGCAAAGTTGGACGCATCGCCGATATCTTACCACATATTTCGGGTGGTTCTCGTTGGTCGTACTGTATTTTATTTTGTCGCTGTCTGCCGTGGAGAAAATGGAAGATTACGTGGAAGTATTGAAAGGTTTAGAGAACTATCGAAATAATACTCCCGTGTTTTGTGTTTATGACGTGGTAGGCATACACCGCTGATTGCACGCTTGTTTAGGACCATACTCCCTCAGTTTTGATGCTAAGTTTCTATCAGCTGATTCTCACAGTGTTCTACGCCTTCACCGGTTATTGTGGCTTCAAGGTTGTCAGGAAAGTCAAGAAATACGATCCAACGGTCAAGAGTACTCTTAGAGCGCAGCGTTACATGGTTGGAGTGTTGGCACTGCAAGTAAGCAGATCAATGGTCTGTTCACACGAGTTACTCCGATTTAGGCTATATACCCGCTATTTCTGCTAACTTTACCAGCCACACTCATGGTTATTCTGGCCTATCTCCGCGTCACAGTCATCCCGTATTACTTTTTGAGTATAATGTTGCAAAGTCTACCATTACTCAATTCGATCTCCATTCTAACGCTTGTCCCGTCGTATCGTCGTCTGATCACGGGACAAAAGCAGAAACACGCCAGGCCGTTTATGCAATCAGATGCGACGTTGTTTTCAAGACGGATTGACTGGTCCAAATACGATACAAGTAGGGCTTGAACAGTATGACGAATAAATTATGATCTCTCACCAAGGAAATCTTTGAAGTGCGACGCTCCGATTTTGCCCTGCAAAGCGCGAGCTAACACTTTCAGGAATTGATTTGCAGCCTATGTTAGTAGTTAGCTCCATAAAACATAATTTTTTCGCGACTCTGGCAAGGGTATGGCCAGAAAGTGTTTTTCTATGCTCTCTCTGTTTCGCATTGTCTCTCGCCCGGACAGGCAGTTGAACCTTTCGGCTGTGCTTGCAAAACGCGAGCTAAAACTTTCAGGAGTTGATATGTGGCCTATGTATCCAAAATTTAAAGACAGTCTGGGCGTCGCACTTGGGGTACTTCCCTTGTAAGTGCAACTCAGCGTTCCTCTCGCAAAAAGCGCTTACGAAAAATGCCAAAAAAAATGCATTACGCCCATTTTTCCGATATTTTTGTGGCTTTTCGCAACGTTTTTTGCTTTAAATTTTTCTCTGTTTTATGCGTCTGTCCACTGAAATGGACTTGCTGCTTTAGCAGAAGCTCTAAATGTAGTCTAGAATGGCGTTGTTATGCTATACCATACTAATTATTGTCACTTGTCTAACTTGTGCGTCAAATACTTACCCGCAGAGTGCTCAATGTCAATCAGAACACAAAGATTGGGAAGAACGCATGTCGTCCGACCCACATAGCCCACTGATTGACTGTAACATGATAGACGCTCGATTCATCGAGTGCGAAAACGTTGGAGCGATTGTGCAGAGGAATAATTCAAAAGTAACCCAGCTTCTATTGTATGTTTAAGTGTTTAGGAGGGCGAATACTGCCCGTTCTTTGGGCAGAAGAATGGAGTTCTGCACAAGGTCAATATTACATGCCGAGTCTTGCCTTGTATTGAGTGTAGAGGAGAGAGGGAGTTCAAGCGACAAGTCCCTTGCGTTCAGTAAGTAATTGCCGCTAAACCAAACTCTTTGCTGCGAGTTTCAAGAATGCAAGAAATGAATTTGCCATAGAAAAGTCGTATGGAAGCTCATTTTGGCCTAAGATTGGCTCTTGGGGCCTCTAAAAAAATTTTTATAGATGGGTTTCATTGTACGAAACACAGCCAGTTTTGATTAAAAAAATCCTTGGCAACGATTCGCGTACAACGAAACCTGTCTATAACGAAAAATTTCAAAGCTTGCTAGGCTTGATTTTATGCCAAAAATGACCTGCGTATCAGTCTGCCGGGAAAATAATGAGCAGTCTGTAGCATTGAAAATCGCATCGTCGCCGAGAAAAGGGGTTGTGTCGCGGCAAAATCCAACTGATTTTCACTTCAGCGACGAGGATCGGCGCAGCGACGTTGTTGTTTTTATAATCTGATATCACCCTGTCAGGAAAATAATGAGGACAATGTCGCTGCGCCAATCACGTCGCTGAAATGAAAAGCAATTTGACTTTGCGCTACACAATTCATTTTTCCGACGGTGATGCGATTTTTGGTGCGACAGAGTGCACATTATTTTCCCGACAAGTTGGTAATAAGAGAAATTCTGCAAAGCCCAAGTTATACGCAAGTACGGCGTCTGTGGCCGGGAGATCGCTCGAAACGCGGAGAGCAGCCAGGGGAGAAAGACTTTTAGTCCTATCTTTGCCAGTTTCGCGTGGAAAAAATTGATTTTTTATGAAGGCATTAACTTCTAAATTTTCAGTTATTCCGGGCATTTCTTCCTTTCAACCCTCCTCTATTCAATGTTCTTGGGGATGCTGGCCGTCGACCGTTTCTGCCTCGGCTACTCAGCCATCGCAGTTGGCAAACTCATGACCTTAGGGGGTCTCGGCGTCTGGTGGGTGACGGATTTCTTCCTCCTGATCAACGGCAGTCTGAAGCCGGCCGACGATTCGGAGTGGCAGCCATGGACGCCCTTCTAATTACACTGTGATGACAAAAGAGTGGATTGTTAATACACTTTTGTTTATTAGAATAGTTTTTTTTGATATGTATATTGTGTATAAAGCTGATTAAATAGTTACTCCTATTTGATTATGCCTTAATTTTCATAGTTACACCGTCTGCTGCAGAAGTGAAAGCGCTGAGATTCCGTGGGTTTGTACTCTAGTGTTCTGGTTTCATGGAGTGTCGTCGGCGGTCACAACATACGTCGTAGATGGTTGCGCATAGCGGTGAGCGGCCTGACGGACGTAGCCGAGGACCTGGAAGTATACATTATAATGTATGTAAGAAGAAACATAGCATTAAAGTCCCTGTATACAATGAAACACGAAGGGCCCAAAAAATTCATTAGTTTTCCTATCAGTCTGTCGGGAAAATAATGAGCATTCTATCACATTTAAAATCGCATCGTCGCCGAGAAAATGAATTGTGTCGCGGCAAATTCAAATTGATTTTCACTACAGCGACATTACGCTCATTATTTTTCCGACAAACTTATAGTACATAGGCTCCACCGTATTTTACTTACCAACCCAAGTCCCAGCGCTATGCCGACCACCGAGCCCACGACAACATCAACAAAATGATGTTTGTTGTCCTGGACCCGACTTCCCGCCACAAACATTGCTCCCGCGAACCACGCGCACCCAAACATGAACAGCCACGGCAAGCAGTTCACGGTTCTTCGAATCACCCTCATGTGCAAATACGCTGTCGCAAAGGTCGCATAGAAGAACGCAGTCGACGCATGACCACTGTAGAAGCTTAAATGTGCGTCGCGGACCGCTTTCATGTTGGTTCCGCTGCACTTATACGTTTCGACGTAATCGCCAGGCCTACATGCGCTAACGTCGGGTCGGCAGACGTCGAAGAAATGGGGGCGAAGCCGCCCAAAGCTGAACTTTACCACCTGATAGAGAAGGTAGTTGCCGACCGCGCCAAACGCCAACGCGAGGACCGTGTGTAAGAGGCGGAAGATCCGATGATTCAGGGCCACTTCTGAATCATCGGTCGTCAATTTGCGTGTTCGTAGACAACGATGGGGCTCGCATTCGACTAGAAACGCCTAAAATAAGGTACATTACAGTGACAGAATTGATTCAGTGACAAAAAACGTACAATTCTGTATCCGGGAAGTGTCGAAAAATGCAGCAAAATGCCTCCCTCTCCGAGTGAAAAAAACTCCGATTTTGAAATCGCAGTTTTTTCACTCGGAGAAGGAGGTATTTTGCCACATTTTTTGCTACTTCCCGGATGCAAAATGCTACGTTTTTTATCACTGAAAAAATCAACTTACTATTAGCACAATTAAGAAGCTGAAACAATGAACAACCGCTATGTCGATCGTGTTGTCGTGATATGTGTACTTCAACGAGGGGTCGTCGCAAATAAACCCGTTAATTTTTGGTGACAATTGAGGAATGATTAGATAATATGCGCATGAAACTGAAAACACAATATTGTAAGGTGGTTGTAGATGGTCGAAATAAGCGTTAGAACTTACTTACACAACCCGAAAACGATTAACCCTTGAACTGCGATACAAACTACGGCCGGGATGAAGCGCGGTTTCGGTTGAACATGAACCGTCGTCTGTTGAGACATCATTGCCTGGAAGAATACGGGCTAAATTACTGTAACATGGGTCTAGCTTAGTGTAGAGTAACTCGAAGGCTTTTCAAGTGTTTTGAGAGGTCAAATTATAAATACATATATAGATTTTACGGCCGTCTGATCAGTCGGTCGGGAAAATAATGAGCACTCTGTCGCATCAGAAATAGCATTACCGGTGAGAAATTGAATGTATCGCGACATCAAATTTCTTTTCACCAGCGACGCGATCGGCGCAGCGACATTGCGTTGTAGAGGGTTTTTCGTTGTACGGCGCTTAATTTTAGCCTAATATCTATTCTTGTGGCCTGTAAAATTGTTCGCAATAGACAGACTTCATTGTACTAGGGTCTGCTGTACAAAGGTTTCATAGTTACTCAAACACCCAAAGTGACATTTTATACGATGAAACTTGTCCAAAACTTCTCAGGCAGCTTTCATCATATATAAAGGGGCTATGTCAGTTTTTGCATAGTAGGATTTCCACCGCAACACTTACACAGTCATTCTCCGAAAGAGACTTTTTATACGATGGAACTGTCCAAAAAAATTTCAGACAGGTTTCATCGTATAAAATGGGGGGGGGGGATATGTCAGTTTTTGTAAAAATAGGGCAAGAAACAAATAGAACTCCATACAAAAAAGCCTTTCTATAAAAAAATATTTTTTTGGCAGATTGCAATGCGTTATACAGAGGGTTGACCGTATTTTATCCAAAAAAAGATAACAAAATCTCTATCATAAACGTATTTTCGACCGCTGCAAAGACTGCCAAGAGTGTTGCAGTGGTCTAGACGGGTTAAAAAAATACTCTCTGCTAAAGATAAGAGTCCATTTTTCGAAAGCCGCATCAAAAGTCCTTTCCAAAACAAGGTCTTCTTCATCGCATTTATACCCGCCAAGATACTCGCCAAATCCCCTTCGTCAAATTACGAAAACAGCCAATTAACCGAAATATTAAACGGAAACTCAGTAATTCCACATTCGTAAAAGCGCAAAGCACAATTAACGCACATATTCACACACCGCGGCGGGAGATTCGACGCTTGTCCCTTTTGTTTTTCGTAAAAAAAAACAGAAATCCACGTGTTCTTTTCGCGGTAAATGTAATAATTACCAGGGTTAGAAGAAAATGAATTTTTTGAAAAGAGATTTCGCAGGGAAAGGTGGCTTGTTCTCTCTGCTGCGAGGGAAATCCGACGTGAATAATAAATACAAACTGAGCAAACGGAAGGGGAGCAAAACAAGGGTTTTGTTCGAAAATTCAGAAGAAAGTGCTGGTGCAGTAAGATTTTGTATAGCGAAAATTGCCAAGAACTTGTATTTTTTGCTCTGTCGGGAAAATAATGAGCACAATGTCGCAGCGCCGATCCTCGTCGCTGAAGTGAAAAGCAATTTGCTTTTGTCGCGACACAAATCATTTTCTCGGCGGCGATGCGATTTTTGATCGCGACAGAGTGCTCATTATTTTCCCGACAGACTCATATTTTCATAAAGTGCACGGAATTTTTTCGCGGCCCGCACGCATAAAACACTCCATTTTGCACAGTGAATTTCATTTTTTTTGTGTTTCGCACTGTGCATTCGGACAAAAAACGATTCGTTACACAAAATGGTTCGTTGTACAGACAGTTTTTTGGCCCGAAAAATGGTCGCCAAAAACGGGCTTTTTTGCACAGTGCATTTTCGAAGCCGTAACAGAAATTCCCGAAAGCGATTTTTGGCGTTTGCACTGTGCGAAAAAAGTCAGGGTGCGAGCGACAGCCCTAACAAGCTTATTGCACTGTGCAAAAAGCAAGAAATTGCACGTTGCAAAGAAAACTTTTGTTTTCGCGCATGTCACGAAAATCACTCCAGCGGATTGCACTGTGCGAAAAAAATCGGAGTGCGAGCGACAGCCCAAAGCAACCTATTGCACGGTGCAAAAAGCAAGAAATTACACAGTTCAACGAAAAGTTTTGTTTTCGCACAGTGTGTGTCGCTGATTTCAATCCGACGACTTTCCGCAATGGCTAGTAAAAGCGAGATTAAAATTATCAGTCTGTCGGGAAAATAACGGCGGGTCGTCGCGCTTTGGAATCGCACATCATCGCTTTGCGACTGCAAGCCGCTGATTGGGATTTGGTGCGCGACAGCGGCGAGGCGAGACATTTTGCTGCGACGATCCGCCGTTATTTTCCCGACAGACTGATAGTGGCTTATCTTTTAAAAATTACGAAAATTTTAATTTTTTCCATCCCACGTTTTTTCAGATTTTTATTAATTAAAAAAATCAAATTCAAAATTTCCAAAAATGACCGCCCAAAAATTTACCCGACCCCAGCTAATTCATAACAGGTAAGAGTAGAGAAAATCAACTCAAAACCCCGCCAAAGTTCCTCCTAATCGTTTGAAAAACTTTTTCGAAAACCAATGATTCACCCTTTTCTTCTTTTCTAAACACGATAAGAGAGAGAACGGGACCGAAAATATGAAAATCGCGTGAAACGCTGTGCGAATAAATAGAGGGCAATGTTTTGGAATGGATTATTAAAATTGAAAAAAATTGAAAAAATGCAAATACTCATATGCGACAGTCCTGTTGGAAGAATTTCCTTGCTCTTTACAGAATTTTCCAGGAAGCTCGCAGAGAAATGATCTGTTTACGTTGAGGGTTCAATGAGAAGCATTTTTGACCAAAAGTGCCTGCGCACTATGCTCACAGCTTGTTAGCCCGTCCATAAAGTCGCTGGAGTGATTTCTGTGACATTTTCTGTGCGAAAACAAGATATTTTTTGCACTGTGCAACTTCTTGCTTTTTCACCGTGCAATAGGCTTTTTCGGGCGGTCGCTCGCACCGTGACTTTTTCTACACAGTGCATTTATCAGTGCATTTCAAAATCACTCCAGCGACTTTACGGACGGACTAGTACTCGAGGCAAAAAGTGCTGATAATTGGTGCTCTGCTATTTTGGCGCATCGCAAATCGCGAGACCCTAACACACCTTCTCGCACAGTGCAGAGTTTTTGCATTAAAGTCACGCTCGGAACCTTTGAACGCGCTTAGAAGGTCCAGAAGTGTCTGTGGCATGATGCTTAGATCTTGATAATACCGTGGAACCTCTGTACAACAAATTTCCATAGAACGAAATCTGCCTACATATAACACAAACAACCAATTTTTTCCTATCAAGGGAAGTGCTCCAGGTGTAACACTTGAGATTTTTTTCAAAATTTGCAAAATTTTTGAATAAAATTTTCTGACCACAGGAATGTGAGGAAAAATGCCTGGGTCCCGCTGTACCCCCTCAATATTTCTCTTACCGACTCCATTTTTATTGTCTCGACATGACGCAGGCATCTGTATTGTATTTTTTTCTGCTACTGCAGGTAATCGAATAACTATTAATTTAGGGCTGAGACACCAAACAGCGATGCTTTACGAATCTCTGAAGAATAAATCGCAAGGACCCGAAATTTTACTGATTACAGAAGGGTTTCGTTGTATGGAGCTCTGTGTTGGCTTAAAGGAAGACTTGAAAACTTGAGAAAGGACTTCTAAACTTTTTGTTATAGACCGTTTACATATTGAATGGGAGCTTGTTGTAGACGTTGCACTGGGTGTGTCAGTCTGTCGGGAAAATAATGACCACAATTTTGCTGCGAAAAGCATGTTGCTGAAGTGAAAAAGCAATTTGATTTTGCCGCGACACAATTCATTTTCTCTGCATCGGTGCGACAAAGTGCTCATTATTTTCCCGACAGACTGATATTGGCTTTTCTGACAGATTTTGCAACTCCAACACAAGCTACTGAAAACTTGCAATGTTGAACTTGACCTCTCCCAGGTCTTTATCTATTTTTTTTATCAAACATAACCCATTCGATGAGCACTTCCGTAAACACGCCAACCTCGGACCCTCAAACAATAAAAAAGCGAAAGAGAACATAACAAACCCAGCTACTACCGTAAAAGTGATCATCCTAATGTTTGGAAGTATCTGCGTCGGCGCTAAACGCGGCGGTTACGCACAATTCACCGATAATTGCCCGTTCCGATGGCGTTTTTGCTAAGGATCTCTTCAACAAAATGACGCAAAGTCTGAAAAACTAAAAAAGAAAAAAAGATCGGTTCAAAAGGCGGCGTCAAGTGGGTAATTAACATCTCCCATGGGATTAGGGTTCGAGCACGCGGATTGAATGTCCCTAGTCTAGATCCCATCTGACAAGGAAAGTATCAGCCTGTGGGGAAAATAATGAGCACCCTTTTGCAACGAGATTTGCATCGTCGCCGAGGAATGAATTGTTTTGCGGCAAAATCAAATTGCTTTTTACTTCAGCGACACGATCGGCGCAGCGACGTTTTGCTCATTGTTTTCCCGACAGACTGATATAGTACTACGCTTTTCCTACCTAGAATTTCCGCAAACTGGATAACCCTGAAAAAAAAATTTTCGCAACGTAGCAGTTTGTGACCAAACAAAAAATAAAGTAATAAATAACTTAAACTTTAATCTAAGCCTACGCTAAGCCTAAACTAAGCATATGCCTAACCTGAGCTTAATATTTCCTTCAACCAGAATTTTTTGGGCGCAAGCTGCTATAGTCTTTTTCCAGAGTATGCCACTTTGCAGAAGTTTTACTCGGCAGAATTAAGCATGAAAATTTTCGTCTTTCGATCTAAGAATCTCGGCCGTTTCTGCAGAGCGCAACCAAAGATCTCTCATATTTCTTGAAAAAAATATTGTAAACACCTCATCAAACCTTTAACCTTAGAGTCCGAATGCGATGACGAACTTGACATGACCAGGCCAACACACAACCATACAACGGCAGACACAAATCAAGATATGCGACTTATTAACCACAATAATACGACCGCCGCACAGCGTTCTGTACTTTTTTGGAATGATTCCGACACCGATTTTTTCGAATTTTTCTAAAATAGCCCGCATTTACGCGGGTGTCGCAAGGGAATACTGTAAGATTGACGTGTAAAATTTGCAGTGCTTATAGAGTAAAGAGAGATCTTTCCAACAATACAACTTACGTAAATTAATATGGAAAAAGAAATTTGTAATCAACGCTGAAAAATGACCGACTTTGGATTTTCGGCGCTAAATATTGCCCTTAGGCAGATCTCTTAGAAGAAGTGGATGGTACCACCTTATGCAGAATTTAATTCTGTACAACATATTCAAAAACTACGAAATTTTACTGCTTTTCCGTCGAATTATGCCTCAAAAATGCAATTTTTGCACTAGTTTTACCAATATTTTCAAAATATTTGCACCTTAAGGGCAATATTACAAAAACTGAGTCGTACATATTGAAGCTTGCATGGTAGCTGAGCATACTGTTTAATTTTACCCTGTCATCTTTCTCCATCTTCAAGAACAACGGAGCTAAAGTTTGGTGCTTGGAGCCGGCATAAAAATGCCCTAAGGGCGAATTTCAAAAATGCGACAGTGCCACTGAACGTAAAATAAGCGTTCGAACAGCCATGCTCAAAAGGCAACGATTCAATTCCTTCTTCTGTCACTGCTCCAAGAAATCCATGCAACATCATGAACGCGTAAATGTGTTCATGAGGCCACCGATGTTTCAAACTATTCCGGAAACTCCCAACGTTGATTTTTTCGTCAAATTTGACGTACCTGTAGTACAAAAAATTCTATGTTCAGTGCCTTAGGGCATTTTTATGCCGGCTCCAAGCACCAAACTTTAGCTCCGTTGTTCTTGAAGATGGAGAAAGATGACAGGGTAAAATTAAACAGTATGCTCAGCTACCATGCAAGCTTCAATATGTACGACTCAGTTTTTGTAATAATGCCCTTAAGGTGCAAATATTTTGAAAATATTGGTAAAACTAGTGCAAAAATTGCATTTTTGAGGCATAATTCGACGGAAAAGCAGTAAAATTTCGTAGTTTTTGAATATGTTGTACAGAATTAAATTCTGCATAAGGTGGTACCATCCACTTCTTCTAAGAGATCTGCCTAAGGGCAATATTTAGCGCCGAAAATCCAAAGTCGGTCATTTTTCAGCGTTGATTACAAATTTCTTTTTCCATATTAATTTACGTAAGTTGTATTGTTGGAAAGATCTCTCTTACTCTATAAGCACTGCAAATTTTACACGTCAATCTTACAGTATTCCCTTGCGACACCCGCGTAAATGCGGGCTATTTTAGAAAAATTCGAAAAAATCGGTGTCGGAATCATTCCAAAAAAGTACAGAACGCTGTGCGCCGTAGCGAGGAAAACACACAAACAATTACATAGTGCACACTCTCCTGATAGGTGGGAATCCATTTTTATATTACATACCAGTTTTTCGGTCGTTCATAGGCATATGGCATCGGGTTGCTTACAATTTCTTTTTCCATTTAGCCACCGATTTTCTTTCCCCGAAGAGGAGTGACCTTTTGTTGCCCAACTTTGACGGCTCATAATTCTGTTCGGAGAGGCCCTGCAGAGTTTTCCCGCTTTGGAGATGACATTGAGCCTAGGCGTGGCTCCTCGCCAAGCTTGGAAGTTTAGGCCCGGGTTCGCGGCACATATTGCAGTCATGCTTAACCGAGCCGTACTCGGTCGATTTGCGCTACCTGCACGGTTCGAAAAGAAATTTACACATAATGAGCATCCTTCCTTTTCCCCTTTTTAGATCTGGAACAAGTTTCAACGCTATTTATTGGGACCACTGCTAGTCCGTTTGTAAAGTCGCTGAATTGATATTGGTCGCGCCATAAAGTCCGTAAAATTTTTTCGACGACGGCACAGGGTGCCCTCGCACAAAGTTGCATGTCGCTATTGCAAACGGGAAGTCGCAGCGGTGCGAAAAAACGGATGGAGGCACCACACAAAATTCTACGGACTTTATGGCGCGATTAGTTTCAGTCTGTCGGGAAAATAATGAGCACTCTGTCGCATCGAAAATCGTATCGCTAAAATGAATTGTATCGCGGCAAAATCAAATTGCTTTCCGCTTCAGCGACACAATCGGCGCAGCGAAATTTTGCTCATTATTTTCCCGACAGACTAGTCTCAGTTCATGATCTGATTTCTATCAGGTGCGCTTCTGTTTTCCCCCGTGCATGTCGCAGAAATCACTCTAGCGACTTAGCGAACGGACTATAGCCCTGGAATTTTCCTTGTAAACAAAGTAATTTCTCATATGTTTTCGTAGAAGAGTCTGTCGAAGTTACTCATTTCTCATCTCATTTCTTCATCGTTGATCATCGATCATAACTTTTTACTTCTCTCCCGTCAACCCATTTTCAACGCTCCTCCAACGGTTCGCAGCCTTTTTTCGGGTCGATCCTCCATTCGATCGCTTAAAGATCAACCTCCAACTACTATTCATCCCGAATAAAGTTGGAGCAATATTTGATTTGACGTTCTGCTCACAGTAAACATGATAGCATGACTCATCGCTCCGCGTGAGATCCCATTATCCTCAACGGACGAGCGGATCGTCCGTTGACTCATGGGGCTGTATAAAACCCCGGGTTTATTCAATGTATGTATTTTGAAGGGGGTTTTTTTTAAATCATGCGCATTTGATTCGCTGGACAAACATTTGGAGAGTTTGGGGGGGTTTTACAGACTTCCTGGGTCAAACAGAGTCGTAATATGGTATCCAGCTTCATCTTTTAATCGACGTTTGGAGTTTTTAAGTTTGTATTTTGGGAGGGTAAGAAATTAGAGGCGGAAATAATAAATTTGCTGTTTCTTCGACTTACTGTGGGTCAGCTTTTCTTCAATTTTTGTTTGTGGATTCCAAATAGATCATACATCAATCCTTGGAAATTTTACCGCGCTTTGCAGGCGCAGCCGAGATACTTACTTCACGATTCTAGCGACCGCCGAAAAAAGCCTATTGCACGGTACAAAGTGAGCTTCAATTTTCTCACTGTGCATGTCGCAAAAATAGTCGTCCAGTTATTTTTTATCCCTAGATTCGTTGTATCCGGGAGCTTACAAGGCGCGACATAAAAAAATTTGGGATTGGTATGCCTATGCCCTATTAGACATGGCACGTCAAACTGAGATAAGCTAAAACATTCCGGTGAATGGATTGGCGATTTGCCAAAAAAAGACGCGAAAAATCATTTTGTCGGGGAAGAAATGGGGAATTTTTGGGGCGAGAGAGTACGCTTTTGCGTGTATTTTTTTCTCTCTTTCTCTGGAAATCAAGGCGAAGTGTAAAAAACCCATAGCGAAGTGTCTATTTCGGTCACCGGACTCCTCAGTTTGACGTGCATGGCTCTTGTGCCGGTTAGGCTCGATAATATATACATACATAAATTGGCTGACCTGATCCAGTGGCAAAAAACGTACCATTTTGGATCCGGGAAGTAAAAAAAATGTAGCAAAATACCTCTTTCTTCAAGTGAAAAAACCTCGTTTTTCTCGCGCTCTTTCTCTCACAAAAAGAGCGGGCTTTTTAAATCGGAGTTTTTTCACTTGAAGAGTGAGGTATTTTGCTACATTTTTTATACTTCCCGAATGTAAAATGGCATGTTTTTTGCCACTGAATCAGGTACCCCACTGTATATACGTGTATATTTCAATATACATACTACTGTATATTACAATTGTAATGTAACAGGGCGCCTGTCATTTCTACCATAGAGGTTCTTCCACAAAGGACATTTTTTCCGCACGAAACTGGCAAAGCCAAACCGTGCTTTTCTCCTGACCGCTCTCGGCCGCAAATATCATTCAATAAGCTACTCCTGCAAAGCGCGGGTTATTTAAAACTTTCAAGAATTTATATGCGACCCATGGATTTGTTGCACTTCATCTTCTTGCCCGATGATCTCCCGTAGATTCGTTTTAAATGTTCATGTTTCATCTTCCCATTCCAAATTGTTCCGTGAATTATTGAGCCTTTTAGTCCAAATTTCAACAGCTTCTCGTTTAAGAATCCAACATGCAACAGACGATTCTGATTTTCATATTTACCGTAGGCGTTGCTCAAGCCTTTAGTACGCAGAGTTATGGAGTTGAAGGGAAAATTCATTGCGATAATCGACCGGCCAGTGGCGTGGTATGTTCCTCGTTTTTGCACTCTTGCTATATGAAAATAAATACTGATAGTTGAAACTGTAAGAAAGTTCGCTATCAGACTAATAGTCATCAATTTGCAGATCGTCCACCTCGTCGACCAAGACACCTTTTCCGCCGACGACATTATGGCTGACGGAGAGACGGGCTCCGAAGGATCCTTCCGACTCAGCGGTCACACCTCGGAATTGGGCACAATCAACCCCGAACTCCATGTTTATCACCGTTGTGGCGACCCCAAAAGTCGCGAACATGACTGTCCGGCGGTCTATAAAATCGAACTGCCAAGACAGTTGGTGACGAAAGGAGAGGTGCCGAAAAATGTGTATCATGTTGATACGGTAAATTTGAGATACGATGCAAAGGCTACACGATATTGTCTGGATTAATAAATGTTTTTTTTTTGAATTTTTGAATTTAAAATTTGAAAAAAAATGAAAAATTTTGATTTTTCTCAGATTTTTTGATGAAAATTAAAAAAAAAATTGAATTTGACATTGAAAATTTGATAGTATGTTAGAAAAGAGCGGAAAAATTTTTCTGCAAAAAATCATCTTTTTGCAAGCAGGATGCGCAGAGTTATTGCCAGAAAACCCCCTTTTTTAACCCGTCTCCTCATTTTACGTACTCTCTCTCTCCCTCGAAAAAAAGATTTTGGAATATCTCAACTCTCCCTGCAAATACTGAGCTAAAAATTTCAGTGCTTCATTTCAATCCCATGTAGAGTAGCTCTGCCAAATTTCAAGAAAATTTGACCATCCACTTTCAAGCATCACAATTCTGAAGTTTTGGTCATGTTATCGTCAAAAATATTTCAAAATGAATTCCGTATCAAGAACCCATTCAATGAAACCGTTCCGATCGATCTGTTATTCAGTTAGAGGTCGGGCTCTACCGTTTATTCCGTTCAAATCCTTTTTTATCATCAAAAACGATAAAATTTGACCTTATTTTAGACATCAGTTGAAAATTTCGTCAATTTTTCTCGAAATTTTTTTATTTTGGAAGCTTTTTGAATTTCGACAACATTGTTGGTGACTAACTCACTGTTTCAACAACAACTTTTTCAGGTTTGATGGGTTTTCAAAGGCTCTGTCAAAATTTTTCAAAATCAATATTGTAGATTTGTTTTTTTCGCGTTTCCACTTTCGGTTGCGCGTGATTAGAGGCAAAACTGCAGCAGAAAACCCCTCGAAGAAACGTATTTTACGAGGGCACCCCTTTTGTTCTTCTTTTTACGACCATTTTTTCTCCACCAACACGTTTTTATATTGTTTTAGGTGTTTTTTCGGCTTTGTAGTGCAAAATAGATCTTTTAATCGCCGAAATACAATAAAAACAGGTGTATCGTAAACATGTTGTTGTGTGCATTGTCCCTTGACCTTCAATTTTTGCAACATAAGGGCATCGATTCGGAGTTTCTTTGAATTCTTTGGTAAACCCGTGATTTTTTGTAATTTCTTTAATATTATCCATGATCCTTTGATCGAAACAGCTTGGATATTATTCCTTGCCGCCTCCATCACGTGCTGAACAGTTCGTCCTGTTATTCTCTGAGAGTTCGTGAGAGATTTGGCTAATTTATGTTATTTTAGATCTAAACCAACAAAACGGATGCCAGTTTGACCCTACATACGTCGCTATGGACTTCCCAAGCGACCTAGATTCGGAGTAAGTGCTTTTTTCTTATCGTTCTCAAGTTTAGACCTTCAATCGACGAGAATCAAGGAGAATATAGATTGAATTTTGGATAAGGTGTCTAAAAACATTGTTTTGATTAAAATATATGGTATAGGCCATGGAGAAGGACTTAAGAACGCTTAGTTTGATAGAAAATGGGCAGTAGCTTGTTTTTAACCCATTTAGTTTTTGTTATTGCTATTTTTTGAAGTCGGGATTCTTCGATTTTCTTCAGCATCTACGATAAGAGAAAGATAGCAAAATTTAACGAGTTTTTTATTATAAACATAAAAACCCTGGCTGCTTTAAGAAATTTTCTGTTTGAGTATGCTATTTTTGGCTTGCTGTCAGTTTTCTATTTGAGTTATTCTATGAAATTTACAATTTTTGCCTAAAATAAGGTAATTTTTCTCCTAAATTTGCGATTTATCCCGTTTTTTCCAGATTAATGACGGATGCCGAGCTCGCTGCTCAACTCCAACGTCAGTTCGACGACGAAGAGATGTTGACCTCGCGTCTCAATTCCTCCTTCAACTTTCTTTCCACCTCTCTGCACGGGGATGCGGGATCGAGTAAGGCCACGGAGCAGGACGAAGAAATGGCCCGGAAATTGCAACGAAAGTTCTACATCGACATGAAACGTCAGGGCTACAGTGATATGGACCTGGCTTCCATGCTGGACACCATGGGCGAGGATACGCAATTGGAGGCGGCGCTGAGGGAATCGGTCGGCGCTTCGGCTCCGACTTGCATCGAAAAATACTTGGTGACCCTGTACAACAACTCCAAGTACGGCGTGAACGATTGTGTGGGCAAACCGGGACTCGAGGAGATTATGGAATTTCGCGAGGTGGTGCTGAATAGTTTGTGCTATATGAGCCAACAAAGGATTATTGATCCGACGGACACTGCGGAATATGTAAGTATTTTTGTTGTTATTGCATTTGAAATTTAGAAAAATGGATTGCGGAGAAAAGAATTGAGGTCGAAAAAGTTGGTAAGGGGGGACCAAGGTGTCTAAAATAAGGTGCCAAGGCTTATCCTTAGTTTTTGCTAAAAATCATGCCGAGACATTCTGAATAGTCAATTTGTCAATTCTCGAGGATAGTAGCTCACAATTTCCCCGCAAAGACGAGATATTCAATGATCTCTTTTCGAGAGAGTACGGAAAATGAGGAGAGTCCGTTAGAGAAAAGTTTTTCTTTTTGCTAATGGCTTGTTGAGTGCCTTTTGGAAAAAAATTATTTTTTGGTATACTGAATGGTACTTTTTAATAAAATTATTTGCTTTTTTCAGATCGCAACAAATTTTATTTTCACTGCCAAAAATTGGAATGACCTCGAAGCCGGCTACTTTATCCTCAAACCTCTTGTCCCAAACATATCACCGTAAGTGCGAAATTTCGAATTGAATTTTAGAGTAAAACCTAGAGCGTTTTTATAAAAAAAAATATCAAAATTTTACAAATTTTCAGCTGGGTCCATCTCCACGTCCTTTCGCCCACGGACTCTTGGATCGACCGTCTTTATCAGACCGTTTTCAACGTCAACTCCTTCGAAAATGAACTCCTCATGATCACTTTGATCCGATTTATGAACATATCCAAAAGATTCGTCTTCATGAAGGACCAGGAATGCTCCAAATTCGCTTCCTGGTACCTCTCCATACCTCCATTGGAACGATACATCCCTGAAATTACTTCAGCCCTTGCCCAATTGACCGCGTCAGCCGTAAATCGACTGTTCCCGTATTTTGAGCAGCTTTACGAATACATACGGCTGATTGAATTGTCCACAAATGAGGGAAAATTGATCGAGGAGAATGTGCAGCACATTTTGAAAGGTTGGAAAGAAGTTTTGAGTTAAAATTTTTTATTGGTTTAGCTTGTACGTCCGTCATCAATGATCAAGGTGCGGGATGTATTACAACGCATCTGGAAATGCTCTTGAAACGACCGCTGGATGCGATTGAGTCGGTATGTTGGTTTGCTGATTTTTTTTTTGAAATTTTAGGCATACAGGTCGAAGTTTCGGATTTTGCGATGTTTTTTGGCAAAATATAAGTGTCCGAATTTTTAGTCGGCGATGATGAGACCTTGATTTGCTCGAGAGTAAAGGTTTATTGAAATTTTATTTAGATTCTGACCCAAACCGCTGAGTTTGATTCGGTGAGCCCGTCAGAATCATGGAGAACGATGGCCAAAAATCCAATCACTTGGCTCCATAGGATCAATGCCATAGTGTATTCACTAGGCCCATGGACATTTCAGCGGGCCTACAATCATGCGGTAAGTCAAAAAACGAGAGTTTATTTTGATCAAAAATTGATCTTTTTTGACATGGATAATATAAATATGGTCGAAAAATTATAAAATTGAGAATTTTATTGGCCGGAAATGGCATATATTGCTTGTTTAATATAGTTTTTTTGGCTGGGCATCAATTTTTGCCAAAAATTTTATATTTTTTGTCATGGATAATATAAAAGTTTTGATTTTCTTGCATTATTTTATAATTTTAGGCGACCCGAGACGAAGACACGACTGTCCCTTGGGCCCCTCTCTTCACTGAAGTCGCTGCCAGAATCTGCCTCTTGATTTCCGAGTGTAATGACAACTCCGAGATCATTGAAGAAACCTTGACATCGCTTTGTTTGATGGTGTATAAGGTCGGAAAACCCGGAGAATCCCTGATTGCGTCGGCTGTGGAGAATTTGCAAGAAGGATATCAAAGGAATAACTCGCTAGAATTCTTGGGAATCATCAGAGCGGCGGTTTTTAAATTGACCGCCCATAATGAAGCTGATGTCCCACTTTCCGGGTTTGTGGATGTAAGCTGAGTTTTTGGGTGGAAATGAGGGTGGAGTGGTATTTAGAGGGTAGAATTGGCAATGAGTAATAACAGAGATCAGAAAAATCTGAATACAGCGATGTTTTAAGTTATAGTAGAGGTTAATACCTCTAATATAGGATTTACAAAGATCCGTCTTATGGATTTCTACCAAGTTTGGTGTCCATCATCTAAATAGACAACGAATCAATCCCTGAAAATTTTAGTTCGCTCCTTGCAAGCGCAGCCGAGATGTTCAGCGATTTTTTTGCTAGAGGGTACGTAAAATGAGGAGAGACGGTCAGAGAAAAGCTTTTTTGGCAAGAACTTTTTTAATTCTGCTTGATTTTTTTTTTGTAGAAACGTCTTGGTAAAAGGAGTTCCATAACGTTTCTGCAAAAAAAAAATTTCAAGCAGAATTGGAAAAGTTCTCGCCAAAAAAATTTTTTCTCTGACCGTCTCTCCTCATTTTATGTACTCTCTAGCAAAAAAATCGATGAATATCTCGGCTGCGCCTGCAAAGAACGAACTAAGATTTTCAGGGATCGATTCGTTGTCTGTTTAGATGATGGAAACCAGGCTTGACAGAAGTCCATAAGACGGATCGTTATATTGTAATAGGTAACGAGCCAATACCTGAAATTTTTGTTGCATTAGAGGAAAATTGGAAGTGAAAATTTTTTCAGGAGTTTTTTTATTTTTTTACGAGCTTTTTACACTTTCAGCGGGTCCTAGGCCACGTGTATGCCTCAACCCCATCGCCATTCCAAACCCCATCGTCCCTGCCCTACTTCAAATACACCTTCTCGATGGTCGACAAGTACTGTTCGTATCGGATTGCGAGCCTGGTGGCGATGAATTCCTTCGACTCCACCTGCGAATTGGCCCTCGAATGCCTGGACAACCCGGAAGCGGGCCTCTTCAGCGACGCGCACGTCTTTTTCATGGCCGTCTTGGCCTACCTCAGCCCTCATTTGTACTTGAGAGAACAGAAGACCATCTCGAAAATCATAGAGATGCTGGATAAGTACGGACAGAGACTGGGAATGATTTGTTGCAAGAATGCGTTGACGGAGAGCTCGCTGGAAACCACGACCAGTGCCACAGCGATGCTGGAGAGCATGAAAAGGTTCAATGAGCAGGTGAGGAGGTTTTTTGAAATTTTTTTTCAATAAGTGGATGAAACTTGCTTCGAATTTGGGATAGAATTTCTCAAGGTATACTGTGTTTACAAAGTTTTGTAAAAAAAACGACGTTTTATACGATAAAACCTGTCCGGGAATTCTCGACATGGTTCATCGTATAAAATGTCGCTTTTTTAAGAACAAAGAGGGCTTTTATCCGTAACAAGGTCTGATCAGGTCGTAATCAAAAAACGACATTTTATACGCTGAAACTTGTCCGATACTTCTCGGACAAGTTTCATCGTATAAGATGTCTCTTTTTTAAAATGAAAGACACTAGTCCGCATCAAAATCTGTTCACACTGTGAGCATAAGTTTTAGTTAAAAAGGCGACGTTTTATACGATGAAAATTGTCCGGCATTTCCCAGATATGTTTCGTCGTATAAAATGTCTCTTTTTTATGAAGAAAGGGTTTTTTGTGGTATATAAGATATTTTGGGTAGGATAGCCAAGTTTGCGAAATTTTCCGTATTTTTTTTTTCGATGTTTTAAAAATTTTCGTGGATTCGATAGACTTTTTTAGCGTAAAAAATAAGCTCCGATTTTTTCCAGCGAGTAGCCCAATGGGTGTCGGAATATTTGGCCGAGAATCATCATCATGTTACTCCGGAACAACGCACCCGCTTCGTCGAAGAATTCGTCAATTGCAGCAACCACGAAGGACTCTTTGAACTGGCCACAAACTTCGCAAAAAACTTTGGGCTTTAAGAGAATTCGGGTACACAAAATCCTCAGAAACGTTTATCATCAAAAGAACGGAATATTTTGTTTTGTTTTCAACTTGCAGCTAGCTAGATGTAAATAAATTTTTGAATTTTTTGAGCTAAAATTGTCGTGAAAATGGCTAATGTAAGGAAGGGATTGAACAAGGTTTTTCGACCGAAAAATCTAAAAAATTTCGCGAAAAATTTTAAAAAAATTAAGGTCAAAAAGTTTCCGAAACCCCCGAGTTTTCGCATTTGAATCTGTTCATGGGTTGTTGTGCGGCCGCTCGCTGATCGCAGACCGAATTTGGCCAACGTCCGAGAGTGTGCGAAGGGAAGCAGCGCCCTTCCCCCGAACTCCGCAACAACGTCGAATCAAGGGGCGAATCGCGAGGGCAACAAGCCTGAAATGAGTGGCGGCCCGGTGCAGGAGAGTCAGTATGTGGGACAGCAGAATAGTAAGTTTACAAAGGAACAGGAGAAAGGGACATTTTATACGATGAAAGGTGTCCGTAAGACGGCGGGACACGTTTTATCGTATAAAATGGAGTTGTCAAGGATATTAAAAAAAGTGTGATCAATTGAGGGACAGAGGTCACTTTTATGATATAAGTGACGTTTTTTACGATGAAAGGTGTCCGTAAGATGGCGGGACACGTTTCATCGTATAAAATGGCGGTTGACAAGGATTTTTTGAAAAGTGTGATCAATCGAGGAACAGAGGTCACTTTTATGACATAAGTGACGTTTTATACGACGAAAGGTGTCCGGAAAAGCACTGGACACTTTTCATCGTATAAAATGGTATTTGACCAAAGTTGTGTAGTGAAATAGTCGAAACTTGTGATTCTGCATATTGAGTTGTTTTACAACGCAAAAATTTTTTAGGATCCGTTTACATGGAGCGCAAAGAATCCCCCGCGGGTCCGTTTACTCCGCCTCCGACCGCTCAGCGCTCCGTTTATTTCGCCGGCCAGAATCCGAGTCAGAGCATGTACGCGCAGGAACGGCAGTCTTTCTTCAATTGTAAGCGAAGCCCGCAAATTCCCTGATGCCATTATCACCGTTCATTTTTCAGCCCGCCGGCCGCGTTCGCAGCCCGTAGACGCCGCCAGCAAAGAGCCAACCGCTGCTCCGCCAACTGCTCCGCTCCAAAACAATACTCCGTCGGTGTCGCCGGACATCAAGGTGGACTCGTCGGGGAGTCAAGCCAACCCACCGCGTGGCGGATGGTTCGGCTACAGGCATCTATTTTCGGAGTATTGCTACAATAAACCGGAGCCGGTGAACTTGGGCCGAACCCCGGTGGTGAAGCAGGATCGCATTACCGAATCGCAGGGAGACGATTCTGGCGAGACGTCGGGCGAAGAAACGGGTCCGGGGTCCGCTGAAAAGGCTTTGATACCGGTAGGTGAATTTGAGATGCCTTTGCTAGGAAATGGACATTTTATACGACGAAACTTGTTTACGAATTAACAGACAGGTTTCATCGTATAAAATGTCTTTTTTGGGCCTATGCGGTATCAAAATAGTGAAAATCTTGATATGAAAAAGAGCGTTTTTGTGTACTTTGAAAGGGACATTTTATACGATGAAACTTGTCTGAGAAGTAACGGGCAGGTTTCATCATATAAAATGTCTCTTTACACTAAAGCTTTATGAGCACAGGGAACAGATCTTAATGCAAATATAAGCGCTCTTTGTACTTGAAAAGGGACATTTTATACGATGAAAAATGCCCAGAAATATGTAGGAAGTTTTCATCGTATAAGATGTCCCTTGTCATTTGTTGTGGTAATATAGTATCGAAACATTTGTTTTCAGGTGAGATCTCACGATTTTCGCCGAAGTTCGAGCGAAAGTTTGTCGAATTGGACCGATCGCGACAGCACCAACAAGACCTTGATCTTGCCGGACGGATCTGTGGGCCCGGCTGGGCCGCCACTCTCGGCCCAGGGTGGCTTCGCTTCAAACCAGACCGAGTTGAACTCGCTGAAAATCGACCATGAGCAGGGAAGACAGGTAATGGAACAATGAATACTCGTATGCCAGAAAGAGGACATTTTATACGACGAAACTTGTCTGAGAAGCATCGGACAGCTTTCATCGTATAAAATGTCGCTTTTTTGACCCTGGCTTTAACAGATCTTGATGTTGATAAGAGCACTGAATTTTGTTTAAAAAGAGTGCTCAGCAAGATAGATGCAGTTTTGATCGTATAAAATGTCCCCCTTATCAACGAAATTTCAGTACGACTTCATCAAACCGTCCAGTGAGTACTTTGCGGGTCGTGAGAACGCCCGTCCCGTCCATCCGCCACGCGATTCGCGCATCTTTCCCCCCGAGACACATACTCTGACCAGCGAGCCGAAGGCCACTTCCATGTGGAGCAAACTGTTCAGCCTGTGGAGTCATTCGTCGTACGGCTCAAACAAGTGAATCGGAAGAGATTCGGACTTGTCTTGAATTGCAGAATTTTTTAAAATAAAATTTTGGATTTGCGATTTTTTGAGTTTTATTGATAGGGTAAGGAGAAGATGTGCGACAAATTTTTTTAAAAATTTTGCATACATTGCGAGCATAGGCCACGTATCAATCTCTGAAAGTTTGAGCTTGCGATTTCAAGTCATAGCCGAGATATTCAACAATCTTTATAGACGAGAGAGCATGCGGAATGCGGAGGGCGGTCAGAGAAAAACCAATTTTTGCGGTATCTCGGCCTGTTTCGCGTGGAAAAAATTGATTTTTTGTGGACATATTGCCCTTGGCGGTAGAAATAAGCATGAAACTTTTCATGCAAAAATTCGAAAAAGTGAAATTAAATTTTTCAAAATTTTTTTTTTTCAAATTTGATTTTATTTATTTTCAAATAGCTTTAAATGAGGTAAAATGTAAAATGCAACTAAATTGAGTGGGTAAAACATGTAAAAAATGCAGTTTAATCCTTTTTCTTTGGGAGTTGAGAATGGGAAGCAAGGTCCGGCTTGCCTTGAGATTCGATGACTTGACTGGCTTGAGGTTGAGGAGTTAATTCGTGGGCTCTGAAAAAAAAATTTCAGTGTGATTTATGGTATTAGGGTGTCCCATAAGTCTTGCAAATTTTTGGGTCGTCGATTTGTGCGAATTCTTGTAAGCTTTGAAACGCATTATGGAGTATGTTGGATATACTGTTCTGAAGCTCAGATAAAGGGCTTCTAAATTGTATATGACAAAGCCACATAAGGTCTACCTCCTACCCACACTGCCCCGATATTATAGTAGACATTAAGAAAAATTTTGCTTGCTGATTTTAAAATAGATATATGCTTTGTACAAATAGATCTGTTGGCCCACTAAACGTGAAAATAGGACGCGTGAGAGCTTTGGATCTTATTATAGTCCGCGCTGCGATACAGGCATGGGTACTTTTGTGGTGGTTTGACCAACATGAAAACTGTTGCACTCATGTTTTTCTGACCTGGTTTTCCGAAGGTAGAAAGTGTTGGCCGTAGATGTGCATCGTGTGTAGTCTACGCTTACTTGTGAACATAATGCGGCTATATTTACCGCATGTGTCACTCTTTTGCCCTGAGATATACAAAATTTAAAAATTTTCCCGATTATTTTTAAAATTTACGAAAAAATTTCAAAATAGAGTGTTTTTTCAGCACCTAGCACCGCTATTTCAAAATCCTCTTGCTACGGTAAAATACATATGTCACTGTTTAGAACACAGTGCACTACAATGTTATTTGTACTCATGACAACTTTTTTGGTGTTGAGTAAATGCACCTCATTTTTTCAAATTTTCTTGGGTCAGTGGTAATTCAAAACAAGGTAGCCAACGGATCCTTACTTAAAACGCATAAATCTAATGCTATTTTCATTATGGTAACCGCGCGACCTGAGAAACCACCCTCAAAAAAATTTTATACGCAAAAGTGTGTACATCGTGATATTCACCATGACGCCTAATACAAGGAACGTGCAGGACAGCGTCATAAGCACTAATTCAGTGGAAAGCGCCGCTTATTTAGAAACAGAGCACCCAGTAGATTTATTGAAAAGTGTGGTTGCAAAGGTGCAGCCTCACTTACCAAAGAACGGGATCGCTTTACTAACGCTTCCCAAAACTGGATGATTTTAAAGAATGTTAAGTATTTGCCCGGAGGCCACGTGGTTAGTTAAAATTTTTATGCTGTTAACAAGTGTAAAGGATGGTGGTTCTAACAGTACCAAACATTAAGGAGTACAGTTCTCTAGGCCCCCGAAATGAGACGTTCATTCTTAAACCCAAAAATTTGCAAGATTTATGGGACACCCTAATATCTTTGGGATAAAAAATTTAAATATTCAAATTTAAAAAAATTTAATTAAAAAAATTTTTTTTTGAAAAATTTGAAATTTTATAATTTGAAACATAAATCTGCCTTGAAAATTTCATCGTCAAAATTTCATCAACTTAAATTGAAATTTAAATATTTAAATTTTAAAATTTAATTAAAAAAATTTTTTTTGAAAAGTTTGAAATTTTATAATTTGAATATGTAAAATTTTACTCTTAAAATTTCATCGTCAAAATTTCAAGAACTTAAATTAAAATTTAAATATTCAAATTTCGAAAATTTTGGTTTGCAAAAGGCCCCTTACTTTGACTGAGATTTTGTTTTCGGCCGCTTGGCCGGAGTGGCGCCAATGGTGTCCGGGATGCTTTGGACCCGTTGCCTCGACTGTTTCGCATATTTGGGGACCTCTTCCATCGCCCTAGGATGACTATGTTGATGATCGTGGATATGCGGCTCTAGCTCAATATGCTGTTGTTGGCCATACGGGTCAGTGAGGAAAAACGAGCCAGAGGTCCCTGAATTTGCTATTTTTACTAACCTTTTGATAAAAAAAAGTTTTTTTAATTTTTTCCATCAAAAACTTTTTTCAATTTTTCCGTGAAAAAATTGGTCTACATTTTTCCGATTTTTTCAAAATTTTTCGCGTTAAAATCACATTAAAAAATCAATCAAAAAATCGCATTCTTTTCCTAAAATTTTTTTTTTATTTTCCGATTTTTCCACCAAAAAATCGCTTATTTTTCATCCAAATTTTTTTCCTAATTTCTCCTCAAAAAAATCGATCCACAATTTTTTAATTTTTCAAAATTTTTCCGCTTTTAAATCACATTTAAAAAAAAATTCCATCAAAAAATAGCTTATTTTTTGTAAAAAACACTTTTTCCAATTTTTTCTTCCAAAAAATCGGTCAATAATTTTTTTGATTCTTTCGAATTTTTCGCAAAAAAATAATAATTCTTTCAATTTTTTCCACCAAAAAATCTCTTATTTTTCTGCCAATTTTGAGATAATTCATTTTTTCTCTTAAAAGATCAATCCACATTTTTTCGATTTTTCCAAATTTTTCCATCAAAAAATCGTTCAATTCCTCACCATCAATGGGGATTCCGGCATTCCTCGCCATAATGGTGGTCATTTTGCCTTGGGCCTGGAGCATTCCCTCCAATTTGTTTATGTAGTCGATGCAGCCGCGCAGGATCTCGACCTTGGGGAGTCTTTGGTTGGGATTAGTGCAAGTGCGCTGCTTGACCAGCTCGAAGGCTTCGTTCACTTTGCGCAGACGTCGGCGTTCGCGCAGTGTGGCGGCTTTTCGCCGGTCTTGCGAGAATTTGGCTGAAAAATGAAAGGGAAATTACTACTATATATTAGTATTTTCATAAAGTGAGTGGACATTTTTTTGCAAAAGAAAAATTACGCTAGACAAAAAAATTTTTCAAACTGAAAATCAGAAAAAATTGGCATTTTTTGCCCATTTTTGGCCAAAAAATCTGAAAACTTTGAGCAAAATAAAACTTAAAGATCTCGCAGATGTCCTGAAATATACCACTCTACATTTTGCGAATTGCAAAGGCCTGCATTTCATCCAATATACTTGCACTTACATCGCTTTCCAGTTGAGGTGGTTGGAGCACTTTCACTACTCTGCTCATGGTCCGTGAGGTTGAGAATGCTCGAGTCCGATGGGGTATTTCGATCGTTTGGATTGTGAACTGAGCCAAGGGAGACGTCTGAAGCAGAATACTGGGCTTTTTGAACTTGAAAATTGAAAAATATATCATCATTTTTTGTCGAAAATTTGCGAAATAAATTTTTTTCCCATTTTCTCTGGGAAAACAACGAAAATTTTGGTCGAGCAGTTGGAATATTACAGAAAGTTTAAAACCAAAATCATTTTTAAATATTGCCTGTGGCAATTTCGGGCAAAATTAAAGCTATTTTTGTGGAAAATCAAAAAAAAAAGAAAAATATTTTTTTTTAGATTTTTAAAAACTTCGATCTCAAAAAATAATGTCTGTGTGGCCATACTAGTCGCGCCATAAGTCCGTAGAATTTTACACAGTGCGTTTTCTTCTTTTTTTCGCACGGGAAGCTGTGAATTTGCACTAGCGACATGCACTTTCGGCGAACGCACCCGGTACGTCGCCAAAAAAAATTCTACGGACTTTATGGACTAGGCCTTCCGGAAAATCGCTGGAGTGATTTCGGCGACGTGAACTGTGCAGAAAATATCAGAGTGCGAGCGACAGCCGAAAAAAGTCTATTGCACGGTGCAAAAAGTCCGGCGACTTTCCAGAAGGACTTGTAGCCCCAAGCTGGTTTTACAGCCTTTTTACTAGGCCTTTCACAAAGTCAATGAAGTGATTTTTGCGGCATGCACTATTCGAAAACAAAATTTTTCTTTGCACTCTGCAATTTCTTGCATTTTGCACCGTGCAATAGACTTTTCTGGGCTGTCACTCTCACCCTGAATTTTCTGCACAGTGCAAACACTAAAAATAATTTCAGCGACTTTTCGGAAGGCCTAGTGCTTCATTTTCCCCTCCAAAAATACCCACCATCCTTTTCGTTTTTCACCTCCACCTTGACCAGCCCATGCTCTCCTTGCGCGATTTGGTATTCGTTCCGAAAACTGCTCGAACTGCCCCCGAATTCGTTGTACACCTGATGCGGCACTTGACTCGCCACAATCGCCACACTGCTCGCCCCCGATTCACGGTTTCGTACTAAATCAGAAAGAATCATGAACTGACAAGATCAGAATTTCGCTTTATAAGAAAAAGTAACATTTTATACGATGAAAGGTGTGCAGAAAAGCACTTGACACCTTTCATCCTATAAAATTGTCATCGATCACAGTTTTGCAGTGAAATGGTCAAAACTTGTGATTCTGTATTTTTATGACTTTTACAACGCAAAAATTTTTTAGGATCCGTTTACATGGAGCGCAAAGAATCCCCCGCGGGTCCGTTTACTCCGCCTCCGACCGCTCAGCGCTCCGTTTATTTCGCCGGCCAGAATCCGAGTCAGAGCATGTACGCGCAGGAACGGCAGTCTTTCTTCAATTGTAAGCGAAGCCCGCAAATTCCCTGATGCCATTATCACCGTTCATTTTTCAGCCCGCCGGCCGCGTTCGCAGCCCGTAGACGCCGCCAGCAAAGAGCCAACCGCTGCTCCGCCAACTGCTCCGCTCCAAAACAATACTCCGTCGGTGTCGCCGGACATCAAGGTGGACTCGTCGGGGAGTCAAGCCAACCCACCGCGTGGCGGATGGTTCGGCTACAGGCATCTATTTTCGGAGTATTGCTACAATAAACCGGAGCCGGTGAACTTGGGCCGAACCCCGGTGGTGAAGCAGGATCGCATTACCGAATCGCAGGGAGACGATTCTGGCGAGACGTCGGGCGAAGAAACGGGTCCGGGGTCCGCTGAAAAGGCTTTGATACCGGTAGGTGAATTTGAGATGCCTTTGCTAGGAAATGGACATTTTATACGACGAAACTTGTTTACGAATTAACAGACAGGTTTCATCGTATAAAATGTCTTTTTTGGGCCTATGCGGTATCAAAATAGTGAAAATCTTGATATGAAAAAGAGCGTTTTTGTGTACTTTGAAAGGGACATTTTATACGATGAAACTTGTCTGAGAAGTAACGGGCAGGTTTCATCATATAAAATGTCTCTTTACACTAAAGCTTTATGAGCACAGGGAACAGATCTTAATGCAAATATAAGCGCTCTTTGTACTTAAAAAAAGGGACATTTTATACGATGAAAAATGCCCAGAAATATGTAGGAAGTTTTCATCGTATAAGATGTCCCTTGTCATTTGTTGTGGTAATATAGTATCGAAACATTTGTTTTCAGGTGAGATCTCACGATTTTCGCCGAAGTTCGAGCGAAAGTTTGTCGAATTGGACCGATCGCGACAGCACCAACAAGACCTTGATCTTGCCGGACGGCTCTGTGGGCCCGGCTGGGCCGCCACTCTCGGCCCAGGGTGGCTTCGCTTCAAACCAGACCGAGTTGAACTCGCTGAAAATCGACCATGAGCAGGGAAGACAGGTAATGGAACAATGAAGACTCGTATGCCAGAAAACGGACATTTTATACGACGAAACATGTCTGGGAAGCATCGGACAGGTTTCATCGCATCGTATAAAATGTCACTTTTTTGACTCTGGCTTTAAAAGATCTTGATGTTGATAAGAGCGCTGGATTCTGTTTAAAAAGAGACAATTTATACGATGAAACGTGCTCAGGAAGATATATGCAGTTTTGATCGTATAAAATGTCCCCCTTATCAACGAAGTTTCAGTACGACTTCATCAAACCGTCCAGTGAGTACTTTGCGGGTCGTGAGAACGCCCGTCCCGTCCATCCGCCACGCGATTCGCGCATCTTTCCCCCCGAGACACATACTCTGACCAGCGAGCCGAAGGCCACTTCCATGTGGAGCAAACTGTTCAGCCTGTGGAGTCATTCGTCGTACGGCTCAAACAAGTGAATTGGAAGAAATTCGGACTTGTCTTGAATTGCAGAATTTTTTAAAATAAAATTTTGGATTTGCGATTTTTTGAGTTTTATTGATAGGGTAAGGAGAAGATGTGCGACAAATTTTTGTTAAAATTTTGCACACATTGCGAGCATAGGCCACGTATCAATCTCTGAAAGTTTGAGCTTGCGATTTCAAGTCATAGCCGAGATATTCAACAATCTTTATAGACGAGAGAGCATGCGGAATGCGGAGGGCGGTCAGAGAAAAACCAATTTTTGCGGTATCTCGGCCTGTTTCGCGTGGAAAAAATTGATTTTTTGTGGACATATTGCCCTTGGCGGTAGAAATAAGCATGAAACTTTTCATGCAAAAATTCGAAAAAGTGAAATTAAATTTTTCAAAATTTTTTTTTTTCAAATTTGATTTTATTTATTTTCAAATAGCTTTAAATGAGGTAAAATGTAAAATGCAACTAAATTGAGTGGGTAAAACATGTAAAAAATGCAGTTTAATCCTTTTTCTTTGGGAGTTGAGAATGGGAAGCAAGGTCCGGCTTGCCTTGAGATTCGATGACTTGACTGGCTTGAGGTTGAGGAGTTAATTCGTGGGCTCTGAAAAAAAAATTTCAGTGTGATTTAAGGTATTTTTGGGGTAAAAAATTTGAATATTCAAATTTTAAAATTTAATTAAAAATTTTTTTTGAAGATTTTGAAATTTTATTATTTGAATATATAAAATTTCGTCTTAAAAATTTCATCGTCAAAATTTCATGAACTTAAATTAAAATTTAAATATTCAAATTTCGAAAATTTTGGTTTGCAAAAGGCCCCTTACTTTGACTGAGATTTTGTTTTCGGCCGCTTGGCCGGAGTGGCGCCAATGGTGTCCGGGATGCTTTGGACCCGTTGCCTCGACTGTTTCGCATATTTGGGGACCTCTTCCATCGCCCTAGGATGACTATGTTGATGATCGTGGATATGCGGCTCTAGCTCAATATGCTGTTGTTGGCCATACGGGTCAGTGAGGAAAAACGAGCCAGAGGTCCCTGAATTTGCTATTTTTACTAACCTTTTGATAAAAAAAAGTTTTTTTAATTTTTTCCATCAAAAACTTTTTTCAATTTTTCCGTGAAAAAATTGGTCTACATTTTTCCGATTGTTTCAAAATTTTTCGCGTTAAAATCACATTAAAAAATCAATCAAAAAATCGCATTCTTTTCCTAAAATTTTTTTTTTTATTTTCCGATTTTTCCACCAAAAAATCGCTTATTTTTCATCCAAATTTTTTTCCTAATTTCTCCTCAAAAAAATCGATCCCCATTTTTTTATAATTTTTCAAAATTTTTCCGCTTTTAAATCACATTTAAAAAAAATTTCCATCAAAAAATGGCTTATTTTTTGTAAAAAAATACTTTTTCCAATTTTTTCTTCCAAGAAATCGATCAATAATTTTTTGAATTTTTCGAATTTTTCGCAAAAAAATATTTTTTTTTCTATTTTTTCCGCCAAAAAATCGCCTATTTTTCTGCCAATTTTGAGATAATTCATTTTTTCTCTTAAAAGATCAATCCACATTTTTTCGATTTTTCCAAATTTTTCCATCAAAAAATCGTTCAATTCCTCACCATCAATGGGGATTCCGGCATTCCTCGCCATAATGGTGGTCATTTTGCCTTGGGCCTGGAGCATTCCCTCCAATTTGTTTATGTAGTCGATGCAGCCGCGCAGGATCTCGACCTTGGGGAGTCTTTGGTTGGGATTAGTGCAAGTGCGCTGCTTGACCAGCTCGAAGGCTTCGTTCACTTTGCGCAGACGTCGGCGTTCGCGCAGTGTGGCGGCTTTTCGCCGGTCTTGCGAGAATTTGGCTGAAAAATGAAAGGGAAATTACTACTATATATTAGTATTTTCATAAAGTGAGTGGACATTTTTTTGCAAAAGAAAAATTACGCTAGACAAAAAAATTTTTCAAACTGAAAATCAGAAAAAATTGGCATTTTTTGCCCATTTTTGGCCAAAAAATCTGAAAACTTTGAGCAAAATAAAACTTAAAGATCTCGCAGATGTCCTGAAATATACCACTCTACATTTTGCGAATTGCAAAGGCCTGCATTTCATCCAATATACTTGCACTTACATCGCTTTCCAGTTGAGGTGGTTGGAGCACTTTCACTACTCTGCTCATGGTCCGTGAGGTTGAGAATGCTCGAGTCCGATGGGGTATTTCGATCGTTTGGATTGTGAACTGAGCCAAGGGAGACGTCTGAAGCAGAATACTGGGCTTTTTGAACTTGAAAATTGAAAAATATATCATCATTTTTTGTCGAAAATTTGCGAAATAAATTTTTTTTCCCATTTTCTCTGGGAAAACAACGAAAATTTTGGTCGAGCAGTTGGAATATTACAGAAAGTTTAAAACCAAAATCATTTTTAAATATTGCCTGTGGCAATTTCGGGCAAAATTAAAGCTATTTTTGTGGAAAATCAAAAAAAAAAGAAAAATATTTTTTTTTAGATTTTTAAAAACTTCGATCTCAAAAAATAATGTCTGTGTGGCCATACTAGTCGCGCCATAAGTCCGTAGAATTTTACACAGTGCGTTTTCTTCTTTTTTTCGCACGGGAAGCTGTGAATTTGCACTAGCGACATGCACTTTCGGCGAACGCACCCGGTACGTCGCCAAAAAAAATTCTACGGACTTTATGGACTAGGCCTTCCGGAAAATCGCTGGAGTGATTTCGGCGACGTGAACTGTGCAGAAAATATCAGAGTGCGAGCGACAGCCGAAAAAAGTCTATTGCACGGTGCAAAAAGTCCGGCGACTTTCCAGAAGGACTTGTAGCCCCAAGCTGGTTTTACAGCCTTTTTACTAGGCCTTTCACAAAGTCAATGAAGTGATTTTTGCGGCATGCACTATTCGAAAACAAAATTTTTCTTTGCACTCTGCAATTTCTTGCATTTTGCACCGTGCAATAGACTTTTCTGGGCTGTCACTCTCACCCTGAATTTTCTGCACAGTGCAAACACTAAAAATAATTTCAGCGACTTTTCGGAAGGCCTAGTGCTTCATTTTCCCCTCCAAAAATACCCACCATCCTTTTCGTTTTTCACCTCCACCTTGACCAGCCCATGCTCTCCTTGCGCGATTTGGTATTCGTTCCGAAAACTGCTCGAACTGCCCCCGAATTCGTTGTACACCTGATGCGGCACTTGACTCGCCACAATCGCCACACTGCTCGCCCCCGACGACACCGGCTGATCCGTCTGGATGTAGTAATTGTAGGGATAGCGGTAGATGTCATAGTTGGTCGGGACCGCCGTGTACTCGGTCGGAGCATGCTGAATTGTGGGAAAGGCGGTCAACGTCGTGATCTCCGAATTGGTGAGGCGCGCCGGACTCTGGGCATAGCCGTAGAGTTGGTCGTATTGGGTGGGGTCGGGGTTGTTCATGATTTCTGGGGAATTTGAAGGAGTTTAACCTGAAATTTGATATTTTTTGAGCTTTTTATGGATTTGAGGTGGTTTAGAGTCTTGTTTCAACCTTAGTTATGATTTTTTACCACTTTTGGGCAGCCTAGTCCGTTTGCAAAGTCACTGGAGTGATTTTTGCGACATGCACTGTGCGAAGTGCATGTCGAAGTGCAAGTTTTCTTTGCACTGTGCAATTTGTCGCTTTTGAACCGTGCAATATGCCTTTTTTCTTTGTCACTCGACCATGATTTTTTCGCACAGTGCAAACGCCAAAAAATCACTCCAGCGACTTTGCGAACGGAATGTTAGTCTGTCGGGAAAATAATGAGCATTTGAAAACTTTTCTAGGACATCTGCGAGATCTTTAAATTCTACTTATTTTACGAAAAATTTTTAAATCTTTTTTGGCTAAAGATCTGCAAAAAAATCCATTTTTTTTGATTTTCAGTTTAAAGAAATTAAAGGAATATGTATTATATTACTAGTGAGATAAAAATTGTTACAAGAACAAATCAACTTTTTTCTAACTGAAATTCTAAAAGATATAAGCGAGATTTTTTTATCTATGACTTTTCTGATTTTCCCGACAGATTGATATTAGCCTGTCGGGAAAATAATGAGTGCAATGTCGCTGAAATGAAAAGCAATTTGATTTCGCCGCGACACAATTCTTTTTTTTCGGCGGCGATGCAATTTTCGAAGCGACAGAGTGCTCATTATTTTCCCGGCAGACGGTGATAGCATTCTCACCTTTTTTCAATTTTTTGCTAACAAAAAAGTTGGATTTTTTGCTCTCAAAAGGTGTCGTATTTCTCTAAAAAACGGTCTGCATTGATTTTCATGTACGTTAAATTTGACTATCAACTCAAAACTTCTCTAATCTTAAGTTTGTAAAGCGATTTTTGCTTGCCATTCATAACTAAAAAATTCCGACTTTGTAAAAAAATTTTCAATGCCGATACCTCCAAAAATTTGCTCTAGAAACACTGTAAGATACATTGAATCTATTATTGCTCCGAAACCCGGGCACACGCCCGTCTACCGGGGCTGTTCCCGACGTTTGTGGCGGCACTTGGTCATGTTGACCAACTGACCTTTCCCATGAACACTTGCTGTTCGCCCATCTCCTTAAACCGACCTTATGACCCAGAACAGATGTCGTTGTAGTGGGCGACAGTTGCAGAACAATTGCTGGAACAGTTGTAGCCGAAGGTAACGCGTATAAAAGTCCGGCGGGCGTTGGCACTCTCGGCGCTCAAGATTGGACAGTTGTCGGCGGAAGACGACGGCTTCTCCTCTCCGTCCGGGGCGCCGATGCGGGCCGCCGCACACTTCCACACCCGCCCGGCCTCTAAGCCCCTCCTCCGCGGCGGTGGCCAATGGGGCCGTGCCGGCCCTTCGAATAAACACCGCTTCAACAGTTGGCACCTCGCCTTGGATCGGTTTGTGTTGTAATCCCGAGGATCCATTTCCTCCCCGCCGCCGCTTTGATGAGTTATATAACGCTTTGCGAAGAGGGCTGTAAAGCCCGCATCATTAGAGTGATAAGAGGCCGCGATGAGTCGGGATTTTAGTGGGGAATAGGTGCATTTTTCGAGGACAATGGATGGGCCAAGGACCTAAAAGATGAGGTGGAAATGGGGGGGGAAAGGATTTTTTGAGATTTCTTGAGGAGATAGGATGATTACTGTAGGTCCGAGTCATTTTTTCTTTTTTTTCTTTTTTCTTTTTGGCCAAAAATTATTTTGGGCGATTTGAGAAGCTGATCGTTTTGTCACGTTTCTGTGATTAAGTACACTATCAGCCTGTCGGGAAAATAATGAAGATTCTGTCGGATCGAAAATTGCATCACCGACAAGAAAATGAATTGTGTTGCGGTAAAATCAAGTTGCTTTTCACTTCAGCGACGCGATTGGCAAAGCCCTCATTATTTTCTCGACAGCTTGATAACTGTTTTTACACATTTTTCAATGGTTTTCGGGGGTTACTGCAGCGATAAGGCTTCCTTTTACCTGAAAACACGGAAAATTGAAAAGAAAATTTTGTGGAGATGATGATGACTTTACGGTAGGCAAACAGGATTTTTAAAGTACTTTTTGGTTCAGTTTCCTTCTTCCTGGATGTTTTTGGGCACAATTCTTGCTTGTTCTTTTTTTGAAGCTCTTTTGACTTGATTAGGGCGGTTACTGTATCAGAAAGCCTTCAATTTGCTTTTTTTTGACTTTGAAAACTATTTTTAAAAATTTTTACAACGCTTTTCGTCACTTGCAAGTAATTTTGGGTTCATTCCTATACGCAGTTAGCCCTGCTTTCTTTCTAAATAGATCATATTGCAGTCGAAACGATGGAAAAAATCGACAAAACATTTGAAAAATCAAATATGTACATTACATACACTATAAAAAACAATGCACAAAAAACAGATGAGAAATACAAAAATCCTAAAACTCTCTGTGTACAGGTACTACTCCGTTCGCAAGGCCGGTGAAGTGATGTTTGCGACGTGCACTGCGAGAAAACAAAAGTTTTCTTTGCTTTGTGCAATTTGTTGTTCTATCAGTATGTCGGGAAAATAACGGTGGGTCGTGGCGCCTTAGGGTCGCCCATCATCGCTATGCGACGGCGGCTGCGGTGACATTATACTGCGACGAACTGCCGTTATTTTCTCGACAGACTGATATGATTTTTCAATAAGTTTTTTTCGGGTATCGCTTACATCCTGGCTTTTTCTGCACAGGGAAAACGTCACAAATCACTCTAGCCACCTCCGGAACCCTCCTGTAACTAAAATGCACTAAATTTGATCATTGATCCAAACTTTGCCGTATCCTTTACCGTCTATGGGGATGTTCCACAGTTTGTGGCAACACTAACTGACCCGCTAGGAATGGTCGAAAAATAGCAACAGATTTGTAAAATACGTAAAAGTTAAAGCAGCCTAATTATTATAATTTTTGTTTATTTACAAGTTGCACAGGGCTTTTTTATTACAAACTTCAATCTGAAATTTTATTTCAAATTCGAACTTTCTCTTCACAGTGCAACCACTAAAAATCGTCCCAGCGACTTTGCGAACGAACTAGTATAACAAAATTTGATTTTTTAAAAAATTAACTTTAAAGCTAAATTTCCCCCCAAAAAATCACTTTTTCCAACGATTTTCAGCCATTCCAAAAACTTTTTTTACAATGCCCCCTCTTGCGCCACCCTCCGAAAAACATTTTTCGGCAACATTTTTAGGGACCCTCGCTTCTAAAAATCCTTCATTCCGGGGATTTCTTTTGCTCATCACCTCCATAAAGTTGTCGGGAGAAGGGCTTTGAACCGTTTCGTCACTTCTCACTTCGTACTTCTTTTTCTTCGCCAAGACAAAGGGAACCCGAGCCGATCGAATGGCCAATCTCTCGGCAATTTGTAACCGAGAGTGCGGGCGGATTAACGGGCAACGTCGAGAGATTTATTGGATCATTTGAAATGCCGGTGCTGCAGCGAGGACTGTATTATTACACTGCGCGGAATCGAAGAGGTCTTTGTCCGGAGAAATGAAAAAATGTCGTTGTAAGATCGAGGAGTTGAAGTAATTTTTACAGGATCAGTCTGTCGGGAAAATAATGAGCACTCTGTAGCAGCGAAGAGAAAATGAATTGTGTCGCGGCAAAACCAAATTTCTTTTCACTTCAGCGACGTGACAGCGACATTCATTATTTTCCCGACAGACCAGCTCAAATTACTGTGTAAAACAAAATAGACTTGTTCTTTACACACTTTAAAAGTTGATTGCCCGTTGAATGAATATTACAATGCCTCGTCTTCCACCAGAAGTGATTTACAGCCCCATGTCGTTTTGCATATTCGATTTACAACCTAAAAAAGTTTGAGGTCGCAGAATCACTTGGCCGTTGAAATTTCAGGAAGTGCTCCAAGTGCGAGGTTTAGATGGCACAAATTTTGAATAATTTTATAAATTCTTTAAAAAATAAAAGAAAGAATAGCTCAACTTTGAAATTCTTCGCATCTCCGGCCAAGAGAAAGGGCCAATCAATCAAATATGAACTCAACTTTCGCTTTATTGATAGGATTTTGATTGAAGAGCCGTTCAAATCAACGCACACTTCGGAGTGGATGGAAAATCAATAAATCAAACCGAATTGCCGTCATAACTGGACATATCAACGCTTTGAAATTGTTTTTTGACTGCTTCGTATGGCTATGAAGATATGAAACGACCAAATACACGAAAAAATTATGGTCTTGAGACTTTATTGGAGACAAATTTAAAACTGCCATGGCTTAAAGACGGCTCTCGAATTAATCCCAAATTTTGTCCTGGTATTCCCAGTAGACCAACTCTAAACTATGGGAATGTGATCGGTCTGTCGGGAAAATAATGAGCACAATGCGTCGATTGCGTCGCAAGTGAAAAGAAATTTGTTTTCTCGCGACACAACTCATTTTTTGCGATCCTACTTTCCGTACGTCAACGAATTTGCTCATTTTTTCCCCGGCGAAGTATAGTACAGGGTGGGCCACTCGAAGCTGACAAGTTGTTTCTTTGAATTTCTCCGCGGAGACTCCGCCGATTTTTCTAAAATTGAGATTTTTCTGGAGCTGAGACCCGCCATTTTCAACCGACTGAATTTCAAAAAAAACATATTTTAAATTGACCTTTCCATGCCTTCTCAAAGTTTTGAAAAATTATTTTCAGGCCGAAACCGCTAAAACTTTGAAAATTTTTGGAATGATTTTCAATTGACATTCTCGGACTTGAAAAATTTTTGGTTTTTTTGGGGGAAATCGCGGAGTAAAAAGTTGCTAGTACTCGCCTTAAACTTGTTTAAAGCAAGTTGAAAGCCACAAGAGGGTTGTTTGTATTATTATACCATTAGGGCACGAACATTCAAAAAAAAAAAAAGATTTCAAAAAGATTGAAAAATTCGACGTCAATGGTTATCGAGTCAGGCCTGGGGCATCTTGAAGCTTAGATTTGTTTTCGGAACAATATTTGATAACTATCTGAGGTAAAACAGAGAAAATTTTACCCAAGAACTCGGAAAAATTATCAAGTTTTCAAAATCATTCCAAAAATTTTCTAAGTTTTAGCGGTTTCGGCCTGAAAATAATTTTTCAAAACTTTGAGAAGGCATGGAAAGGTCAATTTAAAATATGTTTTTTTGAAATTCAGTCGGTTGAAAATGGCGGGTCTCAGCTCCAGAAAAATCTAAATTTTAGAAAAATCGGCGGAGTCTCCGCGGAGAAATTCAAAGAAACAACTTGTCAGTTTCGAGTGGCCCACCCTGTATTGGCCAAAAATTTTAAGAAAATTATGAAATTAAATTTTAATTTATTCACCTTTTTACGCTCAAAATGTAAAAAATTTACCAGAAAAATCCCTGAAGTAAAATCCCTGAGCAGCAAAAAAATTACTTACAACAGTGTCAAAAGTGGAAAATAGTGAGGTATTATTATCATTATTATTATTTTAGAAAAGGAAAGACTAATTTCGGAATAAAGTTGATATGAGTATCGTTTAAGTCAACTTCTTTTTGATATGACCTAACTGGAGCATTCGCTGGACTAGGGCTGGCTGGATCGGTTCGATTTCAATTTGGAAACTTTGGTAGGTTTGGAGAATTTGCTGAAAAAATTCATTGAACTTAGGTTTGTTATTGTTCTAGTTTTTTCGCAGAGTCGCTGTAATCGTTCAATTCGAGGTTGCAACAGCACTTACCTCGACATTTATTTTCCGCGTTTCTTTTACACTTTCTTCGGCTGGCTGCTTTCTTGGTCTTCCTCTTTTCTTCTTTTCCACTGGATGTTCGTCGATTTTTGGAGGTCTGGAAAACAAGAGTGTAATCGGCTACCGCTTACTCTGCAGAAGTCCTATTGAATCAAAAATACTTGAGAAAATCTTACGTTTCATTTATACTGGTCTCTCTCCTCTCGTCGAACATCCTAGCCATTTTTCCGAGGAGGCCGGGGTTTTTCGAAATATAATCCCAGATCCTTTCCTGCGGGATATGCCGTTCCTTCACAATTTTAAGCAAATCATCCAGCTTTTTTTGGATGTCAGCCGCGATTGCCGGAGCCATTGGTTTCAACTTTGGCATCGATTCAATTTTGTCGTTGAAATTGCTGACTTTCAACCCACTGTTGTAATTACTCCTTTTTAGGGCGAAGTTATAATTATTTTTTACCGCTGAGTTGTAAGGAGTACTATCCTGTGATACACAGTAGTTGATTTTCCCACTGGCACAATAGTTACCGGTCGAATTTCCGAGATTGGTCTTTTTTTGGGATCTTTGTGTTTTCGGCCGTTTTTTCTTCGGCTCTTCTTCAAATTCTCCGTCCGACGATTCCGAATGCATGCCGGCATCGGAGTCATCCGAATCAGTGGGTATGTCATCCACCTCACCCGCCTCTTGTCGTTGTAACGCGCCCATTTCCGCGGTCGTATACAAAGTCTCTCGTTCGATGTTTTCGATTGTTTTTCCGTTCGTTGTGCAGGTGTATGTAAATGGATGCAGTTTGCGCACCAGATATACCCATTCAGTCTCTTCGGAGGTTGGGGATTTTGGAATTTTGAGCTGAAATCGAGTTTTGTTACTTTTAATATCAAACTAATTACTTTTTTCAATCGTTTTTTTCAACAAATCCCATGGAACCGCAACAAGACTTTTCTTACCATATTCCACAGCTTATGAATCCCTTCACAGGCTTGTTCACTGCACTGGCACTGCTGTACATCATTCACCGAGATCCGTTTTTCCTCATTTTTCAAATTTTTCACCAATAAATTTTCTCTGGGCGCTTTGAACACCACTTCCATTTTTATGAAATTTCCATCCTCCTGCTTGTCATAGACAACTTGCCCGTCCCTGAGGCAGCTCAGGCTGGACCTGTCGGTGTTTTCGGAGTTATGCCTCGGGCAAATTGCGACCAAAACGTCAGGAAAATCGCGTAAAATCAGTTGGAAATCACAAAGTTTGGCGCAAGTCGGGTGAAAAACCGGTACATTGTTGTTTAATCCGCTTATAGCCTCATCCTGAGGGCTTGCAGTGCCATCTAATGTCTGTTTATCACTCCCTACGGGTTTTACATTCATCTTCCGAACACTTTCGTTACAATTCTCCATTGCGCATACATTGCACTTGACCACAATTCCATCAGTCAGCGCTTCTTTACATAATGCACAATGATTTTCTGCGGCATTTCCGTGGAAGTAGAAAGGCGAGTGGTTGACGTATTCGTTATGGTTGGCGTACCTGGTAGGTGTTAAGATCTTTTCGCTAAGCAATTTAAATTCCCTTCCAGTGGGATGTTCCCGCGGAGAAATGTAGGCACAGGCCATTATGGCATCACTGGAGGTCCTGGCAAGCCAGGCAAATCGGTTTGCCGCAGCGCACACGATGTGGACAAAGCGTTTCTCATGTTGCTGAAATTGTTAAAAATGTGTTAGAAAATTCAAAATCGAACCCCTGCACAACGAAAACAAAGGGATTTAAACAGCAATTTGTTGTGGAAAGGCTTTACTTTACAGAGATTCATTTTCACCAAAAATCGATTCCAGCAACCAACAAAGTTATTCTTTTTAGACATTAGGCTGTGAGGTATCAATGTATTGTCAAAAACTATCCAAAATCGTAACAAAGTCAAACCTTACCGTCGCTCCAATGACAGTGCCCTCATCAAACAAAAGTAATTGCACCAACGCGCCTCCTCTCGTGAAACACCATTCGCAGCAAACATAAGCTCGATTTGGATCCGCTTTTCTGTTTCTTATATCCGTGTAAATCCTGCAGGGATCGCAGAGCCAAAAGTTTTCGGTTCCGCCGTTGGAAGAGCATCGAATATGCACCTTTAGCTTGCATATGGAGCATTGCCTGAGGGCATCTTGAACTATTTTGTGCTCATCACCGTAAAACTTTCGCTGAACAAGTCTGGTGCACAGATCGAGCGATCTGCAAATAAACGTACTGTTAGCCTCATACTACTTGAAGAAACAAATGTCTTACGTTGCCGGTATCTGCTTCGCAATGGCCTTATTTGGTGGTGTGAAATACTGGCAAACAGCGCAATAGGGATAAATCATTCCGTTTCTTTCGTTAAACCGGACTTCTTCATCAAACTTGCGGCGAAACATGTCCACAGACTCCAATTTTTCCAGGTATTTGTAGCGATTCTCCACATCATTAAAGAACGAATTGTTGTTACCTGCAGTTGCCATACTCTCCAACGGTGATTTGTAGCCAAAAGGTTTCTTGTGAGATCGCATATAGGCCGAGTAAAAAGAGTCGATTTGGAGACGAACCGCAACATTTGGATTACAATCGCACATTTTGGCGGTCAGACCTGAAGAATGTATTTTTACGTAGTTTTACGCCTTTTTTTGAAAGTCATCTTTTTCAAACAAAATACAGTTTATGTAAAGAAAAAAGTACTGATAATGTGAGTAGGCCAGAAATTGATTTTTTGTAGAAAGGTTAACCTGACAACTCACCATACGGAAACCACCTTTCCGTTGCAAAATTGATCGCTTCGTTGCAGTTGAACCCTAAATTGAATCCCATATGATATCCTCGAGGGAAAGTGATGATAAATTCTCCAGGATACTGTGGAATGCAGCCGTACGGGATGTTGTGATCTTTGAGAACTTGTGGATTTATAATGCAGATTTTATGGCGGATGAATGTCTTGCAAATACCGCCCAACTCTTCTCTATACAGTTGATAACAGAGCCGTTCGAATCGGCTGGATTCTCCGCTTGGAATAGCGTACCAAAACTTGGGTTCGCCAAAATGGTGATAATTGATCGAATACAGGTCCACATCTTCCACATGCCATGAGAAAGTTGTGTCCGGAGCTCCGAAGTAAAGATAAGGAGAGGTGACACCAGCAATTTCAATCTAAAGAATTGTGATCTCTTGCGACGTTTCTTTATGGTGTTGAGTATGATCAGAAACCCCGGTAACTTACATCCTTCGTGAATTCCGACAACAATCTGTCAATTTTGTTGATATTCCAATCTGCGATTTCATCGGAAAATAAAGTATCTTCCACATCTGCGCCATAAAGTCCATATTCTTTTTTGTCATCCAAAGTTTCCCAAAATTCTCTGAAAAAAGTCAGATTTGAACATAATTTCCGAATGAAATAGCCGTAAAACTTTGCGCTTTCTATTGTCAATTGTATAGCACAACCTTCTGTAACGAATAAATTTTATGTGCCGGTCCGTTGGGTTCAGCTTGAGAATACTTACATTTCCTTCAGTTTGATATCTCGATTTTCCGGGATTTTCATCGATTTATTCGCCGATTCTGCAAAATCTTCCACAGTGAAAGCCTCATCCGTGAAGTCGATATCATTATTCTCTTGACGGTACACTTTTCCGGCGCCTGCGACTTTCAGAATGTTCACTTTTAGCGCCCTAAGGATGAAAATGAGGCAAAAAATTCCTTGAGCTTACCTTTTCAATCGGATTTTTCGCACTTTCTCGTAAAGCATTTTGGGCCGATTCTCATCAAGCCATCGCTGCGGTGGAATGACCTAAAATAGTCATGGTTGATATCGTTCTACCCTGGCCCTGGTTTTTTTGGAAGCTGGTTCGGTTTGTAGCCATGCTTCGTCTAGACGTCAAAAACAAATAGAAAACTACATACTTTACAGACACCACTAGCTTTATGAGCTCCATCCATCTCAATCTTCCTGATGTATGCTTCAAAATCGGCCATCTCCTCATACGTAGGCCGGTAAACTTTTATCGCCTGAGTACCCGTATTTATCCACGGCTCATTTTGGAAAACCGTCTCTTTTTCGTGGAATTTCACCCCATCTTTGGATTCATCACTGCTTGAGTTGTCGACAATCGGTTCTTGATGAGGCGAAGTTGGAATGCGACTTGTTGAGGGCTCACAATAGGGCAGTTCCGGTGAGAAACAAGGCGTATATGGGCGGTCCATTTGACCTGAGTTACTATAAGTAATTTTTTGTCAAAAAAAACGATGAGTTCATACGGAAGACAGTCGTAATAGTGGGCAACAAAAAATATTCTGAAAGTCATACCTCGGCACAACAAACCACATACGAAGCTTGCCTATAGCTATAACGGATAATTTTTTTTAATTTTTTTTGTGAATAGTTGCATTTAAGGTGGGGTTGTATAAAATATAGGAATTGTTTAAAAAACCAAGAGGCTTTAGGACCTTCTAAAACTACTTTTCAGTACTTTTCATAATTTAAAATCGAAATTTCAAAGGAAAAATCTCCGTAGAAATCTTGTGGAAATGAAAGCCACGTAAATTTTATTGTGTAACCGGTCCAATTCTCTCAACAAATCACGTAAGAATAAATTTTGCACGCCAAAAAGAGCCCGAGAAAAAATTATTTTAACGAAAGAAAAAGATTTCTTTCGCGAGGGAAATTCGAAGCAGTCTCGTTGCTACTATTGATTTAGTCATTTTGGTTAATCAAAAGCTCGTAATACAGAGGCTTTTACGACAAAAACTGGGGTACGCAACGGTTCGTAAATCACGACCTCCTACTTGATAAAAAGCAAAAAAGAAAAAGAAAAATGACGCTCCACTCATTGCGTCGTCAAATCGGTCAGTGAGCAAAAAAAAGGTCGCGTTGAGAAAATACGGCACCGCTTTGGTCGGGCCTTGCGTTGTAATAAAAAGAAAGGGATCCGTTACAAAAAAACAGTTCTCTTTTTTTATTCAAAGATGTGTAAAATCCTGTATTGCAAGTGGGGAAAAATCATGTTGCAGTAGTCAAGAAATAGCCCAAAAAATACTTTTTATTATTCGACAAGCATATTAACAAATACAAATTCGACAAGTTTGTTAACAAATACAATGTTTTCTGTGGTTAAAAAATTGATCAGTACAGTAAATTATAACAGGGGAAGGCGTCCAAGTGCGACGCTCAGAACTTTTTAAGCTTAGCGCACACGTGAGGCTTGAGCCCTATATCAATTCTTGGAAGTTTTAGTTCCCGCTTTGCTGGAACGGCCAAGATATTCAACGATCTTCACAGCCGAGGGAATACGCAAAACTTTGAGCTAAAATTCTTGGTCGTTTCTGCAAAGCGCGAACTAGGGGAGAATCGCATATATCTTATTAGAAAAAACTGTTTATTATTATAAATTTGGTTTATCAAAATCTGAACGTCACACTTGGAGAACTTCCCTTAAATACATCCTCTGATCTCATCGTCCCTTCTGAACTTCCCTCTTAACTTTATCGTCCCAACATCCACAACTTCTCGCTCTCCCTTCTCTGGCAAATGATAGACAAAGTTGAGGGGGCAATGGACAAAAAGAAATTCGCCCGTATCCCCACAATGATGATAAATACGAAGATAGGGCTCAATCGGCGTGAGTTCTTGCGAAGAGCCGGTCATTTCGAATGTTCCATCTTCAGAGGTGTTTATCTCAGCCATCAAATCATCTTCCGAGATCTTGTCGTAGTCGTACATTCGAACTGTCTGAAATTTTTGATTTTATATTGTGTCCGAGAGAGGGCCAGAAACTCGGAGTGGTCAGAGAAAAAACACTTTTTGACCATACCTTTTCTAGTTCCGGGCGAAAAAATTATTTTTTATGGAAATATTACCCTCTACGGTAGAAATGGGCATGAAATTTTGCAAGCTATTATAAAATTATCAAAATTTTTTTAAATCTATATACAACTTTCGGCTTAAAAATCTCGGTTGTTTCTGCAAAGCGCGAGTTAAAAATCTGGCGTAATTTATGCCAAGTTTCAGCAAAATCTGAGAGTCGCACTAGAGGAGTTTCCATTATCATTTTATGTTGCAACAAAGTTTCATTGCCTAGTCTCTGCTAACGTTGCGATCTTTTTCACAGCCTAGTATCTTATTAAAGACTTTCTGCCGTAGACTTGACAACGAGAGAGAAATCAAGATCCATCATGTTGGGGAACATTATTTATCAATAAGTTTTTAACCACAACGGTTTTTTGGGGTTTTAAAATCACGATCTTTATTTTTGTCGCCTCTCTAGCCTCAATAAGCCCTGACTTACCACCAGATTAGACGGTTGATCATCACAAGTAATCCTTCCTCTCACCGAATAGGTTTGAACTTCTCCGAATCCGGTGGCGTATCCAGAAAGTAAAAGCGTTACGACTATTTTCAACAGCATTTCCCAGTAGAAAGTAAAAACTTCAAAGAGCAATATTTTTCGTCATATATAACAAGTCAAGTTTGTCGGGGTGAAAAATGGGAGTAAAAAGGCGATCGATCGAACGAAGCGCGCGTATCAACAGATGGCTTCATAAGCGAGTGAAAGGCAGAGAAAATAACGGCAATAGACGCGTTATATCATGGAGTTCAAGGTGTGTGAATTTGGAATGGTAAACAAAGAAAATGGTTGGTAAATTGCAGGGTTGGAATTTTTATTCAATTTATTATACAGCGGAGTTACAACGAGCAATTGTACAGCCAAAACTTGATGAATCTTACAAGAAAAGTACCTCAAGTGCTACGCTCAGATTTTCTTTAAATTTTGCACACATGTTGAGCATATACCATATGTCATCGCCTGAAAATTTTAGCTCACGCTTTGCAGGCGCCGTCGAGGTATTCAACGATCTTTGAGAGAGTACACGAAATGCGGAGAGCGGTCAGAGAGAAAACTTTTTTTGGCGAGAACTTTTCCAATTCTGGAAAAGTTCTCGCCAACTTTTTGACTATATCTTTGCCAGTTTCGTGTAGGAAAATTTAATTTTTTGTGACAACATTACCCTCTACGGTAGAAACAGGCATATTTTTCCATGCCTAATTTCGCAAAAAAATGGTCACTTTTTTCCAACTTTTGACCTAAAAAATCTCGGTTCTTTTTGGGAGGGCTGAGCTAGGCCTATGGCAATTAATTTTTAAAAAATGGTTCGAAATTCTCACCTAGTTTCATCGAAATCCGAGCAAATTTCCATACTAAAAATGGCGAGAAACCGCCGATTCAGTTTGTAAAATACGTAGAAATTAAAACATCCTATATATATAGTTTTTTGTGTTGTTTATTTACAATTGTACAAGTCTTCTTACACAAAGTTTAATGTGAAATTTTAGTTCAAACAATCCCTCGTTTCTCCAGCGAATTTTGCATTCAAATTGATTGTTCCCACATCGAAAGTCTTCTTTGGAGTTTTTCCCTCGGTGATGAAGTTATCGGGGATTTTGATCGAGATCTTCCGATAGCACTCCTGAAAAATTTTGATAATAAATACTGTTATATGCTAATCGGGAAAAATAATTTTCTGTCGGGAAAATAATGTGAGTTCGACGCGGCTTGGAATCGCCCATCATCGCTTTGTAAGCGGTGGCTGGAGATTTGATGAAATTTTGTTGCGACAAATCCACATTATTTTCCCGACAGGCTGATAAGAAGTCTATAGATGTCCCTGCACTTTACAAAAATACCAATAGGATTTAGCCTCCTAAAGTGTTCAAAATCATCTCCAAAATTCACCTTTTGCTCGTCGTCGCAGTTGTGGTAAATGTTGATTTTGACGTCGATTGGAGTGAATTCAGTCTCATGGCCGGAGACGAGGAAGGCTCCATTTTTGTCGCTGAACTTGGTGTCCATGAGATCGTCAAGTTCTCCTGGAAATATTGGGTTAGAGACTGCGCATAGGGCACATATGAATTCCTGAAAGTTTTATTTAGCTCGCACTTTGCAGAGGCAGCTGACATATTCAACGATTTTTTTGGCCAAGAGAGTACGCGAATTGCGCAGAGCGGTCAGAGAAAAATATCTTTTTGGCCATATCTTTGCCAGTTTCATGCGGAAAAATTTGATTTTTTGTGGAAAAATTTCTCTCTACAGCAGAAATAGATACGAATCTTTTTGTGGCAAAACTCGCAAAAAAATTATATTATTGCAAATTTTCGACGAAAAATTTTAAAAATATCCTAAATTTTTCCCTACGGGGAGAGGGGCCAGGGAGAAGAGCATTCTTAAGAGTGGCTAAAAGCCACATCTTGGTCCATTCAGAAAAAAGACAATTTTTTGTGGGAATATCACCATCTACATACTATACCTATTATGCTTGAAATTTTTTATGTTAAAACTTGCTTAGAACGGCGCATTTTTTTCAACTTTTGACCTAAAAACCTCGGCCATTTCTGCGAAGCAAACCCCCTCTACAACAAACATGTTTTCAAAATTCCTTGCAATTCGTTCAACCGAGCTTTTGACCTCCACTTTTGTATATACTTACCAAAGTCCTCATCGTACATCTTGATCTTCGCTTGCGCGTACGGCTTCCGATCGCACAACAATCTGCCCTTGACAGCGGCGCTTTGAAGCTTCCCCAACGACGGCAACTTAACTCCATCAACAACCAAGGCCAGAGACAAAAGTAGGACCGTCGCAACCTTAACCATTGTCGATTTTTACGAATAACGTTGAGACAGTTTCAACTCGAAGAATTCGCATTTAAACCCTGGAATCGGAAGGTGGAGAGGGCTGTTTACGTCGTTAAAAGTGTTACAACGCTATGACTAACGTTACAACGCGTGATCGATTGTCGCCCTTTCACCGGGGTTTTTATTGTGATCACTGGCGATGACGCTACAGGTGAGCTGGATGTTTACGAAAGTTTGAGGCGCTTTCGGCGTATTTTAATCGGTTTCATAGGGGATAAGAGGTGTTTACTAAAGTTTTTGACTTTTTTTTGCATTTCGTAGGAATTCGAGCTTGCGCTTTGCGAAAACGACCGAGACTTTTAGGTTGATCAAAACTTGACACTTTGTGTTAACTTTGGCATTAAACTTTTCGAGGCTCGTTTTATAAGAATTGCTGCACAACATGCAAGCCAAAATATCGAGAGCCAAGCCCGGCCGACCCAGGGGAAGTATCAAAAAGGCAGCAAAATGCCTCCTTTCCAAGTGAAAAGACTCCAATTTCAATTGTTTTTGTAAGGAAAGGGTCCAATAATGAGTTTTTTTGGAGTGTGAGGTATTCAGCTGCTTTTTTCTTACCTCCCGGATGCGAATGGTACATTTTTTTTGGCAATGGATTAGGTTTAGTGGGTGCACAAATAAATCTTTCTGCGAGAGATTGACGGGGATACGGCCAAAAGTGTTTTTCATTCTGATTGCCGAAAAAAGCTGAATTAAATATTAAATTTTGAACTTTGACAATTTTCATAATATATAATTTTATTAATATTAACGACTTGACAAGGCAGGATTAATACTGTAAAGCAAATTTGAAGACCGTTTTGACATTGATGAGGTTTGTGGAAAGACAAGTATACAGTAAAAGCTATACAGACTATACGGTATTTCAATCATTTTCTAAACAAAAAACGGCCCAGATTTTGAAGAAGGCCCGGTTTTTCTGAGCTTTCGCTGTATTCCGAGGGTTCCGGCTTCAAATTCCGGTTCAGTACAATAGTTTCTCCTTCCAAATCACTCTCGCTGTCGGTCGTAAAGTCTCCTACGAAGGATGAGCAGGGTTTTTCACTCTTCAGAGGCATATCTACGCCATTTTTTTGGTCATCTTCCTCATTTTCTTCCTTAATTTTGAATTCGCTTTTGTCATCATTTTTGGCATTGTCTTCTGTCTCATTATCTTCTCGGTTATCTTCAACGCTCTTCTCTGCAACATCTTCTTGCTCCTCTTCCCTTTCCTCCAACGTTTCTTCAACGAATCTCGTCAATTTTTCATCTTCTTCTTGCACTACAACCTGGTGATTTCCAATATCTTCAACCTCACTATCGACTAGCTCCTGAGGTTCTTCCTCCGCCTCCGTTGCCAAACTGCAAACCGCATCGTTGCCATTGACATCAGTGTCGTCTCCGTGGTCGGAAAGCAATGCAATCTAAAAATTTGTACAATAAATTGCAGGGAAAAATATTCGTAAATTTTGTCCATAAAATATACGTGCCAAACTTTTAACTTATTCTTGATAATTCTAGAGTTCGCAAAGTATCGCAAGTGCGAAAAAGATATAAAATTTTCGCGTATTTTGGTTATAGGCCGCATATCAAAGGTCAGCATATCTTTGCCAGTTTAGCGCGGAAAAAATCGCTTTTTTCGTGGAGTCAGTACTCTTCTGCGGTGAAAATATACTCCGCGAGTAAAGTTTGGAACAGGCTAAATTTTCTTTGCGGCTTGAGATCGGAGTGTGAGAGTTTTCATGTCAAAATCCGCAAAAAAGGGTTGCGTTTTTTTTTCAAAATTTAGATCTAAAAACCTTGTTTCGGCAAATCGCGAGCTTGGAGTCTCGTATATGTCTCCAAAAAACATCTTCTAAAGTTTTGTCAAGTTTCAGAAAAATCTAAGCATTGCACTTGAGGTATGTTTTTCGTGGGTTTGATCGCAAGGCAAAAAAGAATGCTTATTTTAACGGCTAAGACCTACACCTACGAAAGGCAAATAACAAGAAAATGTTGAAAATTCCTTACCTCATCGACACTCTTCTCCGGCACAGTCGTATCATCACATCTATTGTCATATACGAACGCTTCATTCAGACGGTCCTGACTGCTCTCCCCATACAACGCCGTTTCCAACTCCCGAACTCGTTCCATCAAATGAATCACCAGATTCTCCGTGATGATCTTGCTGAAGTCGGGCTCCGGAAGCTCCTCGTATTCGTCAATCTCGGTCTTTATTCTCTTCCCACCAATGTAAATTGGGACATCAGCAGCCTTCCTCTTGTATCCGTTGTCAAAGTTTTTGGTGACGAAGCATGTGGAACTGCAGACGGACATTCTTTTTTATTTTTTGAACCGAGCTAAAATATCGTTCAATTAGTTGATTAGTTCAATGTCTCGAAAAGAATTAAAACTTTATAGTATATACATATAACACGCGGATTGAAAAAAAATAAAAAAAGCGAACGAGTTCCAGACGGACCAAACCCCTGATTTCCTATATCTGTCTTAAAATAGTCTGCGGCGTTCCTGTCTGCAGAAAAAATCAAGAGCGCAGAAAGTTATCAAAGCGTTGATAATTTTTTTTCCAACAATGACTCAAGATGTGTGTGTTTCATTTTTCTGTGATAACAAACAAAATATTGCGCCATTTTTAGGCAGTCAAAAATTTCATATTTGTTTGCCGAATTAAATCAGATTTTTGGTGGCTTGTGGTACAAAGTTTCGACTGTATGTATGTACGATCCTCATTTTTCAGATTGTATTTCTTTCCGATCACAGTGGCATCTCACTGGAAACAACGCGGCGTGCATTTTGGAGATGGAGATGAATAAAGAGTATCAGATATTAGTAGATAGTGAGCTTGAATACAACGGGGCTGTAGTGCAAAAAGAAGATAAATGAGAGAGAAGGAGGCAATGCCAAAAATGATGACAAAGGCGAGTTCAAAAATGAAGAGGAAGATGAGGAACATTACCAAAAAGATGGCATAGATATGCCTCTGAAGAGTGAAAAAGCTTGCGCATCCTTTGATGGAGGCTTTACATTGGACAGTGAGAGAGATTTGGAGCGAGAGACTACTGTACTAAACCGGAATCTGGAGTCAGAACGCACAGATAATGAAAGAGGAGACGATGAGAATGACGAACTGAAGTTTGAGCAAGAGGATGAGGAAGATTATCAAGAAGAAAGCATGGATGTGCTTCTGAGGAGATATTATAGATAACCTCCTCCTCCTTTAAATGGGAGAATGGAAGAAATCTTCTGGCTTTTTCCCGTGCCACACACAAAAAGCCCCATATTCCAAGATTAAAGTATGATACATAATTTTCAAATTCATTTTCGATTATTTTACATACACATAAAACAACAAATATCACAAATATTGCACAGCACTATAAATTACATTAGTCTAATATTTATAAATTAGTCTATCCCTGGAAGAGGTTCCCCAGCCCGCTCAAGATGTTTCCTTTGGCTCCGCTCTTCTTGTAGTTCTGAACTTCCTGCTGGAACCGCTGTTCTTGCAACTTCTCGAAGGCGGCGCATTTTTTGTCTTTGAAAATGTTGGGGATCTGAAGAAAGGAAGGATTTAGGGAATAATTGAGCTTTGAATAAAAAAGGTTTGATTCTTGGTTGAAAAAGTTGATTTTTGTTCGAAAATTTGGATTTTTTGGTTGAAAAAGTTGATTTTTTGGTGGATTTTTTTTTCGTCCAAAACGGAGATTTTTTGTCGAAAACTTCTTTTTTGCTAAATTTAGGCCATTTCATTTTCGTCTACAACAGAGGTTTTTTGGTCGAAAACTTTGATGTGTTTAGTTGAAAAAATTGCTGATTTTTTGTTGAAAGAACCGTTTTTCTTTATGGATTTTTTTATTCGAAAAGAGAGCTTTTTTGATCAAAAAATATTGTTTTTTTGTTGAAAAACTTGCTTTTTGTTTTCTTGCCAAAAAATTTTTTTGATAAAAAATCGATTTTTGCTTACCGAATTAGCTGTGGTAGCCGCTTCAAACAATACATTAGTCTTCACTTTGGCTCCCTCAATTTCATAGTCAATAACCGCGTGTTCACAAGTGAGGAGACGGTCGGGCTCACGTTTGGACACCCAATATTCGAGGAGTTCGGAGTTGGTCGGGGTGTAAGATCCTTGCTGAAAAATAGAGTAAATTTAATAGTTTATATAGTCGATTTAAAAAATGAGGAAATTTGCAATTTCCTCATTTTTTTGGAGCCATAATATTTCAAGATTACTTACATCAAGTCCATTGGCAGCCAACCATTCGCCAATCATCGCCAATTTGAAGGCCTTCCCAAGAAGAGGGTTGTCCAGCTCGGAGAAGAAGGCCTTTTCCAGCTGAAAATAGTTTGTAAAATACGTTCTGATGTGAGGATAAAGGTAAAATTCAAAAAAAGATAGAGTAAAACCTCTGCACAACAAATCAACAGAGATCGAATAAATTTTTTTTTTGTTAAAAAATTGGTCGATTTGCACCAATAAAAAAATTCTGGTCGGTTTCTGACAAAAAAAATTTTTGGTCGATTTTTTAAAGAAAAAAACTTTGATCGATCTTTTGGCAGAAAAAATTTTTTGGTCGATTTTTGTTAAAAAATCTTTTTGGTCGATTTTCGTCAATAAAAATTTTTTTGGTCGATTTCTGTCAAAAAAAAATTTTGGTCGATTTTTGGTAGTTTACAACTTCACTTCCTTACCTCCTCTCTCCTCTGCCCACGTTCGTAGAACTTCATCCAGACATCAACTGCCCCTTGTTTTTGCCAATAATCCTTTTGCCAAATGCTTTTGGAGAATGCGGAACACATTGTGAATTCGGGATCTTCTGGTGGAGGACACAATTTCACCGTGAGTCTGTAGGTCCTCTCTTCGGTGGCGCGGCAAAGATTTCCGTCGGTGTTTTTGAGGAGTTCGAGCTTCCTGAAAAGGGTTTTTTTTTAATTTACGAAACAACTCAAAGCAAAGTTGAGGGTAAAATACGGTACGGCGGGGTTGTGATCGGTCTTTCTTTCAGACCGATCACAACAAAAGCATCTTCAACACGAACTAATTTCCTCCCTACCTCGACGACTTGCACCAATCGCAGTAATAGCACTCCCTTCCGCACGTCGCCACGTCCATACAACGCAGCTTGCCGATCGGCTGAATGCTCACGTCCAACTTCATCGCCAACTTGTTGATGTGGATGCCGGGCGGCAGGGTCACATCAATCGACATGTCAAAGCAATCGGGCCAAGTGATCTGCACGTTCCCATCGTCGTCTCGATTGTAGGGAGAGGAGAACTTGGGGTTGGCCAATTTGATGGGCGCCACGCACTCTTGGCCGGAGATTTCGCGGCAGCAAGCGGAGCGGCGCACGTCCTGGAAATTTGTAGGTTTAGTCATCATTTTTGAATTTTAGCAGAAAAAATTGTTGTTCGGATACTTTTTGGGGGATTTTTTGGCCCTTTTATGAATCATTTTTTAGATTTGTTATGAGTCACTTTTTGGCTACGTTTTGATTCATTTCTTTTTAGATCCCTTTTGAGGGTTTTTGGATCTCTTTTGAATTATCTTTCGGATACCTTCGGAGTCATTTTTTGGATCCATTTTGAGCCATCTTTTAGATCTCTTTCGAGACATTTTTTTCGATCTCTTTTTGTCTAATTTTTGGATTTCTTTTGAGTCATTTTCTGGATACCTTTTGGGTCATTTTTTTGGATACTTTTTGACTCATTTTTGGAAATCTTTTGTAGTCTTTGGGATCCTTTTTTCAGTGATTTTTTCCACTCCAAAACTTTTTCTCCCCTTCAAAAACTCCCCCTCTCACCTTGAGCCTCGCGATGAACAAGTTCTTGCTGATGATGGCCTCATAACTGGTGTTGCTCAGCTTCCTCACCGTCCCCGACCCAATCGGGACGTCCTTGTCGTTGTAGACGACCGTGTTGCCATTCTTGTCCGCCACTACCTTGCCGGCGCTCCGGCCTTGCGCGTCGTAGCACTGGGAGACGCCGGGCGTCTCCGCCGAGCAGCGGTACTTGTCGCTGCGGCGGCCGAACAGCGACTGCTCCAACTCGCTGCCGCCAATGTCGTGCGCGCTCAGCTGGGCGTCCGTCTTCTTGCCGTTCTGCGAGATCGTGTAGCCGTACGTGCCTTGCGTATGGTTCTGTCGGTCCTTGAAGCTGAGCGTTCCCTGGCCGTCGTTCTTGGTCTGAGAGTCGGGATTGAGGTTGAAGTCGAAGCGGTCGTTGGTGGCTTTGAATCTTGTATTCTTTGGGTCCTTCAAGTCGCCCTCAGCGATCGTGTCCAGCTCGTATTTGCCGTCGGCCTTGAGCAGAGCGTGGCGCTCTTGGTCGGTCTCGTTTTGAAGGCGGAGTTGAGCTCTGGAAAGAAGAATTTAGGGTGTTAGTGGAAGGAAAAGTAAGAGACGGCGTATTTTGAAAGGCTGAGAGAGAGTTTTACAGTTGCGGCTTGATGAAACAATGAACATACGGTCTATAGTAATGTGATTTTGCATCCGGGAACGGTCAAAAATGCAGCAGCATACCTCCCTCTCCAAGTGAAAAGACTCCGATTTCAAAAACGCTCCCGCTCTTTTTGTGAAGCGCTCTTCAAAACGCAGTTTTTTCGTTTGGAGAGGGAGGTATTTTGCTACGTTTTTTATACCTCCCAGATGCAAAATGGTGCGTTTTTTGCCACTGTGTCAGGTCTACTTCAGGTCTACACTGTAGTAAGCTTGCATTTTGAATAAGCAAGTCTTTCAAGCCCTAGTTCTCTTCGGATTTTACATGTTCACTCTAAAAACCCCATGTGTCATTGTCAGAAACTTCGAACTTCCATTTTACAAAAAGATCACGACAATAGTTTCATTGAATTTCTTAATGTAGAAGGTTTCTCTGTCAAACACAACTTACTTGTGACCTCCCGCCTGCGCCAGTCCTCCCTTGTCTCCAAATCGTTGGACTTGCGCACGTTCCCCGCCTTCCAGTTGGGCTGCAGCGTTGTTGCCGTGCGCCGACGCTGACAGCTGCTTTTGGCGGTCGATCAAGTCCAAGACAACTTTCTCGGCGTCCGAAGCGTCTAGACCGACCTAAAATGTGAGGGTAAGATAATGAGCTATACATTAGAAATACGGTAGTCATAATGATTGAGAGCACCAAAAAAAAACATTTTGTAAGATACGAACACAAAGTCGGTGGTCCTTGTAGATCACGTTTGTTTAAAAAATATAGTTCGTCGGGAAAATAATGTGGTTTTTGCGCCTTCAAATCGCCCATTATCGTTTTGCGGCGGCTGGAAATTTGATGCGCGATAACGACGAGGCAATAAACTTTTTTCTTTGGCAAGTCCACATTATTTTCCCGACAGACGGATATTTCATTTTCCCACATTATTTTCTCGACAGACGGAGAAATGACTTACTCTCTCCCTTGTCTTTTTGTCCGTCCAATGTGTGTCCGCTTCGATGTGTTTTCTCTTCTCGTTCAGCACAACATTGTTTGGAGGGGGCGTTGCGGCCTCTGCCACCACTAGAAAGATAAATGTGGTCAGGATTGGCTTCGCCCAAGTCATTGCTGAAACACATTGAAATTGCATGGTTTTTTGCACAAAAATGACGATCACGGAGTGTATCAACGCTTACATTATTCTAAAGGGCCAATAAAATTTTTCGTTGAATAGGCTTTAAACTGCTTATTTTTGTACAGTAGACCACAAAGAAAAAAAAATTGTTTGTTAGATAGTAGTACATCAGCCCGTCGGGAAAATAATGTGAATTTGTCACAGAAAAAATATCTCATCGTAGTCGCGCCAAATCTCCAGCCGCGTGGCAGCCGTCGCAAAAAGATAAGGGTGATTTAAAGGGGCGACGAATTGCACACTATTTTCCAGACAGGCTGATAAATGATGACAAGAGAATCAACGCGAATCAAGTGTCAGTCTGTCGGGAAACCGTGGATTAAAGATATGGGAATTTCAAGGCGTAAATAATACCACATTATTTTCCCAACAGACTGATAACAAAAGACTGCGTAATACAAGGGTTTGTCTTGATCGGTATAGAAAGATGGTTTGTATGGAGACTTGGCTCAAAAAAATATAAAATACGAATTAACTCATTGCAAAGTACAGGGTCTTACAAAAAACGTGAAGGAAAGTGGAAGGCTATAACTTCCGGCGGAGGCGGCGCAGAGAATTCGTATTTGAAATATGTATTTTTAAAAGACATAAGTTTTTGTTTACGAAATAACAAGCTCTTAAAGTGCAAACTGAGGTCGCTACGGCCTTCTGAAGTAGAGGCATCTCTACCCCGAAAACCAGGTTTTTTCGGTTGAAAATGATCGAGAAATTTCGGACTTTTTCGGTTGAAAATCACCAAGAAATGTCGAATTTTTTGGGGGTTTCTTGATATAGTCTTTAAGAAAACGTCGAAAAAATTGCAACTGTTGGCACTTTCCGCCTCTTTTTCAACATCACCCATATCGGAACCCCCCAAAAAATCCCACATTTCCCGGTGATTTTCAACCGAAAAAGTCCGAAATTTCTCGATCATTTTCAACCGAAAAAACCTGGGGCCTGTCCCACTAACAAAGCGTAGCGCGAATCACGAATTGGAAACGCGAAAAATAATGCAAAAGCGAGAGAGGTGAGAGAAAAAGCGGGCTCTCTCGGAAATCCGCGCTACGGTTTTTTTGTGCTAAATACCGAAATGTGTTTACTTTTTTGGCTGTAACTCCTTTCAATGACGTCCGATTTAAATGATTTCAAAAACCATCAACAGAGAAGACACACAGCTTCCAGAAAATGTAAATTTTGTTTGCTTTAACGCGGATTAAAGCTCCCCGCCAAGACGAATTACATTTTCCTCCTCAAGAATCACGATTCCAAAATGTCGTATTTTCAAGTAAAATGTATCTTTAAACTACTCATCATAACCCCCAAAGCTCATATTTCATTTATCAGCCCAAACTGCCCCTTCCAAGCCCAAACTGCCCATTCCAAGCCCAATTTTGACCTCCTCTTGCCATAATTTGTTTGAATCACAAAAACATTTACGTTTAAAAAATTTTTTTTTTTAATTACTCCATTCGTCTCCCAGAGGGACTGGGGCCGTTTTATCAGCCCAAATTTGCCCTGCCAAGCCCAATTTTGATCTCCCCTTGCCATAATCTCTTTGAATCACAAAAACATTTACGTTTTAAAAATTTTTTTTAAAAAAAATTACTCGATTCGTCTTAAAAAAATTTTAAAACGTGAATGTTTTTGTGATTTAAAGAAATTATGGCAAGGGGAGATCAAAATTGGGCTTGGCAGGGCAAATTTGGGCTGATAAAACGGCCCCAGTCCCTCTGGGAGACGAATCGAGTAATTTTTTAAAAAAAAAATTTTAAAACGTAAATGTTTTGTGATTCAAACTAATTATGGCAAGGGGAGATCAAAATTGGGCTTGGCAAGGCTAACTTGGGCTGATAAAACGGCCCCAGTCCCTCTGGGAGACGAATGGAGTAATTAAAAAAAAATTTTTTAAAACGTAAATGTTTTTGTGATTCAAACAAATTATGGCAAGAGGAGGTCAAAATTGGGCTTGGAATGGGCAGTTTGGGCTTGGAAGGGGCAGTTTGGGCTGATAAATGAAATATGAGCTTTGGGGGTTATGATGAGTAGTTTAAGGATACATTTTACTTGAAAATACGACATTTTGGAATCGTGATTCTTGAGGAGGAAAATGTAATTCGTCTTGGCGGGGAGCTTTAATCCGCGTTAAAGCAAACAAAATTTACATTTTCTGGAAGCTGTGTGTCTTCTCTGTTGATGGTTTTTGAAATCATGTAAATCGGACGTCATTGAAAGGAGTTACAGCCAAAAAAGTAAACACATTTCGGTATTTAGCACAAAAAAACCGTAGCGCGGATTTCCGAGAGAGCCCGCTTTTTCTCTCACCTCTCTCGCTTTTGCATGATTTTTCGCGCTTCCAATTCGTGATTCGCGCTACGCTTTGTTAGTGGGACAGGCCCCTGGTTTTCGGGGTAGAGATGCCTCTACTTCAGAAGGCCGTAGCGACCTCAGTTTGCACTTTAAGAGCTTGTTATTTCGTAGACAAAAACTTATGTCTTTTAAAAATACATATTTCAAATACGAAGTCTCTGCGCCGCACGTCAAGAAAAAATAAAAGAAAAACGGGCGCCCAATGAAAAAGCCTAGAATTTTTTTTGGCATTCTGCCCGGTGCAAATCCGTTTTAGTCCAAATGGTTTGCAATATTTAGACATAAAGATTAATAGTAAATCACAAGATATTGATATCAATAGAAAGCTCGAGAGCTGCTTAAGCTAATAGAACCAAAATATACCCGTAATCGTAGTATTTGACAGTTTTCCATGGCGAAGAATACAACGTCTAAATAAAAGTTTGTATCGACGATACCGACTCAGAGAGCACTGGAAGGAGGTATAGGCTCCACGTCAAAAAATCCTTAAACTGTTCTTCGAGTATCTACACCGGTCCCGTCCCGCTTGATGGGACAGTTTTTTTGATATTCGGCCTTGAAATTTGCACTATTTTTAGCCTAGCTCGAACCGTGTTCAAAAAATGCGTCACGATGACACCCATTCAGAATGTGTCAGTGGTATAAAAGACAGTTGTATACGACTAGTAGTACTCCCTAGAGTTCCCATAAAAAAAATAGGTTAAACATTGTTGTTATGTGCGATTTGGATGACATATTTTATGAATTTTTTTTCGCTGTGAGAACCTTTGCAATGCCCGGAATTTCTTGACGTGCGCCGCACGGCATTCTGTACTTTTGGGACACAACCGGTCTCCGCGACTTTTTCAATTTTTTTCGAAGTGCGCTTGCCTTTTATCTCCATATCTCGCTAGTCGTTGGCGCTAGAGGGCTGAAATTTGGTATGGCAGTAGAGTAAAAAGCTGGCTTTCAGAAAATATAAACATTGTAAGGAACCCCGCAGCATAAACTTCCCGATGACAATTGAAAAAATTTCATTTCTAAAACTTCTGCAACCCAGAAGTGCAGGTTGCATGATCGTATTGACAAATTTCTTTTTGCCGATGTGTTTCAAATTCGATTGTCTACAAGATGGCCAAACTTCATCTTATTCGTTACGCTACGGACTGAGTTATGATTACAATCACAGTGCTTTTTTTGGTAATTTAAGGATAATTCGGCCCTGAGGGCATCTACAAACCAAATCCGCCAGCCGAATTATTCAATGTGCTCGTAAGTATGATCCTACCAAGTTTCGTTCTTCTAGCTCGAAAAATGGCAACTTTATTCGCATAGTTCTTCCATGAATGGCTAAGCCTTGAATCTGGATCGGAAGAAGGCTTGGAAGTCTTCATTGCGAGTTTTTCCGCCAAGTGTCAGGTTTCTAAGTGGTATTCATACCTTGAGCATTATTGTCAAGCAGAAAATTAAAAAACTCAGTGCTTAGCTATTGAAAGAAGAACTATGCGAATAACTTTGTCATTTTTCGAGCTAGAAGAACGAAACTTGGTAGGATCATACTTACGGGCACATTGAATAATTCGGCTGGCGGATTTGGTTTGTAGATGCCCTAAGGGCCGAATTATCCTTAAATTACCAAAAAAAGCACCGTGATTGTAATCATAACTCAGCCCGTAGCGTAACGAATAAGATGAAATTTGGCCATCTTGCAGAGAATCGAATTTGAAACACATCGGCAAAAAGAAATTTGTCAATACGATCATGCAACCTGCACTTCTGGGTTGCAGAAGTTTTAGAAATGAAATTTTTTCAATTGTCATCGGGAAGTTTATGCTGCGGGGTTCCTTACAATATTTATATTTTCTGAAAGCCAGCTTTTTACTCTACTGCCATACCAAATTTCAGCCTTCTAGCGCCAACGGCTAGCGAGATATGGAGATAAAAGGCAAGCGCACTTCGAAAAAAATTGAAAAAGTCGCGGAGACCGGTTGTGTCCCAAAAGTACAGAATGCCGTGCGCCGCCTCCGCCGCAAGTTATAGCCTTCCACTTTCCTTCACGTTTTTTGTAAGACCCTGTAAGGGGTGAAATATGGAACGGCGAGTTTGAGTTAAAATCAAAAAATTCATGTCCGTTTTTGTGAAACTCCGAATTGATTACATGAAGAAGCAGTCAATATTTTTCCAGAAAATCGTATCAGTCTGTCCGGAAAATAATGAGCGCTCTGTCTCGTCGAGAATCGCATCAAGAATTGCCAAAAAAATGAATTGTGTCGCGGCAAAGTCAAATTTCCATTTCAGAGACACGTATTATCGAAAAGCGACATTGTGGGCATTATTTTCCCGACAGACTGATACTGTTTAGTTGTGAAATTTTTTTTTAATTTTCAAGTTCAAAAAAAAAAAAATAAAAAAAAATATTTATTTTTTGACTTCACCAACCCAACAAGTTCGCCAAAGTAATGTAAACCCTTCAACTTTTCCCTCCCCAAAAGTGACCAGCGCATAATAAAAAGGTGGGAAATTTAGTGGGAGGCTTCGCCAAAAACAGGTAAGAGTGACCGATGAGACGAAAGCCCCCGATTCTTCCCATTCTTTTTCTCCATTTCTGAAGATTTTGGCGGATTATCGGTGGGTTTTCCGCCAACAATCTGGTCAGGTGATGGATTGGTAGCCGCAATTACGGGTGAGATATAACGAAAGTGTTTATGGCGAAGGCAAAGGAAAGTGATTGCTTTTGGAATCCAAATTGATGTAGGCTAGTAAAGGAGGCGCCGAAAATCGGACGTTTTTTCTGTAAATTTTGTATCAGTCTGTCGGGAAAATAATGAGCGGAATGACGCAGTGCTCATTGCTGAAGTGAAAAAAGATTTTGCCGCGGCACAATTAATTTTCTCGGCAGCGATTTGATTTTCGATACGACAGAGTGAGCATTATTTTCCCGACAGACTGATAGCCTAAACCATTACCACTAAACAACTCTTTCTTTCAAATTTTGCGATCAATAACTTCCCCGTCTCTTCCTGTTTCCCCCAACGGCCAGACAGAAGATATCTCGCTGAAACGTCTCAATGCAGCTTGCAATTGTTCCGAAAAAAGTCAAGGTGCAAGCAACAGCCGAAAAAAGCTTATTGTACAGTGCAATTATCTAGAAATTACACAATGCAAAGTGAATTTTTGTTTTCGCACAGTGCATGTCACGCCAAAGTGATTTTTGGCGTCTGCACTGTGCATTTAGACTGACATCAAGTTCTGAAAATTTTAATTCATGCTTTGCAGCGGCAGCCGGTCGAGATATTCAACGATCTTTGCCTCCTAGAAAATACGAAAAACGAGGAGGGCGTTTACAGAGAAATTTAAAAAAAAAAATAAAAAGATTTTTTTCTCTTTTAGCCGTATCTTCTTTGCCAATTTTGCTTGGAAAAAATGATTTTTTGTGCAAAGATTGCCCTCTATAGTAAAATGTGTATAGAGATTTTTATGAAAAAAGTGTCACTTTTGCCAAATTTTTTTTATTTTGTCAATTTTTGATCTAAAAATCTCGATCATCTCTGCAATGGGCACGCTAGGATTATCGTTACGTCATGAAAAAATTAACCTATATTGGTACCATATTTCATTAAAAGCTAAGGGTGGCACTTGGAGCACTAACATTCTGTCGGGAAAATAATGAGCACAACGTAGCGACGCTACGCCAATTGCGTCGCTGAAGTGAAAAGCAATTTGACTTTTTCGCGACACAATTCATTTCCTCGGCGGTGATGCAATTTTCGCTCCGACAGAGTGCTGATTATTTTCCCGACAGGCTTCTACACACTACTCCCACCACCTAAACCAACCCGTGAAATATGATATAAATGAAACACCAAAATGCACATCCCACGCTCCTACCTTCGACTGCCAAAAGCCGTTGCAACGAACACGCTTAAAACCTGCACAGCGGGCGTTTCGAAGGCAGCGCGGAAAACGAAGATAACCAACAGGATCTTCGGGGGTAATCGAACAAAACCCCCCGCGCAATGCACTTCAAAATCACCGAGGAAGTCAGACGCAATTACGTCAACGGGATGCGTCAACGGCGATGAGTAAGTCGGATGCAGCGATGGCTCATTACCTTCGGGGTACTTTACCCATCTTATCGCCTTATCTCTTCGATCTCAACGAGTAAATAGATGTAGAAGAGCGGCAGCTTGGAATCGGCACGTTTTGAGTGATAAAAACATTTTTAAATAATTAATAGTCGGTTTGTAAGGCCGCTAGAGTGAGTTTTGGCGTGCGCATTGTGCGAAAAAGTCAAGGCGGCAACCGAAAGAAGTCTATCGCACCGTGCAGAGTAGACTTAGGGTTTCTCACAGTGCATGTCGCCAAAATCACTCCGGCAATCTTGCAGACTTACGAGTAGGCTGTAGATATAGACAGTTCCTTACGGAAAGTGGCCGGGCTAAAATCGGCGACATGCACTGAAAACAAAAGCTTTCTTTGCTTTTTCGAGCTGTCGCTTGCAGCTTGACTTTTTTCTGAACAGTTGCAAACGCTGCATTTGGGACTTTCCAGCAAGATATCCTCGTCTGACCGTTGACGTACACGGGAAGAGCCGGGAAGGTTACTAATCGCAGAATTTAGAAGGGACGTCATACATATAAACTGTAAAGCCTTAAGAAAATACCCCAGTAAAAGCCTTTTATCCGCCTCGATTTTCAATAATTGCTAACAATAAGACAATAAGGTAAACTTGCTGTTCAGTCGATTTATGGCAATTCATTCCTTACCGACTTAATAGGTTTCAAATTGAGAGGGAGATCTAGGTGTGAGCTTTCAACAAAATAATGAAACATCGTATTTTACAAGGGTTATTCATTATTTATTCCATTTTTTAAACACAAAAAAGTTTTTAAAAAGTTGCGTTGTTTTCAAGCTCATGGAAGAGATATACAAGATTACTGTCAAAACCTCTGTAGAACGAAACCAACGGAGCTAAAAAAAAGTACGTTATATGTAGAAAAGCTTCGTCATGCGTAGCTCCATTTATCCGAAAATTTAAGCGGGTGATTCGTTATAGAGAGGTTTTTATGGGGGTTTGTTGTACAGAGGTTTCTTTTTATAATGTTTTTTTTATTTATCCAAAGATAGACCGGGAATTATAGTGAGCATACAAATTTACAGTAGACTAACTTGAATTGAAAAATTTTGAAGAACTTCGATTATTGGATTCGAAAGTTTGGAGATAATTGCGTGAAAAGTACCTCGTATGGGCAAGCTTGCAAGTTGCGACAATATTGCAAAAATTTTGCACTTACTAGTCTGTCGGGAAAATAATGAGCGTCCAAAATCGCATTGCTAAAAATAAAATGAATGGTATGGCGGCAAAATCAAATTGCTTTCCACTCCAGCGACACGAGCGACGTTGTGCCCATTATTTTCCCGACAAACTGACAAGGGAAGTACTCCAAGTGCGACACTCAGATTTTGATGAAACCTGGGGCAAATTTAGAGTAATCTTTTTCAAGACGTATGCGAAATTTTTGGCTTGTGCTTTGCAGAAATCATCGAGATTTTTTGTCGAAATTTAAAGAAAAAATATGACATTTTTTTCTGAATTTTGCCTTACAAAGTTTCAGGCTTATTTCTACTGCAGAGAGTGATATTTCCATAAAAAATAAATTTTTTCCATGCGAAACTGGCAAAGATATGGCAAAAAAAGGTTTTATTTTCTCTGACCGCTCTCTCGCATTTCGCGTACTCTCTCGGCCACAAACGTTGTTGAATATCTCAGCTCTCCCGGCAAAGCCTAAGCTGAAATTTTCAGCAATTGTTATGCCACCTATGTCCAAAATGTGGGCAAAATTTGAAGAAAATCTGAGCGTCGCACTTCGAATACCTCCCGTGTAAAATGTAAAAAAAATATGAAAAAATTCAGTAGATTTAGACGTCATCGGACAGCCTTCGCGTCACATAATTGCTCTCATCCTCCGGCCACAATAAATTCGCCTGTTTTAAAGGGGTTCGGCCCGACAGGATCTTGTACAAACTCTGTCGGAATGAGTTGCCAAATATCCAGTATAGGAAGAAGTTCGCTGTGCAGTTGACGACCACGAGCAGATTAGAGAGATCCACGAGATATGCGATGACATGACTTAGCTGAAAATGAAAAAAAATAGTTTTTGGGGGATAACAATTACAGTGAAGGCAATGCACAACCAGGGGCTAAAAACTTTTCCGTTGTAGAAAGGTTTAGTTGTATGGAAGTTTTTTCCTATAACTCATTTCTAAGGCCTTTGAAATTAATTGCTATGCTCTTTGATATCAGTTTGTAGGGAAAATAATGTGGATTTGGCGCGGTAGAAAATGTCTCTCCCTGTCGCACGAAATCTTCAGCCGCGGCTAGCCGTGACAAAATAATGAAGGACAATTCCAAGGCGCGTCGAATACACATTATTTTCCCAACAAACTGATAGTATTTTTTGTTCATAATTCAGTTGATTGTTTATAATTTTTGAATTCTTTTTTTCTGAAAATCCACTCATACCTGTTCATACAACGTTAGTTCGAGGAAGTTCACCAATAGGGCTGTGAAATTACAACCGATGAAGAAGCAGACAACCAATATCAAACTGATCGTATCCGAGTCCTCTGAAAATAAACAAATGAAGGTGACATTTTATACGACAAAAAAGAACTTTTTTGGGTGACATTTTATACGACAAAAAATATAATTTTTTGGTGACATTTTATACGACAAATAAGAACTTTTTTGGGTGACATTTTATACGACAAAAAATCAAAAATCTTTGGGTGACATTTTATACGAAAAATTTTTTGGAGGTGACATTTTATACGACGGAAATATTGGGGTGACATTTTACAGAAAAAAATAATAAGGTGACATTTTATACGGAAATTCTTTGTTTTAAAATACGCCCGTCTTAGCCATTATGTCCCTACCTGACGCTCCTTTCGTAACCACCGTAAACACCACACAAATGTTGAGCACAATCAGCATCAACAATGGCCCCACGGCCATGAACGTCGTATACATGTACGTGTAATATATCGTATAATAAACTGGGTCCATTCGAAATGCCGTGGGGCATATTTGCAGCGATAAAATGCCTCCGTGTTTTGTATCAATGCATTCGATGGCTTGAAGTTCGAAACAATGCGGGATGTTGTAGAGGACACACATTACGGACATGATCATCACAACTGCCTTGGCTTTTCTGGAAAGACATTTTTTTGAATTTTTGTGAACTTTGTTCCAATTTAGAAGCTATTTTGAAAACGTATTTGAAAGATCTTTACCTCACGTTTTGCAGAAAACTGATGAAAAAAATTTTTTACCCTCCTAAAATTTTTTTTACTTTTTAAAGTAAATAACTGGCGTTCTCTTTCAAATGTAGAAGCTACTATTTCAACAAAAAAATCGACTTTTTCCGCCGAGAATTCGCACAGACACAGCCAAAAAACGACTTTTTCTCAGGCCGTCTCTTCATGCTGCGTACTCTCTAGTTGAAAATTTCAGGCTTAATAAGAAGAGAGTCGTCTTATATTCCAATAAAAAAACTACTTTTTCGAAGCGAAATGAAAAAGTTGTGAAAAAACAGCGATTTCTCTGGCCGTCTCTCCTCACTTCACGCGCACTCGCGGAAAAAGAGTGGCGAATGTCTTGGCTGTTTTTGGAGAGCATAAGATAAGATTTTTGCAGATTGTTCTGTGGCACATGTAAAGTAAGAATTTCATCTTTTTTTTGAAAAAACTCCCATTTTTTCCGCAACTTACTGCGCGGTACAACAGATGTCCTTAAACGGTTTGGGCAGCACCACCGATATGAAACAGTCGACTCCAGCGGCGAGGCAGAAGTACACGGATGTGGTTTGGAACACCGCGCCCAATGGGAAAATGTACGGTGCGCCCGAGCCATAGAGATATGCAAGAACTGAAAAATGAGGGCCATACTTAAAATGTACACACAGTAGGGCCTGAATATTGATTTTTCTTCGAAAAAAGTTGCGCAAAATCAATGTCCCGAAAGTACGTATTTTCCCAACAGACTGATTTCATTCTGTCGAGAAAATAATGAGCGCAATGTCGTTGATGTGAAAAGCAATTTGATTTTGTCGTTTTGTCACAATTAATTTTCTCTGCGGCAATGCGATTTTGGACGCGACAAAGTTCTCATTATTTTCCCGACAGACTGATAATTTTTTACGAAAATTAACCCCCCACTCACTCGGAGGTCCATGATGTCGCCATGTTTCCAGCACGAACAAAAACATTGCGGTGCAAATCATGGAAAAGTCGGAGACCGCCAACGCCGCCAAATAAATACTCGTGGAGTGGACCCGTTGCTCCGGCGACGTGTACACCGTCACCACCAAGATGTTCCCAATCAGCCCGACGGCGCCCACAATCGCCAACACCACGCCGCTCACGGCCACATTGTACATTTGGTAGTCTGCATCCGTCGACGCCATGCAAACATTGCAGAATTGGATGGGATTCTCGCTGAACTCTATCGACATCTGAAATTGAATTTTTTTTGTGGGGAAAGAGCATTTCAAAAAATTGATAAATAGTGTACAAAGCGAGGGGAGTTAATTTAAACGTATTTCACAAAAATTTTTCTTTTTGATTTTGTAATTTTTTGAAATTTTTTTGGGCAAAAGGGGGGACCAAGGAAAATTTTTTGAATTTTTGGTGATTAAAAAATTTCTCCTAAAATTTTTGCCGCCAAAATGCTTATAAATCGTTTAAAAATCAAGGGGAGTTGATCTAAACGTATTTTACAAAAAGTTTTTTTTTTAATTTTGAGATTTTGTGAAATTTTTTTGGACACGAAGGCAAAAAAATTTTTTTTTGGTGATTAAAAAAATTACTTTAAGTTTTGCTGAACTTGTTGAATACTTTAAATAGGATTTTCTAAGACATATCAGAAAGTTTCAGCTTGCGGTTTCCAAAATTCATAGAGATTTTTTGGTCCAAAGTTGTAAAAATTCCAATTCCTGGGCTGAAAATTTCAGACTCATTCAGAATAAAGCTTTTTCCACCAAAAAATCATCTTTTTTCCGAGGTAAATTCAAAAACGCCATTGGGGAAAAGACGTTTTTCTCTCGCAGACTCTCCTCATCTCACACGCTCTCTTAAAAAAAATCTGAATATCTCGGACGACCCGATAAACGGGAAGCTACAATCTTCAGAAACTGACACATGGGCTATATATAGGAGGCAGGCCAAGTTGGAATAAATTTCCGATATCTTATTTTCATCAAAAAGACGACCCATTTTATACGAAAATTCTCATCTCAAGGACCGGAACTGACTAGTATGACCGCTCACGACTGGTCATCTCTTCACCGTATGCCACGTAAACTTTCGCTTCTTGATACTTCTCAGCATTACCGACTCAAGCTACAGGATTCCGAGCAAAATAAAGTAATATTTTTAATTAAATACGGACGTTTCTGTTTGGTGTAAAAATACAACTCATCAACATATAACGGAGGTCCTGTGTCCTGCAAATGAACTAGAATGAAGTTTGGGCATGGCCACGCCTACTTGGCAATCGAATTTGACAAAATAAGAAATTTGTGGTGTGCCTCACAACGAAAACTTTGAATGCCAACAATTTCTTGGCATTGTGTTGCAAGCTAAATGATAGTGGAAAAACAATTTTTGGAGGGGAGAAATGTTGATTTAGACGCTATTTCTAGTTGAAATTTGATGTTTATGCAAAGGAAATTAGTCGCATTCCAATGGAAGATGTGTCAGTAACTGATAATTTAGGTAAAAGTGAAAAAGTAAGTTATTTTTAGCATTTTTCTGTGTTTAGAAGGAAGAAAAAACCAAGAATGAGACTTCTAGAAGCTTTTATGTTGGTTCTCGAGACGTCTTTAGTTCTAAAAGACGGAGTACTTTGAGTAAAATCCACATTTACAGCGTTCGGAGGGCCCAGCTAGTCCGAAACGCCGAAAGACTGAAGAAGAAGCTAATAAGAACGATATCTCAGCGATTCCTGGCGCGGAAGCGACTTCAGCTTCCATTACAGACAGTTCAACGTGCAATTCAGCCTTGCAAAAAACTTCAGAACCCCAAAAACCACGTTTGAAGACCACTTCCGACAAGGAGATTGAGGCATTTTCTGCAACAATGCCGACGAAAATTGTCTTCAACATAAAGAACGGTAGGTGTTCGACCAATGTTTTTTTGAAGTTTAATCTTTAGGGATCCGATATTGCTCACCGTATTGGGGAATCTACAAAACTGAGACAAAAGGAAGATGGGTTGGGCGAAGGCTGGTGGAGGTGTTCCAAACCGAATTCCTCTCGTTCAACCCGGATTATATTGTGAGTAATTGGCAGTGATGGGTAAAATACGAGCTACATTGTCAGTGGATACAAAAAAAATAGCCGGAAATTTAGTGCTTACTACCATTTTTAACCTTATTTTAGGTATCGGATATTGAAAACTTAGATTTTTTTGAAAATCAAAAATTTCTTAAGTGAAAGTTGTGGATTTGGTAACAGGTAGGTTATAAATGGTCATGAAAGAGATTCTAAAATTGTTTTGACGACTTTTCGGACCATTTTTTAATCTTACTTTTGCTTCGAAAACAAATCTTGGCCGATTTTCGAAATTTTTTACAATTTTTACGTAAAAACTTCCTGTCTGTCGCAAAACAAAGTAATTTCAAGACGATTACGAGCCATTTTCTTCTTTATGTTACAATATGCCCATTTCAGGTGGCCGCTGTGCGCCGGGGCCGAGTCCTAATCAACGGAAAACAAATGACCAATTTGGACCATTTGTTAAAACTAGGCGAAAAAATCGAGCACATAGCCCACAGACATGAGCATCCCGTCCTAGATGTCCCGATAGAAATCCTCGCCGAGACCGATGACCTGCTCGTTGTGAATAAACCGTCTTCAATGCCGGTTCATGCCTGCGGAAATTACAAAATCCATACGGTACTGGGGTTACTGTGGAAGTTACATGGAATTGCTGGACTCAGAGGTAAGCGGGGATTGTGGCACTTTTTTTGAGAGTGATTTTGAGGGTGGTTTTACGGGCTACCACTTTGAAAATTTGGGGAATTTTTTTGGGGGAAAATATAATATAAAGAAGACCCAAAATGCAAGAATATGGGCTCAGCGAAACTCCGGTGGCTTATTTAAGGTTTTTTTTAAACGAAAAATTGAGAAACTTTCCAAAAATTTCGGACTGATATCAAGGGTAATATAAATCTTCTCAGAAAACAGGCCCTAGAGGAGCTACAACTATTATGTACGGACGTAATCTCTCATAAATAACTTGGCTACAAATTATCTACAATAATATGGACGTTGAAACACGGTTAAAAACGTAGTTAAGACCAGAGCACAACTAAAAAAGAATATTATTAGAATCTGAACGTCCTCAACCATCAGAGGAAGATAAGACGGACTTTGGGGACATGCTTTTGGGACACGGTTGGAGACGACAATACAATTCATTGTAAATCCACACAAAAAGAACCAATTATAACAATAAAAAAGGTGCGAAATTGGGCATGGTCTGCACTCTCTGCAGACGGCGAAAAATACGAAAGGGGAATTGTTTGAGTAAAGTAGATTTGAAGCAGGGGGAAAAGTTTTCACAATACAACCTACAGATTTTGATGGGAAATTTTGATTGAAGTTTTCCAGGACTCATCCAAAGTTTTTCGCTCCCGCTTTGCGGAAATTTACGAGATTTTTAGATCGAAAGTTACCAAAAAATGTCGATTTTTGAACTGAAAAATTGAGGTTTTGTTCGAAGTGTGGAGGAGAATGTTTCTACAAAGAATCATTTTTTCCGCAAAAGAAATAACATAGATATGTCTGACAATGCTCTTTTTCTCTTTCCGTTTCTCCTCTTTTTCCCGTCTCTCGTCTGCAAAGAGCGATCCAAGATCCTGCAGACGTGAGACGGGAAAAGGAGGAGAAACGGACAGAGAAAAAAGTATTTCCAACCACATCTATGTGATTTCTTTTGCAGAAACGATCATTCTTTGTAGAAACGACGTCCTCTACGTTTCGAACAAAATCTCAATTTTTCAGTCCAAAAGTCTAATTTTTAGGTACCTTTCGACCTAAAAATCTCGCAAATTTCTGCAAAACGTGAGTGGAAAACTTCGGATGCGTCTAGAAAATCGAAATTAATCCAAATTAACGCCAAATTTCATCAGAATCTATGGGTTGTATTTTGAGAACTTTTCTCACTGCCTCAACTTTATTTTATTCAAAGAAATTTTAGTGGTAACTATAATTTTCCGAGCTAAAAATTTCAGAACATACCCGAGAATTTTTTAGCCTAGATTTGCGCCATTTCATTAAAACTGTGGTTTGTTTCTCTAGAGAATTTTGTTGATAAAGCTATAAATTATAGACAGTTTTCTTCACATTTCTGTCTCGGAACACACGCAATGGTCTACAAATATTATTTTGTAATTCCACCATGCAATGAAACGAGTACGTAAAAATGAACTCGAAATTATTGAATATCACGGCCACATGAATTAAAGGAAACATTTTTTCGCTTGAAAACCCTTCCTTATCCTACAATATAAAATTAAACGCTTCCCCGGCTTTCCGACGAACCTCCATGAAACTTTTGGCAGGACTTTTTGTGTGACTTCTTCAGGGAAAACCTCGCCTTATCTGATCCAATCTTTAACGCGGTTTGGCTTCACGAAAATAACACGTCAGAATTGTTTCAAAAATCCCCAGAAAAGAAGGGCGTTAAAATAGTAGTCGAAAAAAATTATAAAAATAGTCCGGATGTTGTCAGTGGACTTTTAGCTACACTAGATGTTATAATAGAAAAAAGAAAATTTTAATTTTCGTTCACTACTAATCCAGTGGCAAAAAACGTACAATTTTGCATCCGGGAAGTATCGAAAAATGTAGCAAAATGTCTCCGTCTCCAAGAAAAAAACCTTTTTGAAAGGCGCGCCCTTTCCCTCACAAAAATTGCGGGCGCGCTTTTGAAATTGGAGTATTTTCACTTGGAGAGGGAAGCATTTTGCCACATTTTTGATACTTCCCGGATGCAAAATGGTACGTGTTTTGCCGCAGGATGAAGTCTGTCACTGTAGAAGGCGGAAGTCAAAAAAAAAAAACTATTTCGTTCAGGTACAAATTTAGAGAAGTTCTCACAGTTTGATGTGTGGCTTCTGACGGGTATTATTGCTTCTCAACAACAAAAGCGTAAAAAATTATTTTTAGCTCATTTTTGAGAAATTACAAAAATTTGTAGAGGTATTTCTGAGCTAAAATACTAAAAATTTTTTTTCCTTGTAGTCAAGTTTTTTTGCTTTTGACTCACTAGTTGAAATAAGGTTCTTTGAAACAACGAGACTCATAATTCGAGCATCAAAAAACAACCAAAGGAAATGAATTTAGTTTTGGGCTTCCTGTCTGTTTGTCGACTCATTCCTCGGCCAAATCTTTATTGGAGATCAGATATCAATACTTGTCAAACTTTTTGAGCGTGAGAAAAAAATAAGTGAAAAATTGTAATTTGTGAAAAGTTTTATGGGAAACTCGAAAGATGAGTTATAGAATCAGTTAAAAATGAAGTATTACGCCGTTACAGGAGGTCGGAGTTCTAAACACTTCAACTTTTTAACATCCGCCGAGGATTTGAGATTTGCACATCTCTTTTCATAAATTATTGTTCCCCCAGCGATTATATTAGGCTAGAAAAAGAAGGAGGAAATGACATGTAAGAGGACGTCTGGAATTACAAACGGATTTCGCAGAGAGTGTAAATTTGGTTAAGGAAGCTTGAGGACGCATTGAGGACATCAAGTTATATATTATCCATGACGAAAAGCGCGGTTTTTTTGCCTTATTTTTCGTTTTTCTAATTAAAAATAAGGGTAGATAGGGAAATAAGACTACATTTTGTTGAGGAGACGGCTTTAGAGACATTGCGGGGATTCTCAGAAAAGTTTGCGTAAATTTTTTTGACTTTTTGACTAAAATTCAAAAAATTTAAAAAGCATGCGAGCTAGCTAAAAGCCTTATTAAAGCAGCTAATTCAATTTTTGTTAATAAAATGCGTCGAAATGACGGATTTTCCGCATGTTTGTGGATAAAATTTACGTGTTGTCGCAAGCCGGAAAACAAGGTTTAATTGACGTGAAATGGATTTTTTTCTGCTTACAAACCTCCACACCCATCTTACATATTGTATTTACCACTGGTAACCCATCTCCCCCACCCCACTAAAAGCATGTCCTCAGGGCCGAACGTCAACCAGACGAAAAACAATAAATTTGCCGCCGCTTTTCGATGACTTATATTTATTGACAATCCCTTGATAGACTCCGAAAAGAACTCCCGCGGAACTGTTAAATATCACGGCATGCAAAAAACGCAAAAGTTGAATTCCTCCGCCTTGTACGGGGCCCTTATTTTCATGCAATTTAGTCTGATGCGTGAGAAACCGGAATCGAATTTCCAAAGTTAAGAAATGACGGTACGTCCCTGTAAATGGCTCTCCACTCGATTAGAAGCAAGTTATTAAACAGCTGATCATGTTTATGGGAATGAGCTTTGAATTAGTCATAAGAATTATGAGATAAACAGATAAATTATAATGAGAAATGGGGTGATTTTGCGTTGAAATGCAATCAACCCTCTGTAGAATGAATTTCAAGTGAAAACGGACCGGAAATTTCAAGAGATCCCATTTTCTTCGAAGAAGATTGGTTTTTCTTAACGGGAAATTCAACGTACTGCTTGAGGAAACTTGGCAGAGATAAGAATATCAGATTTCGAAAATATATGAGGTCTTTGGACAGTTGCCAAAGATTTCGAATATTTTCTGAAGTCTGCTATTCTCAATCTCCGTCAAGCTCCATCAAAGCAGTACGTTGAATTTCTCATTTCGAAAAATAAAATCTTCTTTGACAAGGAAAGTACATTTCGGGGAGCTCCTACTTTTATACGGAAATATCTCGAAAAATACGTAAAATCATGCTGATTAGGAATATGCAAAAATCAACGGGTTTTGCATATTCTTGATCAGCACAATTTTTCGAATTTTTGAGATATTTCTAGTCTAAAAGTGGGAGCCCCCATCAAAGTACTTGTGAGCAGAACAGGGTCTGAGTTCCGCGGGTTTTTATCGACCATAGTTGGTTACGGACGTAATACCAGAATTCGTCTTACGCACAAGCAGTAAACAACTACTTTATAGAGGTCTTTGACTGTCTCTAGTTTTACTGCTTATCGTTTTCCGGGCGAGAGTAAGGGCTGGGCGTTCTTAAAAAATTTGAAAACATCAATTTGAATTTTCTTTATTTTGTAGTTGCATGTTGCAAGTTTTTTTAGCTATTGTAGCGAAAACGAGGCTACCAGTTGTATTTGTCACTAATATAAATACAAAAGTTGCGATACAAAAATGCCGATAATGATGAGATCTACACGTCACTTTGCAAAGCTACAATTTAAAATACGAACAAGCCGAAAAATGCATACTTATGGTAAAATTGAAACTCAATATTATTCACTCCCTCTCAGTCTTATGAGTAAGGCTCTTCAAAAAATTTTATGGCCATATTATAACCGCAATCCCGCACTTACCGCGGCTTAATAACTTTTCGAACGCCCGAACCCTCGACAAAGCGAACTGAAATAGCGCCCGGGGCCGAGTATTTCAGCCCCGACCAATTTAATTCCGCAAGATGTTGTGCTTGATTAGGGACCGCAAAAACCTTTGCGGGCGCATTTCGCAAATAGGTTTAGGGGAAATGATCAAGTTTAGTACGGGGCCGCGGTCACCAGCACCGTTCTCCAGGGAGAAATGTGCATATCAAGAAGGGGCGATTAAATTTAACCGCTTATTTTGGGCAGTTTTACTTTTCCAAGACTCCCACGTGATGCTCAGACTACGCGAGACTTCAATTACGCAAAGATGGGTAATTGAGGTTCAACTGGAAGTTCAGACAACAGATTACAGTAGGGAGAAGATTCTAAGAAGAGGAGGAAAAAATCAGACTGAAACGATTAGAAACTAAAAAATGTAAAAATTATTGGGCGGATTTTAAATTGAAACAGTTGAAAATCGGAACAATGGAGCACGATGTAGCTAAAAATTTGACTTTTTACGGAGGGTTTGCTGTATCGAGGTCAGTTCTAGTCTGAATGGCTGAAAGACAACCTTTATACAACGAGCCTTCTTTAAAAAGCAAATTTTTGCGTATCCTGCGATTTGTTATGAACTCGCCTGTCGAGTCAGACATAATGAACAAAATTTGAGCCCAATTTGTCGCATTAACCCCGCAAAAGCAAGCCCGAAAAGACAGGGTTGCCGAAGACGTATTTCCTAGAACTGTTGTCGAACGCAACTAATTTAATCAGCATCACGACTGCGCTCAACTCCCCGAATATCGAATGCAGGTCCTCTCCCACCCATATTTGAATACGCCCAAGGCATTATTTCCGGCCGGGAACGTCAGCTCCAGTTTTTCGTCAAAGTAAAAGAATGCGGGCGAAAAGATCGGGAGTAGGATGAACCAAAAAGAATGCACTAGGAAGTAGTTCCCCGCAGTCCCTGTGCCGGTATATGAGTAGCCCATCTTAACTCATTCGACAAGGCGTTAAAACCGCGGGCCCCGAGAAAATTGGTTAAAAATGATGAAAGGAACGGAATCCAAAAATAATACGAAAAGAGGAAAGGGAGAAGAAGAGGCCAGACGGGAATTAGAAGTTTGCAAAATAATTTACAGGATATTAGACATTTTCATTCACAGTAATAGTGTGACAGATTCGTCTATCTGACTGTTTATGTCTTCATTTTTAGCAGCGCGCTTTACAAGTGATATCTTGAAAAATCTGAAGAGTTTTAAAATTTTTAAAGTCATGTTGAGTCAATTTGAGACGATTGCGCTGTCTAGAAATCTTAATTTCAAAAATCGAAGGACCAACAAAATGTAGTCCAAATGACGAAGAGGCACGTCAACTCAAAAAATAGTATAAAAATGAATAGATTGAAGTTGACGTGATGTAGGAAAAGGAGCTACTAAAGATTTTCTTCCATCCAAATTCAAAAAAAAGTTGTAATTGGGCTCCCCTGCCTAGCTTCATTCTGGCTTTCAGTTGCCACTGAAGCTTTTCAAGCCTTCCCTGATAGACATTGCCGTTTTTCAAGGGCTATTACTGTTATAGAAGGATAAATAATGCTTTCAAAATTCTTTAACTCAGCTAAGGTGATTCTTCGAAAAAACGCCTTCCAATTTCAGGAGAACCCATGTATGGCCATGTGTAATAAATCGCAAGAAAAAGAAACTTATCAACCTGTGGGGAAAATAATGAGACACAACGTCGCATCGAAAATCGCCGCTCAGAAAATGAATTGTGAAAATCAAATTGCTTTTCACTTCAGCGGCGCGATCGACACAGCGACATTTTTCTCATTATTTTCCCGACTGATTGATATTTGTTAAAGACAGGTTTGATGCTTTGGAGGTTCATCCTGACCTAAAATTTCTCTTTAGAGCCCCTCAAGCCGTTCGTTATGTGCAGTTTTTGTCAATTAAGCCTTTGTTGTAGAGCGATTGTACTTCATAAATAAAAAACATTTTTAGCAGTCTATGTTTTGCCCGCTTTCTCCTACCGTACCAAAAAAAAGTTCACTTACCACCATTTTCCTGGACCAATTTATCCACCGCACACGCTAATCTCCGCGAGCTTTGAATTTCAAAAAAAAAAAAAAAAACTGGAACGGAATGCCTCTCCCTCCAGTCGAGACGCTAGTTAGACACGAATAGCCGGATCGAAAATACAATGCGCGCCGTTTTAATTTGGTTTCCTTGACGTCCTTCAACCAATTCACTTTTTCCGAATGACATGCCCGTGGTTTTCAAACCCGCAATGTTTTGGAACTTTTTTCGGCCGCTTCCTATCTTCTCATAATACCGCAATTTTGTCGAGATAATTGGCCTCATTTAGACGGAGACCTATATTGATACCTTATGGAATCGTTACGCTAGAGGTCATTAGGAAGCACGAACTTCCGAGTACCTTAATGCCGGGTTACAATGACATAAACAAAAATATCACATCTTGCAACCCCTTTTCAAAGACTGTGTTCAATTTGGCGGGCAAGGTGTGCTAAAACCAATTTATCGTCAACATCAAAGAAGAGTTGGGAAAATGACGGGCGATGAACATCTGCTTCTAATGAATACAACAGATATCATGCCGTTTTTATGGATAGTGCCATTTAAACGTGCGTTTAATGACCACACATGCATTAGATTACGAGTGCGTACGAAAAGAGCGTACGATAGAGGCTGTGCCGATTTTTATGAAGATCTAGGTGAGTCTAGAGGCTCGTAAAGGGATGACGAAAAACAAGAACCGAGAACCACGAAGTTTATGACTGAACTTTAAAAGTGGGTTGATACGTTTACAAGGGAAGGGCCCAAGAGATTTTGGGCCCAGATTTTCTAACGTTTGCACATACTTTATGCCTGTGCTGGATGTAAAGTCTTGAAATTTTAGCTCATGTTTTACAATCGCACCTGAAATCTTCAGCGATCTTTCTTTGAGAGAGCACGTGAAATTATCAGTCTGTCGGGAAAACAGTGAGGACTCTGTCGACGATAAAATGAATTGTCTTGCGATGAAATCAAATTGCCTTTCACTTCAACGCATGAAGTTATCAGTCCGTCAATAAGGTAGTGAGCGCAATGTCACAACGCCAATCGCGTCGCTGAAGTGAAAGGAAATTTGATTTCATCGCTAGACGATTCCTTTTTGCGGCAACGATGCGACAGAGTCCTCACTATTTTCCCGACACACTGATAACTTCATGTGCACATGCATGTGCTTAATCGAGAGAACGATCGCTAAAGATTTCAGGTGCGATTGGATAACATGAGCTAAAATTTCGAGACTTTACATGCGGCACAGGAATTAAGCTGGCGTAGGAAGTTGAGGGCTAAATATAAGCCCTTAAGAATTCCCCAGATTATTGCTAAATTACAGTGAGGGACGGGATCCAATGGCAAAAAACGACTTATTTTGCATCCCGGAAGGGACCAAAATGTCTCCAAACCCTTCCCTTCTCTAAGCTAAAAAACGCCGATTTGAAGAGCCCGCCTTGAAGGAAAGGGCGCGCTTTTCAAAGCGGAGTTTTTTGGCTTAGAGAAAGGAAGGGTTTGGAGTCATTTTGGACCCTTCCGAGATGCAAAAGGAGACGTTTTTTGCTATTGGATCAGGTCCCTCACTGTAATATGGTCCAAGTTCAAAGGCTGATTTCATAAATGATACACAGATAACACATGGTTCCAGACTAATGAGTTTAAAAATATGACGGCTTCCCGCCGGTTAATTGAGCAAGAAATAACACTAAGAAAATTGAAAATCAAACGTTATAACGGGAGCTACGGGCAAATGTTTAATCTCTCGACGAGCTTGAAGTCAATGAAGCACTTCTCTAAAAATTAAATTTGGCTACAATTCCTGTCGAATCCAGGCTTGTGAGCCCAAAATTGCCCGCTAAAATATTCGGGATTTCGCCTCAAGCTTACCATTTCTTATTCTGCGCGGAACTTGTTTAATATGCAAATTGCATAAAATAGAACGCGTTGAATGAATTCGTGGGTTAAGACTAGGATTAGCAAGAGGATTTGACGAGATGAAATAAAAGTTTTCAGTAAAAGTTTGGTCGAAAATAAAGTTCGATGGAAATGAACCCTTGGAACCGCAGATAGACGGAGTTTTATCTGTTTATCCGGAAGACGAGTGAACTTATTATTAGATAAATAGCCCCATTACTCGAATCCGTGGACCGGAAGGAATTGAAGTAGATTTTGCAAGGCTTTTCGAGATGCACTTGCGTTTTTTTTTCAATTTGCATGGAATGGGTCCCAAGTGCAGGTTTCGTTTTAGTTTTGCACCAGATTGGAGACTTGGCGTATCGATTTATCGACTCGTGAAAGTTTCAGCTCGCGCTTTGCAGGCACAGCCGAGATATTCAAAGATCTTTGCGGCCCATAGAGTACGCGAAACTTCGATCAAAAAATCCGCAAAAAAGTGCCACGATTTCCCCAAATTTTGGCTTGAAAATGCCGGTTATTTCTGCAAAACGCGAGCGAGGAGTTTCGCATGTATTTGGAAAAAATTAATCTAAATTTGAACAAAGTTTTATCAAGATTTAAGGGTCGCGCTTTGAGAACTTCCCCGTTAATTTTAACAATCTTACAGCTAAAGATTGCTTTTAGAAGCAAGCTTTAGCTCTGTCACAAAAAAATTTTAATAAGAAAATATTAACTCTGCAAATAATCCGCCCTGAAATTGCCAAAATTCTCAGTCTTTGACCTATTTGCCCATGAAAACGTGTGATAGTTTATAGGTCGAAGAAAAACATGACGAAAAGTCACTTGAGACGCTGGCGAGCGTCACGTTTTATCTATCTTCACGCCAAAATGGCTAAAAGTTAGAAATTCGTCAAATGTTTCATCCGGAAATAGAAATAAAATTACTTTTTAACAGTAATTTCGATATAAAAAATATTCATTTTTTAGTGCTGCACCGATTGGACCGCACAACCTCCGGGGTCTTGCTCTTCGCAAAGAACTTGGAAGCGGATCGATATGTAAGTTTGCAAAGAGATCACTACAACCGCGACCTTTCGTTTATTTTAAAGTTTGGTGAAAGTACTCTAACTTGGCCACAGTTTATTCATAGAAAATTTTAGTCCGCGGTTTATAATGACCACCGAGATATTGTGCTCTTTTTGCGAGAGATTGCATAAAATGAGGAGAGTCGGGCAGACGAAAAAGAAATTTTGTTCATAACTTTTGGAATTTTCTCGGAAAAGATGATTGTTAGAAGAAGTATTGTGCATCTTACTTGTAACCAAGATAAAAAAATCGGGTCCACCTTGCCGTAATTTAAAAAAATGGACCCAGGTAAAAAAAAGTTTTCAAAAAATGGGCCCCTCTCACCGTAATTTTCAAAAAAAAAAAAAAAAAAAATTCGGACCCTCTTACCATAACTTTCAAATGCCCCCTCCATTTTTTACCCATCTAAAAATTTCCGATAACTTTTGCCTAAACTTGACCGCCTCGCCGATCTTTGGCGTCCCCCTTTGAAGTCCACGTTCGCAATTCCAACACGAACCCGACGAGAGCAATATAATGTTTGTTGAAATTTTAGCATTTTGATGAAAATTGTGGGGCCGAATAAAATATCCCAGAAAGGCGACGCTCCAGACGAGAAAATTTCCTCGGGTTTCTCGAACTTTTTTTGCACCGGAAATTGCCGAGGAATAGAAAAAAGGCCAAACTCTATATCTGGGACCACTTGATTTGAATAAATTAGAATAAAGTCAGAGTTCAAAAAATCTTTTTTTAAAGTCGAAAAAGAATTATTGTCCTTCCGGAAGGTCGCCAAACTGAAATCGGCGACGCACTGTGCGAAAACGAAACTTTTCTTTGCACCGTGAAATAGGCTTTTTTCAGTTGTCGATAGAACCCTGATTTTTTTCGCACAATGCAGGCGTCAAAAATCAGTCCGGCGACTTTCCGGAAGAACTGGCATAGAGAGGGTTCGAAGTAAAAAAAATAAAAACGCATTTTTTCAAGGGGTGCTAGTCCGTCCGCTCTTGACCTTATTTCGGAGCCAAAATTTCTCACAAACAACTCAAAAATTCACAATCCCAGTCTTTGATACTAGTCTATTTGTAGTCGCTGAAGTGATTTTTGTGACTTGCACTGGGCAGAAAAAGCAAGCCCAAAAAGCCTGTTGCACTATGCAAAAAGCAAGAAATTGCAAGTGCAAAGAACACTTTGAACACTTTTTTTCTCGCTGTGAATGTCGCAAAAATCACTCCAGTGACTCTACGAACGGACTAGTACCGAAGACTGAGATTGTGAATTTTCGAGTTGTTTGTGAGATATTTTGGCTACGTAAAGAGGTCAAGTGCAAGATTATCCAACGGTTTTCAAAACGAAATGGCAAAATTTAGGGAAAACGAAACGGATTTTTTTGGGATTATCTTGGCGTTCAAGGGCTAAAAATCCCGAAAATCTCAAAAATAATTTTTAAAACTGATCACCTCGTTTACTTCAGCCGAATCTCCAAATATTGCCCAATATCTCGGCTGCCCTTGCAAAGCGTGGGCTAAAATTTTTAACCATCAGTCTTGGCCCTATTTAGAGTATTTTTGTCAAAGTTTACGAATATCCGACCGTCACACTTTGAGCACTTTACCTTTATATTGTTTTAGGTCATTTCTCAAAAAAAATTTTTTTCAGCACAAAGAGCTGATAAAATCGGGAAAATTCATCAAAGAATATGTCTGCCGGGTCGATGGCGAGTTCCCAACGTACGTTTTGACAGTAGAAAAATTTGATTTTGCCTTTTCTAGCGAGCCAGTCGTCTGCGAACAGCCAATTGGAACCCTGGTCGTATCCATGGGAATTCAGTGCGTCCGAAAAGACGGAAAGTCCGCCAAATCCACTTTCCGAAGAGTCTGGTATAACAAGGAGAAGAACCAGTCGTTAGTCCTGGCTCACATCGAAACAGGAAGAACGCATCAAATCCGAGTCCATCTGCAATACTTGGGCTACCCCATTGTCGATGATTTGTTGTATAATTGCAAGGTTTGGGGACCAGAAAAAGGGAAAAATGCAGAGTATGGAAAGGATTTAGAGACGGTAAGTTGGAGAGGGTTTTGTTTTGGGAATTTTTTTTTTTTTTGAAATTTTTTGAGCCCAAAAATTTTGGTGAGGGGGGACCAAGGGAAAAATTTTTTTCAATTTTGATTTGACGTTTTGCTGGTTTAGAATAAAATTTTCAAAACCATTCTTGAGCATTTGATATCCCGATCTACAAAGTTCACGAGGATTTTGGTTCAAAAATGGTTGTAATTTTTGAAGTTTGCATTTTTTCGATAAGGGGACCAAGACAAATTTTTGAAATTTTCGAATTTTAAAAATTTTTCAAAATTATTGTTTTCGCAATTTTTGGCTCCTTTTTGTGATTCATATTCCCTTTTTTTCAGCTCGCCGTCGACGTCAAAGCCCGCCACCGTGCAACCTTATGGCAAGAAGAGAAGGACCCCGACTACGATACCCGAATTAAGGCGGCCGCCGAGGATCCGGATGTAAGTCAGCGAAGTGAATCCAATTTTATGCCATATTGCACGCTTCGGTCTGTAATCCCTACATGCCCAGCTTCCAGGTTGTGAATCAGGAGCCGTGGGATACGCAGAAACTCGACGACGGCCCGGACTACGATCCCTTGTGTTTGAGTTGCAATGTTGTGAAGAAGACCCCAACAATGGCGCACTTCCGCATGCCATTGCATTGTTGGCGCTATGAGACCGAGAAATGGACGTATAAGGCGACGTTGCCGCGATGGGCATGGCCCCCACCGAAGGATGTTGTTGTAGACATCAACCTGCTGGAATTGTATGATGACAAAGAGAAGTTGGCGAAAAGTGGGCAGGCGATCAAGAAGAATGATCTGAGCAGCTCGCTGGAGAAAGAGGAAGACCCGTTGGAAACCGTAGAAGGTTGTATTCCGGTCGCCATTTAGAGGTCTAGTGTAATATAAGAAATGGCCGATAATGCACGTAGATGTGGTCGGATTGAATTGAAATTTTTCTCAGATGATCTGAATGGGCTGAAAATTGAGTTGAAATCGATGTATAACGAATTGGAAATTTATTTTGCGAGTTTTTGATTGGACTTTGTTTTAGGTTAGATATGAGGAAGAGTCAGCGTGTGACTCTCGGATTTTTGTTAAATTTATAACAGACTCTCTAAATATCTCAAGAAACAATAACAAAATTCTAGCTTTTAATTTACGAGTATTGCAGAGATATTTAACAAAACTTTTTTTGAGAGATTGCAGAAAACGAAGAGACGGTCAGAAAATGAAAAAAAAAATTTTTTTTGAACAACAATTTCTTAGTAGAGCCTAAAATTTTTTAGTGAAAAATCGTTTTTTTACCTTCAAATAATTTTTAAAAATTTTTCAATTTGTTATACAGGGATTTTCAATATTTTCCCAAGTTTTTTGTTGCCATTTTTCCTTGTTGATTGTTGTTTTCCCATTTTTTGTTATAAATTTTGAAAAAAAACGATTATTTCCCTTCAATTTGAAAGTTGCCAACCACCTTTTCATATCTGATATCCGCCGGAACTTTTTTCCCCATTTCTGTGGAAACGAGAAGAGACAGAAAGCGTTTTTCTCCCTCCATTTCTCTGCATCTTTTTCGTTTTTCGATAGAATCATTTTTTGGGCATAGATTACAGGTTTATTATCCGGGATTAAAGCTTGAGGATCTCAAGACTTCAATTATTTGGCAAATATTTGAAATTGAACTCGAGATTTTGAGAGGGTTGGACGCGGATTAGGCGGAATTAAGAGGCATTGTTTAGTTTTGTTTGACGTAGAAGGTGGTCTTTAGTTTTTTTGAGTACTTTGAGACATTTCTTGGATGAGATGAGGGCTCAAAATTGGGATTTTGAAAAAAAAAATTTGAATTTAAAAATTTTTTTGGAAATCGATATAACTTGGCAAAAATTTAGAAAAAAAAGTTTCTAGGACATTTATGAAATTTTCAGCTCGCGCTTTGCAGAAACCATCGAGATTTTTGGGCCGAAATTTTCTAAAAATTTCGGACTTTCGTTTTTTGAATTGAAAATTTCAGGCTTCATTAAAAATGAGGTGCCCAATGTTCCTAAAAAAAATTTATTTTCTTGAAGCTGGATTCGAAAAATCACTGAAGAAACACCTCACTTCTAATAAAGCCTAAAATTTTCAATTCGAAAATCGAAAAAAATCCGAATTTTTTAGAAATTTTCGGCCTAAAAATCTCGGTGGTTTCTGCAAAGCGCAAGCTAAAAATTTCACAAATATCTTACAAAATTTTGTTCTAAATTTTATCCAAGTTTTATCAAAGCTGGCTGCCTGAAATTTTCAATTTTTTTTGCTAATTTGGCCTCCCAAAAATGAAATTTGGCCTTTTCGGAACGTTTTTATTTGGCGGCCCGAGTCATCTCCGGTTCGCTGTAGAACGTCTTTTTGGAATGTGATCCGAGGCCGTTTTGGAATGCATGATGTATTATTTACCTTCCTGTTTCCATCCATTTCCCCCAACGGAGTCGGGAATTGTATTTTTCGGCCTCCAAATGACTTGGTACCCATTGTTCGGCGGTGTAAATGGGTCGTGGGAGTTGTAAAGCGGTTATTTTTGAGGGTTATTTTGGGGTTGTTATTGATGTAATTTTCGAACGTTTTATTGGAGAAATGGGAGCTTTTTGGAGGTCAAGGGTTTGATGATTTTTGGCCGAAAAATGATGTGCTTGAAGGCCACTCAGATTTTGATGAAGCAAATTGTGATTAGAATTTTGTAAAATTAGGAAAAATGTTAGCAGTTGCTTTGCAAAAATCGTCGAGATTTATTAGGTCGAGAATTGCTATAAATTTGGAGTATTGGGTAAAAAATCTTGTTTAAACTTTTCGAATTTTGCTAGGAAATTTTTGATTTTTTTGAAGAATTTTTTTTACCCGGTTCTATTCAAGAAACAAAAAATACAAATCCAGGGCAATTTTCGAGCTAAAAATTTCGATGATATTTACCAAGTAACTGCTAATATTTTCCATAATCTTAAAAAATTCTAATCAAAATTTGACCGAACTTTATCAAAATCTGTGTGACCTTACAAGCACATCATTTTTCGGCCAAAAATCATCAAACCCTTGACCTCCGAAGAGCTCCCATTTCTCCAATAAAACGTTCGAAAATTACCTCAATAACAACCCCAAAATAACCCTGAAAAATAACCGCTTTACAACTCCCACGACCCATTTACACCGCCGAACAATGGATATTAGTATTTTCGTAAATTTTATGAGCATTTTGTCACGGTCCGCACCGTGCACAAAGAGCGCCATTTTGCACTGTGCGTTTGACTTTTTTTGGTTTTGCACTGTGCATCGGAAATATCGCTGCGACAAGAGTTCTTTTTTGGTCCCGCCCCGTGCACAGAAAAAACGCCATTTTGCACCGTGCAAAATTTTTTTTGAAGTCTGCTCCGTGCGTCTCACTTTTTTTTGGGTTTCGCACCGTGCATCGGAAATATCGCCGCGACGTGAGCTTTTTCGCTTTTTCCAGCCGCATCGCCTCGGTTTTGCCCATTTTCAGACATTCTCAAAAAAACCGCTTGCACCGTGCGTTAGCGACAAGTCCGGGAAAAGTTCAAAAGCACTGTGCAAAAGAGGGCCATGCCCTTTCTGCAAATATTAATCTAGCCATATTGAGTCCGAAAAACACAATTCATTCATTTTTTTTTTTATTTTTCCATTTGTCGAGACAGAATGACCGACCGGAAGGTGAATATTGTTTGCTCTGTTCTCCCTTCCTCATTAGGTCCTCTCATTTCCCTCGCATCCCATAAACAAGATTTGAGTGCAGCGCCCTCCCATTGTGTTCCATTTTGTCCATTAAAAGTGTCTACGGTGCAAACGAGCAAAATGAATTTTTTTCCGTGTGTGGCTCGGATGTCAGCTTGCCGATGACGTCATTGGAAGACGAACGGACGAAAGGAAAGACGCTCGTCGTCTCCCACCCTTCCCCGAGTCTAAGGAACCAAAACACATAAATAAAAATTTGGGGCCTTCGCCGGAGACACGGATTAAGCCCCCGGTTCCGTGACACACGTCTTGTGGAGGGAAGAGCCCGAACTTATACATATTATAGTATGTAGAGACTTGGATTGGGGAGGAAGTTGGTATGGTTTATTAAAAAATTGAGATATAAAAATTGGACTTTTTTGGACCAACTGCGCTAAAAATCGTTTCTGGGATTTTATAAAGCCATATGGATGGAAATTCGGTGAAAAATCGATTTTCTTGGGGAAAATGGCAAAAAAAATTCGCAAAAAATTTTTTTTTTGATTTTTTTTTAATTTGGTGTAGTTACTCTAAATAGGTCACGTTTCAATATCTGAAAACTTTAGCTTCCATTTTTTAGAGAGAGCCGAGATATTCAACGATTTTTTTGCGAGAGAACACGTAAAATGGGGAGAGACGGCTAGAAAAAAAGATGTTTTTGTCTATGACTTTTCGAATTGTGATCGGAGGAGACTGATTTTTTGTAGAAACATTCTGAATGTCAGTCTCTAATAAAGCGCGATATTATCGAAGCAAAAATCAAAAAAAAATTTTTTTGACTTTTGAACTAAAAATTTCGGTTGTTCTGTAAAAAACTGAAAGCAAAAAATTTCAGAGATGTTATGAAAACGTCTAATCTAAGCTTTTGCAACGTTTTGACAAAATCTAAAATTGAAAAAAAAATCTCAATTTTTCGAAAATTTTTTTTTTCAAAATACCGTACTACTCGCGGCAAAAGTCTTGAGATTTTATTCCCAAATTCCGTCGACGCTGAAATAAAAAAAAAAAAAAAAAAACTTTTTTTTCCGCGAAAAATGGCAATCGCGAGCGACGTAAGACCAAAAATCCAACATGCACTGTGCAAAGCTGATTTTTCGCGATTTTCGCAACACGCGTCAAACCCGCGTAGCTCAAATTCTCAGGTTTTTTTTGCCTCGTGAAGTATTTTTCTCCCTCCAACACATAATTTTTTAGTCTTAAAACGGAAGGGAGAAATTAAAATGGCCACTCGAATTTGTTCGAATTTTAATTTCCAAGCCTGTCAGGTTCATTGCTCTCAGATTCTGCCCGGAGAATCACTAATTCCGTGGGAGTCTCGGGGAATGTCTCTCGCTGTTTTTCCCACTGCACGGCCAATGGGATTGATAGTGTTTACGAATGCTGTATGGAAAATTTGGCCCATCCGCTGGGATTTGCGGAAGTTTTAGACGGGATATTTGATACTTTGAGGAGCAAGAAAAATTAGTTCAAAATTTTGAAATTTTTTTGTTCTTTGATTTTTCTGAAACTTGACACAAAATTTAGAAGGGGCTTTTCTGAGCCACTGGGAAAGTTTTGGCGTGGAATTTGCAAAAAAAATCCGAGATTTTTTGGTCAAAATGGGAAAAAAAATTTTTTTGATTTTCAATTTGAAAATTTCAGGTTTCATGGATAAAACGTGTTCAATTTTCTACAAAAATATCGGTTTTCCCCAGGCGAATTTGAAAAGTTACGGCATAAAAAAAATTTTTTTTTCTCTCTCTTCATTTTGCATGCTCTCTCTCGAAAATCGTTAGCTATGTTTTCTATTTTTCTCGATTGTTTTTATCGAAAACTGAACCACCAGAGTTCGTGGAATATGTATTATTTTCTCGCTTCAGGACGGTTATCAATCATTATTAAGCTCGGCCGATTGTCTTGAAGCAAATATCCCACTCGTTCGTCAAAAACGTTTGTTTTGACGGCCAGCTTTCCATTAAAAGTTCTATTCTTTTTGACTACCCATCTAAAATTGTCTGCAGAACCGTTTTTTATAACAACGGAAGCCGAAGAGCTATCGTATTTTACCGTAATCAGCCGAAAACTATAGAAAAATTGGGTAAACTTGACAAATTTCATAAAATGTCTAACAAAAAAATCGGTTCATTCGTAAATTT